ATGATGAAATGTCTCAAGTAACTATTTAATACATCACGTGCGATAAGATCGTCACAAATCCCATATGGTTTACATGACATTACGGCTTTATATCGAATAAGGTACGTTATATCACATACCAGAATATAGAGAGGTGCGGCGAATACCGACTAGCCATTGTCAGATAGATTTAGTATCTTTAACTGGTTATGGCAAAATTCAGTTATTACGACTTTATATTGGTAAATCTCGCAATCATTTTATTGGTAATCTACAATGAATCACACTTATGCCTAATTTTTCCTAATATGTAAAGCGAATACTCTTTCACGCCTTCACCATCCGTTGTGTTGTACGATACAATGCTTGAGACTAACATGAAAGGGACCTCAAGTCAACTACCTAAGAACAAAACAAAATCTGAACACTCCAAGGGTACAAAGCGTTCATGGTTCAAGTCTGTAATGCGCACAATAACACATCATCTCAATTACAAAAAAATATAGCTTTTTCAATTTAAGATAAGATTATCATCTAATACGAGATCTTTAGAAATATAAAGATTTTCAGAACAAGTGAGGTTTTAATTGATATTTTTAATGCTTGATGGTACGAGTTTCAATACGCTACCTCCATGTATATATAGGTGCTTCTTTGTTTACAAAGAAACAGCTTTCTGCACCTTGTGCGTCCATCTCTCCACAATTGTACCCCCCGCAGCAATATAGCCGATGCAATGCATTGTGCGATCGCGACGCGCCTTCCTGTCCTATCTATGTTTTTCGTGTTCTAGTATAGTGGCGTACGATTTAGTCATTGGCTGTTCGTTTCACCGGTAGTTCGACGAAGCTATTACAACGTCGACCATTCTTAGCAACTGCAGGCCGCAGGCCTCCTCTAAGAAGACGATTTGCTGTAAGACAATGGTGTCTCCTAGAACAATCATTCAGATATCATCAACATTGTTTGTGAATACAGCCACCAATATCATATGTGTATAACATATATTTTTTTGGTCCATATATTTCGAAAAAGGTATTGTCTTGTACGTCTGCACATCACTGAGAACTATGATTCGCGCATTCTACCTTTTCCACAAGCTTTTTGCACTTCGTCTACTTTTTAAGATGATCATTTTGGTCAACTGACACTGTTGCCCACAGAATTCGTCGTTCTTCATAATACTAGCAAACGATGTCCCACGTATCATACTAGAACAATCACTATTCGATAGCTACTACTTGCCTAACAGCTATTATATTCATCAATGGTTACCATTCGACAGCAGGCAGTTGTTCATCGCTGCAATGACGACGACGTCGCCCGAATAACGCGGTTTCTTCCAGAATAGATAGGCAGTGTGTCAGAGTCACAGGCAAAGGAAGAAGGATAGGACCATGGGTACACCTCTAGTGAATCAGTCAGCCAACCATCTGCCTTTCAATGTCAATAGTCACTCTAGCCGCCGTAATCGTGTTAGTTCTGTACCGCCTGCGTATTCTCCAGCTCACACATCTTTCTAGCCAGTCAAACCCTTTATTACCCATGAGCATTATTCTAGTAGGACTGTCCGCTGCTTGTCGATTAACGTAGCAATGCCTGCTGGTTCCATTCTAACTAATGCTGCTGTGACCATTGGCGACACGATAGAATCATAAGAACGACTAATCAGACCCCGTTCGCCGTATAGGTTATTCCCCAATCTGCGTAGACGATCTTGATCTTAAACCAAAATCGCTCATACAATTGGGCAGTCGCCCCATACAGCCAAAGCCATGAGAATCTGTCTGTCTGTCCGGTTGGTTGTCCGTCTGTCTCAATTGGTCCGTGTTTCGTGCTGTACAAAAATTGGATGCCATATGCAGCGCTGTTTTATGTTTTCGCTTCCCATCTTTTTCTGTTGTTGAGTTTTCGCTAACTCCTTTACGTAGCGAACGCTTTTCTTGTCTCCTCAGCCGCCACTTATAGCGCGGCAATTTTATAGGTTCGATGCGAGAGCAAAGCTGAGATACGCGAATAGTAGAAGTGGATGAAAAAATAACGGACGGGCCAGCCGATACTTAGCTGCCTAAGCACACAAGGGGGCAACGCAACCTTGTGGTGTACAACTGACGTCAAAAGCGCCTCTATAGACAACGGGGGGTTAAACAGCAGTGGCAGCACTAAAAAGACGCCCGAATTAACTACATGATAGGAGCGGCGTGGTTTGGGGAACAAATGCGTATGCTAGAAATAGTCACGAACACTCGGCCATCGTCGTTCCATTTCAGCGTTGACAAATGGTTATCATGACATATGCAACCATACTGTTTCATAGGTCTATTGAAGAAATCCCAGATAGGTGCAGTAAGATTCACCCCAGCTAGGTTTTCTAGTGGGGGTAGGTCCTTGATGCAACATCAAAAATATGGTGCCGACTACTTGTTCATATAATAAAATTCGCAGAAAGCGTTAAGAAACAAACGCATTGCTATCCTGTCAAAAAAAAGCGAACGCTTGGCAGGAAAATGAAATCCACACACAGAATGGGGAACGACCTACTATGGAGTAGTAGAATATTGAGTGAGAGACGGGTTAACACCTCTTTACAAAAAAGGAAACGGAAACATCCGAGTGCTCTGAAGAAAGCGCAACTGTAGCTCGGTTTATGTATACAAAAAAGCAAGTTCGTAAATCAGGAGTTTGATTCGCCTTATCAATTCGTATATATCGTCATGGTTTGGCGAATGAGCTGGATCTGACAAACTTCGATGACAGTCAACTTCCCAGTAGTAGAAGAACAATGGAATAAAGTTTCTGAACACATTCATTGTTGCCTATACCCAGCAAGTCCAGTACTTCACGAAAGTAGAGTTCGGATCGCGGAAAACCAAAAAACAGCTTAAGTTGCATATGTAAAAAAGCCAGCTCTTCACACATCAGCTACGCAATGGCAATCCAATAACTGGCATAAGGAACGTCCGATAAGTTATTACGCCAACTGAACTACTGAGCCATTCACTATCTTAATGACCGAAAACTTAACTCTACGAAAATTCTTTGTTACGTTGTTTGCAACACTGAAACCGGGCATGCGCCTGTCGAGGTCCTATTTTTTACGCAGCATGAACTTGTGTGAATAAAAAGCTTTCATTTATTTGCTACGTAAAGATATAGTTTCATGTACAGTCCGCTGTGACCAGCACCTAGTCACCTCCAAAGCACTAATCCTGCGCCCACGAAGGCCATTGCCACTTTCCGCCAACTATTTCAAGCTAGGTTTCGCTATTGTTGGTACCTCTCTATATACAATGGAGGGCGGCAAAAAAAAAAACCTGCTTGTCTTCACTGCGAGAAATGAAGCGTCACAGAATTCCATATATCAGTAGATTTTCAATTTCATCAATAGTAGAGCAATATATAAGACTCTATGCAATCTGCTACTACAGCGATACCTCTAAAGATTGATTCTTCTCAAACAGAATACGGTCGAAGAATAAGACTCCGTTCTACAAGAGTAGCAAAAACATATATACCTTTGTTTCATCAAGTGCTTTGCATAGTGCTGAGTATATGAAAATTTAGACGAGCTTTCCAACGCTCTATATGAGCTAGGTCCTGGTCAGAAGTAGGCTTCGTGCGGCTCCATAATGTTGTCATAGGGGCTAACCGAACGTTCAGTTATGGAACAGCCTTATATTGCAGAATGAACTTGTAGAGAACTGCCTCATTCACTGTTGATATCTTTTAGATAAAGCGCATTTTTAAAAAAAAAATTATAAATAAGCAAGGGCCGGTTGCTCAATTTAGTCGTAGGCAGATAGTTTTAACGGAACTAGCTCGGTGGATGTCTTAACGGGCATCCGTCAGATAATGGTTGAAAAATTGTTTTTACTCACAGGCCTTATTTATAGTGCAGAATATATTCAGCTAACGAAGCCTATTACTGCCAAGTCACACCCTTACGAAGTAACCCGCAATCAATTTTACTTCAACGCTTTATTCGTCACAATTAGTCACATACAAGAACTAATCAACAGACCAAACGATGTGTTGCCCTTTTCGGCAAGCTTCAATCTCTCTCAGCCCTCAAATATGTTCAGCGAATAAATCTTGCCAATTTTCTCGTTTGTTTTCCACTAAAAAAATACTTCATTCTCCTGGACATTTCCCGCCGCAAAAATCTGGTTTTGTGGTCGTCATCGTCGTATACTTTGCTCGCTTCTTCAAAAATCGCCAACAGATCCTTCGGCGGCAGCATCAGTAGCAGCAGCAATTCCCCCGTGAAACAATCTCTTCCTTCTTAGAGCAGACTACCGGTTCGAAATCCCTTTCCGTAAACCCCGATTGCCAAGCGGCTGCAACATCAATGACGACAACAACTACGACAGCCAAGGATAAGGGCAACGCGCAATGAAAAATAAATCCATTCTTTTGCTGCTTCTCTTCTTCTCGAATGGGGATGTACTAAACTACTTACCTGCCGACCAGCAAGCTATCTTGCCGACCAGTAGTGATGCATCTACATTTACTCTACTTAAATGCGATTCCAGAAACCTTCTTCCTCTAGCGTCATTACTTGAAGTCTACCCCACCAGGAACATAAGCGTATGCACGCAGCGAGCAAATTGCGAAGGGAAGCATTGCTGATTCTCGACAGCAATTGTAGAGAGCTGGTAATCTACAAGCGAAAACTGCCATCCGACCCATGTTCTGTGGCCAACTACGACTGTACGACCGCCTCGCGCTTCCAGCCCAGATATAATACACGCTACCCTGTCGGTACCCAGTTAAGACAGAACGCACAGAAAATTCGCATCTATCTGCGTGATTGTTGGTCGCTTGGGCTGTTTATTGCCGAGGAAAGTAAATATCACAAACCGCTCGAGCCTGTTGCCTACCGCACGCCGTCGACCGTGTTTCAGCAATGGTGGCGTTTTCATGTCCCTGCAGTGGCGACAGCAGCAGCAGCAACAGCAAAAACGTCCACACAGAAATAGCCTTCGACATACTATCTAATCGAGAAAGAGGAAACAACTAACCCACGTTGACTTGTGCTGTTCGCTGCGACCCAAATCCAACCTTTGTTCAGCTCACTTGTTGGATAGCCTGGTACTGCCTATGATGCACCTGGAAAAAGTTGTCAAGGAAGATTATACGTGCTATAGTTACTTAGAAACGAGGTTTATACACCGGCATAGAGAAGACACGCCAACTTGTATTTGACTTTCATGACATTTAGATTTAAAAGATTTGTTTAAAACAGATTTGACTTTACTGCACCCTTAATCAAAATTTGATAAATATACCTGTGAGGATAATGCATGCCCTAAATAACCAAAACAATGATGACTCTATCCAATATCGAAACTGTCGACCTCAGATGAAACACATTTTACTTATCCATTATTATATATAATAATAGTAACTCCAATTAGACGTCCACCTAACCTCTGCCTAGGTATCGCTTCAGCGTTTCTCATCTTTAAACTGTCGAGTCATTCAGTTTTGATTATTTCGAGCTGCTGTTATCAAATAGTATAACACATGCAATCTAAGTACACGCACGGCTAAAAGTGACTGAATCCCTCTAAAGCTCAAGACGAGCACTACATTCATAAAAATAAAAATAGTTTGATTTCAAAATAGAATTTTAAAAAAATCGTTTTAAAACAGACAAATTAGCTATCTGCCATCACCATTACCACTATAGTTGTAGTAATTATAACACTCATAATAATAATAATAATAATAATAATAACAACTATTATTATTATTATTATAAGTAACATTGTTTACTTCGCCTTTCGTCCATGAGCTGTTTTTCTAATTAATGACGTCGACAGATGTATCGAACGTACAACCTAGCAACGTCTTCTTTTTAAGTGATGATATCGTATCTGTATGTTCCAACTGAAGTTATGAACTGACTGAGAAGCGACATTAGTTCGATTTCGTATTTCACCTTCGCAGCTTTTTCTGCCGAACGACAACGACGACGCTTGAAGACGCGGACGCTCTAATACGTCATCTTACGTCAATCATGCAATGCTGCTCATAATTGTGGTTGAACGGACCATCAAACATCAGGGAGTCGAGGTCGCTCCGTAGTTTGGAATGCTACGGTAAATGTTCTTAAATTAGAAATAATCAGCCAATAACAGCTGGCATTGCTTCGGAATGAAGCTATGTTCCGATTTATTGATCGTATCAAACAATGTATGCATCAATGATGAAGAATAAATGATTCAATGCATAAAAAACCAATGACCATGCTCCTCTAACACTATCAGAAGCGTCGGAGCGTACTCATCAGGGATTACCATCCGAAACAGCAGTCTTAACTACTAAATTTCGTTGAGAAATAGAAATACAACTTCACAAGGTGTTTTCGTGTTGCCTTAGTTACTGTTCTTGGCCAGTTACTGCCCACTGCTTGCTTCTGATTTTATCGAATTTTAAAATTTTACCGTGTTTGTTTTATTGTTTATTATTGAACCCACCTGTCTGCTAGAACCTAACGTGAATCACGGCATCTGCCCCCAATGTTCGAATTGTTGTTCCGTCAGGGCAAATGTTCAAGTAGGGCCACAGCTTGCTAAGCGTGAGCTCAAGTACCTATGTGACTCTAACCCACGCGGTAGTTAACGTCATCATTAAAGGAAGCCAAACCCTCCTAGATTGCGTATTCTAAGCAAGACGAAATGCGCCAAACCATAAATACACGTAACGTGAATAATTAATTTGTATTTTTAATGTTGCTTCACCGCATATTGCATTGCCATTTTCCAGGACCCTCGGAGTTTGAATTAACTGTAGCTTTTTTTGTCCGGACTTTACATGAACGTTCCCGACCAAAATTCGTTTTCACTAAGAGCTTTTTTCGTTTTTCACTAAGTTAGTTCTCCCCTTGTCAATTTAATGAGTCTCTAATGCAGTAGATTCCCAAATTAAGTTGTGTCATTTGTTACCGACAAGCTTTCTCTCCATATCGGTAAAATGTCGACTTTTTTTTGCTCCTATCGGGCATTCTTCTTGTATCACCCTAATTAAATTAGTTTACTGTAGTTACGAGTTATCTCATAATAAATTGTCTACCAGGGATGGCCTGGCTAGCGACTGTTAATGGTGCGTTTTCGTTAGATTTCTACACCTGTTATCGTCCCCATAATGGTGCATCGGTAGCGTGTTAGGTACAATTCGGGGCGCATGAGGTAATCGTAAGTTTAAGACAGGATGTAGGCAAACTTCGCTCCGCCCTGAGAAGAGCCAACCGTCTGAAACAATGACTAACGTCAGGACGAGGCAAAACTTCGAACATTTGTATATTGGCGTACATTAGCATTGGACCTTTTCACTAATTTCCGCAGCGAACTAACACGGGTGTTACAGCTTACATACTTAAGGTCGTCATCAGATTACTAAACGGTCGCTTTTGATCGGTAGGATATGTGACCCACCTCTATGTGAACTTCAATAAAAAAGACGTTTGTTAGAAAAACAAATTGCTCAAAAGGATACCCACAAAAAAAAGCCCACTTCGGCCTTTCGAACTTGTAGCTGCCCATTGGTGGCATCCACTATTATACCTCACTGGCTCTTCAGTAACAATCACGGTCCCCATGATCCAACAGGCAAACATCAAACGCTTGTTGTTACCGATGTGTGTTAAGCACTGTTCAACTGTTGCCAAAGAAATGATGAATTAATGATTAGCGAGGAAATACGCGAATTGGCGAGGAAAATTCCTTCAGGTATGTTTCAATAAAGCAGATTAAAGCAAGTTGTGGAGCATACTTATACGTTCCGTATGATCTATGTCAAAGTGACTCGGCTCCTTTGTGTTGTTCCATGAATGCAGCAGACGCATGCGTTAAATACGGCAATAACCGTATGCTGATTTTCCCAAAAAAAAAAAGCCACACTATGATATCTACGTTATATGACGTTGGCAACCGCAATACTGTGTGACTGATGGTGTCGTGTTGTTATTGTCAAGTTCCATGTACGGCAAAAAATACCAGTCGATAAGGGAAGCAAATTCCAAATAAAACCGTCAAAAAAATACCGCCTGTTACGATCCGTACAACGTTACCGTAACGACCTGTCGGCGTGACTTCATCTGCTGTCAATACGTAATATAAAACGATGGACATGTTAAGGCATCAGTTCACTACTATAAATCATCCTTGTGAATAAACAATGAAGATCATCGATAGTAGGAACCACGGTGCGACCGGTAGGTAGTTCCTTGAAATGGAGCGTTAGCGTGGAGAGGCCCCTGATTGTCTCTGCAACATAAATTAAGTGTCCTCTGATTCGTTGCAATACTTTTGCAACAATTGCAAGAAAGCTAACAGGTGTGCCAGAAAGTTATAATGATGCTGTTAACAACAGCATCCTAGTGGTGTTGACGCTGTGAATTTACGGTACACTTTAAACGCCGAAGAAGCGCTACTGCCATTTTTATCCTCTTTTTGTTATGAGAACGTCGTTTACCCATATTTCAGGAAGGAGGAAGATATTTGGATTTAGCTCATCGCAAGTTGTTGACTGATATAAAAAAAATACCGAAACTGCTCTTTGAAAAAGGATACCATTCGGTCGGGAGTACAAATCCTCGCCGTTTTAGATCAGCGAAATGCAGTTTCCTCTAGCGTCCATAACTATTACTAAAAAACTTCGTTTATCATACACACGTTTTACGTAAAGACTAACGTATTTTTCAGAGCCGGTGCTAAAAATGAAAATTTTTAGGATTTATGTTCCCACAAGTCGTTGCCATTTATGGCTGGTCTTGTGTGTTATAAAATAAGCACAATAGCCGACAGAGATTCTACTCAATTTGACGAATGTAAAGGCTGCGTTCCGAGCAATGTTCTCTTTCTGCTTTTCTACATGCAAACGTACTTCGAAGAAAGCTTTTTAGTTTTACGTGCTTACTATCAAAGTATGACATTGTTTTAGCGAGAACTTGAAGGGAAGTTCTTGCTTAATTAGCCATCGAGTTCAACACTAGAACTTCGCTTTGCATTGAGCCTATTCAGCATCTTTATTTAATTTCACCAGTTGCCCAGTTGACTTTGGTACGGGAAAAACACAGCTGAACTTCTCACGGAAAGGGCCGTTGAGAATCAGGCCGGTCTCCTTAGGTTTTCCCGTTTAAATAGCTTCCATCCCACATTATCTCGTAATAGCTCTCTACGTGAGATTGCGTTTTGTAATGAGATGTTCATATGCTTTCAGGTGAGTCGTCTAGTTGCACCTACCTGATCCACTGTGAGGTCCTCGATATGCACTAGGACGCAGCAGGCGAGGGCTGATGATGTCCTCTTGTATGTGGACTCGTAGACTTTGAGAGGATACCGTTGAGGACACTAGTAGGGAGAGAAACCGTTAGTTTGTTGGTTGTTTAAAGTAACCAGCCACACACACACGCACTTTTTTCGGCCAATAGAATACTCCCAATGTACTTGCACACTCCCGCTTGCCCTTGAGGCCACACTTCCTTCTCAGACTGCTTCCTTTTTGAACAGATTTTCGGATACTTAGATCGTCGGCAGATTAACAGCACACGATCCAAGACGTAGCAAAAACCACACTTAAAACGAAACGCTTAATAATATTTGTAGCCGAAGGGCTGTCCTTTTTTACTCGTTATAGTGAATTTTCCTCTTTAAATCAGTCAAATCGCCGCATTCAATTCCACTATGACTTCTCTCGTCAACGGCGAACATTCGGAAGAAATGTGAAAACCAAAAGACCGAAGATTCAATAATTCACTAATTTTTTTCACACACAAATAATCCTTCCGTAGAAACAACACAAGATGAATTTTCCCCTTTTAAGCTTACTTGTTTGCTTTACTAAGCTTTGACGCTATTCGTTGTTGAAGTCAAGACCCACGCTCACTGGAGACGGGTTTCAACTCAGCTCAGCTCAGCTCAGCTCTATCGAGAACCCAAGAACAACACGACGCAAAGGAAACGCACTTAGCACGAAATGAATATTAATATGCGATCGCCTTTACCGACCCAACAAATACCCGTGGCAATAACAATAATTATAATAATAATAGTAGCAGCAAGAATAATCGTATTGGCCGCAGTTGAATAGAGTTCGCGCAGTGGACGATCAGATTCGACGAAATCCCGTTTGTAGCGGCATATGGAGTTGTCGCTATTGTTATTATCGTGGCAATTGTCGGGTCCTGTATTCGCCGTACTTATTTCTGCGCGTCGCAGGCTCAGAAGAAGAAGCGGATGGCGTAGCTATTATCTTCTTTACAGGCGTCGTTGCCAGGTTTATTACTTGTAATTATTATTTGAGGTATTGTGATGACAACTATTAATATTGATGAGACAAGGGCTAGCAGATGAGACGTTTGCTATTTTCGTTGTTATCCTTCTGTTTGTTTGTCATTGGCCAGTTGCTGATGATTTCGTTGGCGTCGTCGCCCCGTTTTTTCGCTTCTGTACACCTCTCGTAGTTTCTTTGGATAGAATTTTCAGCAGCTGGCAACAACTTACAGACATTGTCTATTCCCTTCCTTTTGCTGTTTACGCTGTGTGTTACGATGTGGGTAGAACGACGCCACTGCATGCACTACAGACCCATCAATCGCTGGGCTAGTCTCCTTCGTTACCGTTGTTACTGTTCTAGTGGCTACGGTGCTTCGGGCGAATGACGCCTCCGCCTGTGACCATACCGATGATAATGATGGCAACAACCTTCATCGGACAAACAGCCTAACCTATCTTATTGGAACAGTCGACAATTGTTGTCACCCAGACTTACACGGACTGCTCCACAGGACGACGAATCACCGACGAACAATAATAACACCAAGCAGATAACAGGCAAATTTACTATTGCTGCTGTTGCTGGTGTAGGCTCTTAGTCTACATCCAGTTGCCAACGCCTGCGTACCAGCTCACCTACAATCCTATCTACGTTAGCCCGTAGTAATAGTGATGCAAGTAGTAGAATTAGTAGCGTCTACAAAGATGCCTGGCTTGACAGCGACGTGCTGTTGCTGTTACGAATGTCGCTGGTGTCGTCGGTTGTTGCCAGGACGTAAGAAAGTCTATGGAGGCAGCTGAAGACGGGCCCCTGCTCTACTACAGTCGCTAAGAGTTCTTAGAATTGTCCCTCAACGTTATTCTCTAGGCGGCGGCTGATTGCCTTCGTGCTGCTAAGATGCGCTGCAGTGAAGCGCAAGCCGCAGAATGTTTCACGTATCTATTGGATGAGAGCCCACCAGCGAAAAATTTGCTGGTCGTTGGTTTGATGCTTTGGTCCTGGTTGACGCTTTTTAACCGTTAGTACTGTTGTATGAGACAGACGATGCTGGGACTACTAGCCCTTATGCTTGCCCAGTGGGTCCATTCGTCGACAGAACGGAACGTTATCGCAATGATCGCTGTTGGCTGACTGTTCAACTACTGCTATCTACAGCGATAGAATTCTATATATAATCTATATACTAGCTCTATGCTTGCTAATGATGGTGATGTCCCCTGCAGTTTATAGTGGTCTACCGACATTAACTATAAACGATGGTTGTCGGAACGCTCGTCTCGTGGGCAATGTTTGCTGGCTTTCTCACACAGAATAGATCGCGTAGTTAATCGATTATTTAATAGCTGCTACTAGTTATAGTAGTTCATAGAAATTAAGCAGTTATTAGTGGCGTAGTGGTTAAAGTAACTGATCGTGCACTATCGAGCGTAATTGCGCTGCGTTGCTGATTATGAGATGCAGAATGTGTAGATACCTCAATATTATATCCCTATTTCTCTATGATCGTTTCCTGTCAATGTTATTTCTGCTAAAGAATTATTTGCTAAAGCAACGCTGAGGTTTAGCTTGTTACCAGTTACCTTTTTCTCTGTTCAGCCGCGCTGGGTTTGTTACCAAAACTCAACTCGACCCATCGGGGTCACTGACTGACCCACAACCGCTGCTGCCAATACCTAACCTCGATTGGCTAAAAACCTTTAACGCTAACGCAATGTTGGGCACACTAAGCTAAACGATACAGAACGAAATAAAGCTATTTCGTTCTGTATCGTATAGTTTTTAGAATTATTCGAATGCAACGGATCAATAGTAATTCTATCGGCCGTAGACATCAGGCTGAGCGCAGGTTTACAGCGATACGGTCCCACACTCGTAGGCATTCGCTTACACGCTGCTGAACTGTGAATGTGAAATATTATAGTAGCCACTGTTGATGTTGGTGTTGTTAAAGCACAGCAAGTCGTTGTAGCGATGGTCATATAACTAGGATTAATTAGAAGCAACTGTAAAGGTGGACATTATTGGTGCTTCTGTGCTTGACGATAATGATTATGATGATTTGGACATCATAGCAGGCAGGGGCTAATTAGCATCTGTGTTCCCCCGTAGAACTGACTTGAAAGCATGGCTACACGATAATAAGGCACAATATGCTGTTCCATCTCTAACTAACCGCTAACGGTCTAATGTCATGACGGCTCGATAAAGATTAATGATAGCCTCAACTGAAATTATGCGTTTTAGTGTTTTGTCGGTTTTGCGGAAAACGTCGATAGGCGTTGAATCAGGAAAACAACAATTTAAACGTTTTTAAAAAAATTTTTAAAAGACTTTGCTGCATTCTGCGTAGCTCAAGCTGTTATCTTTCCGATACCTCGATCTTCGGAGCGTCATCGATTGACCCTTTGTAGCTGCAAATCTTCTGTTCAACATGTAGCTGCAAATCTTCTGTTCAACATGTAGCTGCAAATCTTCTGTTCAACATGTAGCTCCAAATCTTCTGTTCAACATGTAGCTCCAAATCTTCTGTTCAACATGTAGCTCCAAATCTTCTGTTCAACATGTAGCTCCAAATCTTCTGTTCAACATGTAGCTCCAAATCTTCTGTTCAACATGTAGCTCCAAATCTTCTGTTCAACATGTAGCTCCAAATCTTCTGTTCAACATGTAGCTCCAAATCTTCTGTTCAACATGTAGCTCCAAATCTTCTGTTCAACATGTAGCTCCAAATCTTCTGTTCAACATGTAGCTCCAAATCTTCTGTTCAACATGTAGCTCCAAATCTTCTGTTCAACATGTAGCTCCAAATCTTCTGTTCAACATGTAGCTCCAAATCTTCTGTTCAACATGTAGCTCCAAATCTTCTGTTCAACATGTAGCTCCAAATCTTCTGTTCAACATGTAGCTCCAAATCTTCTGTTCAACATGTAGCTCCAAATCTTCTGTTCAACATGTAGCTCCAAATCTTCTGTTCAACATGTAGCTCCAAATCTTCTGTTCAACATGTAGCTCCAAATCTTCTGTTCAACATGTAGCTCCAAATCTTCTGTTCAACATGTAGCTCCAAATCTTCTGTTCAACATGTAGCTCCAAATCTTCTGTTCAACATGTAGCTCCAAATCTTCTGTTCAACATGTAGCTCCAAATCTTCTGTTCAACATGTAGCTCCAAATCTTCTGTTCAACATGTAGCTCCAAATCTTCTGTTCAACATGTAGCTCCAAATCTTCTGTTCAACATGTAGCTCCAAATCTTCTGTTCAACATGTAGCTCCAAATCTTCTGTTCAACATGTAGCTCCAAATCTTCTGTTCAACATGTAGCTCCAAATCTTCTGTTCAACATGTAGCTCCAAATCTTCTGTTCAACATGTAGCTCCAAATCTTCTGTTCAACATGTAGCTCCAAATCTTCTGTTCAACATGTAGCTCCAAATCTTCTGTTCAACATGTAGCTCCAAATCTTCTGTTCAACATGTAGCTCCAAATCTTCTGTTCAACATGTAGCTCCAAATCTTCTGTTCAACATGTAGCTCCAAATCTTCTGTTCAACATGTAGCTCCAAATCTTCTGTTCAACATGTAGCTCCAAATCTTCTGTTCAACATGTAGCTCCAAATCTTCTGTTCAACATGTAGCTCCAAATCTTCTGTTCAACATGTAGCTCCAAATCTTCTGTTCAACATGTAGCTCCAAATCTTCTGTTCAACATGTAGCTCCAAATCTTCTGTTCAACATGTAGCTCCAAATCTTCTGTTCAACATGTAGCTCCAAATCTTCTGTTCAACATGTAGCTCCAAATCTTCTGTTCAACATGTAGCTCCAAATCTTCTGTTCAACATGTAGCTCCAAATCTTCTGTTCAACATGTAGCTCCAAATCTTCTGTTCAACATGTAGCTCCAAATCTTCTGTTCAACATGTAGCTCCAAATCTTCTGTTCAACATGTAGCTCCAAATCTTCTGTTCAACATGTAGCTCCAAATCTTCTGTTCAACATGTAGCTCCAAATCTTCTGTTCAACATGTAGCTCCAAATCTTCTGTTCAACATGTAGCTCCAAATCTTCTGTTCAACATGTAGCTCCAAATCTTCTGTTCAACATGTAGCTCCAAATCTTCTGTTCAACATGTAGCTCCAAATCTTCTGTTCAACATGTAGCTCCAAATCTTCTGTTCAACATGTAGCTCCAAATCTTCTGTTCAACATGTAGCTCCAAATCTTCTGTTCAACATGTAGCTCCAAATCTTCTGTTCAACATGTAGCTCCAAATCTTCTGTTCAACATGTAGCTCCAAATCTTCTGTTCAACATGTAGCTCCAAATCTTCTGTTCAACATGTAGCTCCAAATCTTCTGTTCAACATGTAGCTCCAAATCTTCTGTTCAACATGTAGCTCCAAATCTTCTGTTCAACATGTAGCTCCAAATCTTCTGTTCAACATGTAGCTCCAAATCTTCTGTTCAACATGTAGCTCCAAATCTTCTGTTCAACATGTAGCTCCAAATCTTCTGTTCAACATGTAGCTCCAAATCTTCTGTTCAACATGTAGCTCCAAATCTTCTGTTCAACATGTAGCTCCAAATCTTCTGTTCAACATGTAGCTCCAAATCTTCTGTTCAACATGTAGCTCCAAATCTTCTGTTCAACATGTAGCTCCAAATCTTCTGTTCAACATGTAGCTCCAAATCTTCTGTTCAACATGTAGCTCCAAATCTTCTGTTCAACATGTAGCTCCAAATCTTCTGTTCAACATGTAGCTCCAAATCTTCTGTTCAACATGTAGCTCCAAATCTTCTGTTCAACATGTAGCTCCAAATCTTCTGTTCAACATGTAGCTCCAAATCTTCTGTTCAACATGTAGCTCCAAATCTTCTGTTCAACATGTAGCTCCAAATCTTCTGTTCAACATGTAGCTCCAAATCTTCTGTTCAACATGTAGCTCCAAATCTTCTGTTCAACATGTAGCTCCAAATCTTCTGTTCAACATGTAGCTCCAAATCTTCTGTTCAACATGTAGCTCCAAATCTTCTGTTCAACATGTAGCTCCAAATCTTCTGTTCAACATGTAGCTCCAAATCTTCTGTTCAACATGTAGCTCCAAATCTTCTGTTCAACATGTAGCTCCAAATCTTCTGTTCAACATGTAGCTCCAAATCTTCTGTTCAACATGTAGCTCCAAATCTTCTGTTCAACATGTAGCTCCAAATCTTCTGTTCAACATGTAGCTCCAAATCTTCTGTTCAACATGTAGCTCCAAATCTTCTGTTCAACATGTAGCTCCAAATCTTCTGTTCAACATGTAGCTCCAAATCTTCTGTTCAACATGTAGCTCCAAATCTTCTGTTCAACATGTAGCTCCAAATCTTCTGTTCAACATGTAGCTCCAAATCTTCTGTTCAACATGTAGCTCCAAATCTTCTGTTCAACATGTAGCTCCAAATCTTCTGTTCAACATGTAGCTCCAAATCTTCTGTTCAACATGTAGCTCCAAATCTTCTGTTCAACATGTAGCTCCAAATCTTCTGTTCAACATGTAGCTCCAAATCTTCTGTTCAACATGTAGCTCCAAATCTTCTGTTCAACATGTAGCTCCAAATCTTCTGTTCAACATGTAGCTCCAAATCTTCTGTTCAACATGTAGCTCCAAATCTTCTGTTCAACATGTAGCTCCAAATCTTCTGTTCAACATGTAGCTCCAAATCTTCTGTTCAACATGTAGCTCCAAATCTTCTGTTCAACATGTAGCTCCAAATCTTCTGTTCAACATGTAGCTCCAAATCTTCTGTTCAACATGTAGCTCCAAATCTTCTGTTCAACATGTAGCTCCAAATCTTCTGTTCAACATGTAGCTCCAAATCTTCTGTTCAACATGTAGCTCCAAATCTTCTGTTCAACATGTAGCTCCAAATCTTCTGTTCAACATGTAGCTCCAAATTGATCATCTTCTCAACATGTAGCTCCAAATTGATCATCTTCTCAACATGTAGCTCCAAATTGATCATCTTCTCAACATGTAGCTCCAAATTGATCATCTTCTCAACATGTAGCTCCAAATTGATCATCTTCTCAACATGTAGCTCCAAATTGATCATCTTCTCAACATGTAGCTCCAAATTGATCATCTTCTCAACATGTAGCTCCAAATTGATCATCTTCTCAACATGTAGCTCCAAATTCTCTAACATGTAGCTCCAAATTACCTTCTCAACATGTAGCTCCAAATTACCTTCTCAACATGTAGCTCCAAATTACCTTCTCAACATGTAGCTCCAAATTACCTTCTCAACATGTAGCTCCAAATTACCTTCTCAACATGTAGCTCCAAATTACCTTCTCAACATGTAGCTCCAAATTACCTTCTCAACATGTAGCTCCAAATTACCTTCTCAACATGTAGCTCCAAATTACCTTCTCAACATGTAGCTCCAAATTACCTTCTCAACATGTAGCTCCAAATTACCTTCTCAACATGTAGCTCCAAATTACCTTCTCAACATGTAGCTCCAAATTACCTTCTCAACATGTAGCTCCAAATCACCTTCTCAACATGTAGCTCCAAATCACCTTCTCAACATGTAGCTCCAAATCACCTTCTCAACATGTAGCTCCAAATCACCTTCTCAACATGTAGCTCCAAATCACTTCTCAACATGTAGCTCCAAATCATCTTCTCAACATGTAGCTCCAAATCATCTTCTCAACATGTAGCTCCAAATCATCTTCTCAACATGTAGCTCCAAATCATCTTCTCAATTGTATGATACCTTATTGCGTGATCTTTTCGAAATTTTCAAAGCCACACTTTTTTCATGGTCGATTTGATGATCGAATATTTCGAGTTGGATTATTGGTTGGAACTGATTCAATTTAAAGAGGCGCAACTTAGGTTATCCATTCCTATTTCATTCGTTTTTGTTTTTCCTTTGACTTATGACAAATGTTTCTCGTTTACTAGTTTCTGCAATACAACGAATTCGATCCGAAAATAACTCAAGCCTTACACGTCCGCATCAATAGACCAAAATTCTTGCTCAACCAAGAGCCAGTTAATGCTCGATTGGCCAAGCAAAATACTATTGTTCTGATCTCTTGTTGAGATAAGACCTAGCTCAAGAACTCGAGGAAGAATTAGATCTTCATCGTTAGTTCAGTTTGTTTCAACGATTCCTAAATTTCGTCGATTTTCGGTTAGTGTTGCCGTGCATCGTATCAATCACTCCTGATCGAGTGTGTCGAGAAGCGGTCGGTGTATACAACCATTCTCTACTGAACAGGGGTTAGGTCGCCAGCCATATCCTGCGTTGCGTTCCGACATGACGAGCTCCATCGACGAATGTGTTCAGGCCGTCGACTCTTCATTGGTTCACCCTTATCGGCCGATACACATGTGATGTTCCGACCAGATCAACGATTTCAAAATCTGGATTACCACTATGTAGAGCTGCACGCACAACCTACGAATGGCGGAAATTAATCGCTGTTGGGTGACAAAGCTCGTTGATTCAGCATTTATTTCGCCAAAAAGATCCGCACATGCCACCTGAAGCAGAGTCTATTAAGATTTGATTTTCTAACATTACACCCCCACATACACACACACGCACGCACGCACACAAGTTCAAAACACCACAGCAGAGTTAGATTCAGTAGAACAACATGAGTATAATTAACTTAAGCATTACCTACTGTTTGCCGTATCGTTGCAGCTGTTGGTCGTTGTTAGCAGTTGTTACTAGCATCACTCCTACAATTGAAGCACATACTGCACACAATTGAACTGAATCTAACACAACACTCCGTACGCGTCGTCAGCGCCCAATTCTGTGCAGAGTCGCGCCAACCCCCGTCGTCGTCCTCGTAGTTCTGCAAGAACCGGCCAACAATAATAATCATTCGAATGATTGTGACGTTTCCGTCGAGGACGCTCGGAAGCTTCCCTTTTGTCTTAGTTGATCGACGAATTGACGTCACGACGCTCTCGTCCGTGGCGTGAAGACGCAGCTCACCTGACCGGATGGCCAGACAGACAAACGGTCGGCCGATCGACGACGAGAGTCAGATCGACTCTCGGTGACGAGACCGACTTAGAAACGACGGGCCTGCTCTTTCGATTCCCGCCGCGTCTGTCGCCACCATCAACCTCCAGCACCGCAGTAGCTCCGTCTCTAACACAGACTCATCCCCCGTACATAGCTCCGCTACGAGCAGTCATCCTCGCGGCCATCTTGTTTTTGTCTGGTACTAATAGCAGCCGCGGCAGGATCGAGCACTCGATGGCGACCATTAGTGGCAGCAGCAGCGCCGGCAGGGCTAGCGACGGCGCTGCGGGTAAATACCAGCTACCTAGAACGTGTGTGGTACACTGCTGGGCTGTTCGCCTCCTGGTATCCGTCGCTGTTGCTGGTATACACGAAAAATGTTTGTGCGCTTCTGTCGGAAAGGTGCAGTGCAAAGCCCAGATACATGCAATAGGTACAAGACAAACAGGGAACAGTTCTACACGGCGTAGATAGAAGAACGACAGTGACAGCTCTAGCAGAGAGGAGCAACAGCCGCAGGCGGCACCGTCGTGGCTGCAGCGGACGATAGCAGAAGTGAAAACTCGATGTTGTATCTGGCAGACTGGCTGGCTGGTACAGGGTAGCGGTACAAATAAACAGCAGTGCTGGCTTCACTCCACGACTTATGCAGAGGACGCGCACAGTACTATAGCAATTAAGAACACGGACAAAGACAAACAACGCGCCGGCAATGCAGAAACACTCACAGGCTGTCGTTTGCGACCAGCAGGCGTTTCCACCTTCCTGTCTTTTCAGCCAACACGAAACGACAGCAATGGCCTCTGGTTGCATACGAATGAACGCAGCTTTCGAGTGTCGCCCGAAAGGTATTTGCGTAGCAACAGGACATTTAAGTCGCCAGCCAACTTAGCGGATATGTTGGGCTGGCTCTGATCTAGTCGCGGTAAGGGTGCTCCATATACAGTATCGGCAAAAGAGGGATGAGAAAATATAGAAATGATATGGGCTTCGTGTGTGGGAACAGTTTAAGTCGATCGTCATAAAACGTCAGGCTGAGAGAAGAAACAAAACTGTGACTATAACTAAACATTGTTGCTAAATAGGAAAATTCATTAGCAAAATGGGAAGACTATTCGTGGCTAACGAAAATGGCTTGAATGCATTTCTAAGCAGACGACTCGTAACTGATGAGTCCTACGGCGGGGGTGAGGTCTAGTGGTCGTCCCTAAATGTTTCCGAGTTTTTAGTCGAGCACCGTAGCCTCGCATTACTCCAGACGGCTGGCTCTTTCTGGCACACAACGAAGTATGTATACGCTCGGATTCGAACTTATTGTACATAAGTTTAGCAAAAAGGCACGTTTCCCACTATGTTATTATACACCGTATTGGATATTGACTGCGTTAAACAATTTCCACGAGGGTTACCCTAATGAAGTTGTGTAGTTTAAAATTTTTTTTTACATAAGTGCGACTGTACATTCTTTGCTGTACTTGCACATTGTCATAATTCGTTTTTTAGATAATTAAGATAACATGGTGTCACAGACATTCATTTTTTTCTCGCATAATTTCCATTTCTAGTTATCGTCAAATTACGCGCTTAGCGGGTCACATTCCGCCAAACTGGTAACGTTCCCCATCTCGTTGCCGGGGCTAGCCAGCATGAAACCGACCCGTGCAATATTTGTACAAACAAATGTGAACGTTGGTACGATACGATTTTTTTGATTCCTTCGAAATTAAGCCGCTATGCCAATGATACTTAAAAATCAAGTGTACAGCCAACATCTTCCGTCGTCAACAATCGTGCCCACATCAGACACGTTCCTCCAATACAAGCTCTGGTTATGTCCGGTGTTTTCGCGCATAGCGGCTCGTTATCTCTATGGGTTTGGCTCCTTTAGTCCCAATTGCGTAGCCCTTTACGATAATTAGACGTGACAACCGCGTCCCACAGCAACCGGCCATTGGCCGCCTTAGGCTCCTTATACCACTCAGTCAAGCATTTTCTTAGTCACTCGGTTGCCCCAGCGCCCTCACTATCAGTGGTATTAACAGCAGACAGCGATCGCAAACAGTCAAAGATCATTGTCAGGGTTTGTACCAAAACAAAAATGGCACCTGTGTTGTGATCAACGGAAGCGATTTTTTGAGAAACTATATTACTACCATGTGAGGGAGTACAATTTGCTACAAAATAAAAGTGGTCGAGGAGATCACCAAATAGTGCTGCGTGTGCTAGTGAACATTATGCGCCAGTGGGTTCTTCGACACATTTTTGTGACAGTGAATTTCGCTTGAATGAAAAGTAACTGCATCTTTACAAGATACATTTAATGGACTCGGAACTATAAATACATAAGAAGAGTTTTACTGTTGATAAAAAGATTGACCAACTACGCTCATTATTAAATCGTTTATTATGACTGGCTTACGTCAGTTTTTTTTTGAATTCCGTAGGGACGGGACAACAAGGCTGCATGCTTAACTAAGACGTGTCCTCAGCTGATTGCAGTGTCTACGTGTCACAGGGTTGGTACTGCGTCTCTACAATTGAATGACAACAGGGCTGATGTTCTCATTAGATAAAAAGAATAACTAGACAATCGAGGATAAACTGAGTGATGAGTCTGGTGAGACTTCGCTATTGAAAAAGTGATAGTTTTTATCTTGATGTGTCAGAGATATTTTCCGATAACTCGTCTAAAGATTTCGAAATGTACATATATGCACGGACTCAGCAGGCTGATTCTGGGAACACAATGATGTATTCGCCACATTAATCGATCTTTCGTAGAGTGTATGGGGGCTGAGGGGGGTCCGATGGCCTATTTTTATAACCATCTAGTTGTAGTAGCGAAAGTCGTCGAATGTAAAAGAAAAACGATTGTAAATGCCAGTCGTGCTAAACTGAATGAAGTTTGTACTTGATTATGTCAAAGGCTGAACTGAACTGGTAAATATGCGAGAAACGCAGATCAGTATATTAATCTAAATGTGTGAAGTAATTAAGCTCGTGTTATTATTCAAGGCAGAATGTGTGACCTTTCAAGTGGCTTATTGTAAACGGTATATTACTATACGACACGGCATATGCGCCTCGTCGCTAATCGGGTTTCGTCTTTTAATAGGAGCAGTTTAGGATGACACTTCGACGTCTGATGGTACCTGCGTCTACTACCAGATTTATCTAAAAATAACCACATAAGTAACAATGTGCATAAAAAAAGTGTCGTATGTTTCGTTTTCATCTTTATTACGGAAAACCCACTTGTTCACCGAAAGGCTACAATACACGTTGACGACATGATTTCGGACTTCACTGGTCCCCTGAAATCTACCATTGCGGATTTGCGAAGTTCCACGGTCCGTTGTGATGGTAAAAACAACCACAATAGTGGTGATGATAATTGTTATTTGTGTACTTGATGATCGCTATTATTTTTGTTTTAACAGCACCGTTTGCGATCTTGTGTTAATTAATGAGAAGACGTACTAGATCGGTATATTGAGAGCGCCGTCGTATGGCCAGACACAGCGCATTTGTGTGCATAGCTTATAATCTCTTTAAAACGCTTCAAAAGCTTATTGTTCTCTTCAGCCTCGCGAAAGAGGCGAAACTTATTGCCATTATATGGTTTGTTGTTTGTTGATCTTGCCAGGTGCGTACGTAAAAGATTCTGGAGAGGGGTACGGCACTGTTATAGACAGAACTGCGGATGGGAGAAACAACTGCTATCATAGTAATTGTCGCTTCCTGAGACCTTTGTCGTCCACAGTTGGGTTTACACGAGAACCAGTAGATTAGTTTGTCACCGTGTTGTGTCTATCGATTCAGGACATGAACAAGATGGAATGAAATTGCGTTGATGCTATGTAACAGCCATGTCGCATGTAACGATAAGAGAAGGTATTAGGGGTTAGAATAACCATCGGCTTATTCGTGCCTCGTTTGTATGCAAACAAATACACAGAGACATTAATATAAATCCTTTCGAGTTTAAGTGGAAGCCGTTTCTTAAATGTTTGTTTAATGTATATCTAGTTTCATGGTCTTATATGTTATAGAGACGCAACAAATCGAATAGACTCGCTTCGGTAAAAAGTATTCCGTATAGAGTAAAAAAAATCTTGATAAGGCCGGAAATCTGACACACTGTTTATCTATATCCTTTCATTCTATAACTATTATTAAGGGCTGTAAGAGTAGTAAACATTTTGATGTAACGAGAAATTTATATAAATCTATTATTATTGTTTAATAGAGTTGTTATGCCAAGCTGACTTTAGTCAATTTGTAATAAAGACAAATGTAGAACCAACTGAACTTAGTGTTTCCTGTATATAAAAAATTCGCTAGGGCGTGTACAACAGCAAAGAGTTCAAATATTTTGCAAAATCATTATTGTAACTAAATCACTCTAAGCCACTGTTTATAGTTTGTAAAATATAAATGAGACTTAATGAATTCTAGTAGCTCGCCACGTCTAGAAGGATGATATCTTCCTTCTAGTTTTTTGTTGCGAATGGTAGATCTTGCTTGGTGTAGCGTGGTAATCGTAATAAAAATATTAACATAGATAGCGTTGTTCAAGAGCTCAAGTAAATCACCCTTTTTAGAAGGTTAATTTGGTTAATTACTTTAAAGTCATACATTTCTAAATAAAATTGTTCGTGCAAAAATGAGGTACTAGTGTAAAAGCAGTAGTAATATAAATCGCATCGTTACGATGAAATCGTACACTGTATGTACACATGCTGCATCTTTCAGGGCCGTTTTCTAGAAAGGTTTACAACGGAATGATTCCTGTATCGGGGTCTTGCCCGGCGGTCGTAGGCATTCATGGAGAAACAACTGGACAAAGTTAATAATACGATGGCTGACGATATGTCAAGGAGTCCATAACACGTTAATTCCTTGCAACATCACAAGACTATGTAGCCTCAACTGATTAATATAGATAACATGTGATTATCACATAACAGTATCACTTGCCATTAAACTTTTGGAATGTTAAAGTTATAAAAACAGAAATTTAATGAACATACAACTTCCCATGGATTGCCCGCATTATAACCGCCCTATTCCTGCCGTTTGACACCACCGAAAAAATGAAATTTCTATGCGGTTCTTGTAAAAAGCGATATCTGTAGAACTAGTCCTTTTACAACTGGCAAGCTCAAGTGATGTGTTTGATAGAACATTACGTCTGATTTATAGAAAAAAAAAAACGGTTACCGAGAATTGTTTCACTTTGAGCTCGTAAATAAAGACGGTCAGTGATATTATATCTAAAGCATGATAACTAGCCTTCTTATTCGTAACGAGATCTTTATACTGCGCACATTTGACAAATTTCTTTACGACTAACCTTTTTTACCTCAAACTAACGTATTCATTAACGTATTCATTATTTCAGACATAGCGAACACAATGGCGTCGATAAAACTGCCACTCTCAGTGGCAGCTGATTTTGAGTCCCTAAACGATATGTGTGAAAAAGAACTGGACAAAATAGTTCCTAAGCAATCGGCTGGAGTGTAAGTGAAATAAACTTTACGCATCGAATGCTACGGCTTCACATTTGTTATATGGATGTGTAAATTAAGGAAGGACAATCAATGCCCATCTGATTATGTTTAACAAAAAACTCGTTTGTTTTGAACTCTACGAATATATAATACGTATTTAAAGATAAAGCTCGCCTTTTTAGCACGTCTGGTCTTTTAAATTTGCTTCCTTTCTTGTTCTATGTAGGTTGATAATAATTATTAACAGCGGTAAATTAGCTTTTACGGTTGTGTGCGATAGACTATTAGATATCAGACCCAGCATCCGTATTTATCAAATTATTTAGCAAACGTATTTAGCATATCACGCAAATTTCGTTTTGGAAACAGTTTTGAATCATTTGAGAAATGGTGATTTATTCATTAATAACTATAATTAAAAAAAAAATGAACTAGCTTGATATTTATAATATATAACCCAGGTACAACAAGGGTAATTAGCTTGTATTACGGGAAAGTATTACAAGAAAGTATCGTGCTATTTTTTATAGGGTGATTAGTGGTGTGGCATAATGTTTCACTGCAAACAACTGAGTAATAATCGTATCGTACTGTTCTCATATCATACATCTCTCAAAACTGCTCGACTCACCTAAATTTGTTGTTTTTTGATCTATTTTTGCTAGAAAAATGTGTGATTGATGTTGCGCTGTTGTATTACAGACTACGGCGAGCCCTGAATCCCTTATTTCAGGAGGCGGACAAATATTTTCGAGAGGGCAATGAAGAAAAAGCTTACATCGTCTATATGAGGTGAAAATACGTTCGGATGGAGTTAAAATTACTTAAAACAAGCGAGTAGACTCGAGCATGAGATTTACGCTAATTTTTTCTGCTATAGCAGCATTTAGAAACGTGAAAGTCTTTGTTCGTTTTCAGTTTTCACATTATATATACGCGTAAAATACGTCATAGATATAAGTATGATAAGTAAGCAACATATTGCATAATTAATTATACTACAGTCCGTCACAATATATTTTTTGCAAAACATAAGATTGCTTATACCGTGACGTATTGCGCACGGCTAAATCCACTTAACTAAAGATATAATGAAATAACATTTCCCTGTTGCTTATTATGCCAATTTCAAACAGGGCATATTATAATTTAGTGGATGACTATCGCTCTTATGCACGCTAATTTCGTCTAAGCATATAAAAATTGGCGACTGAATGTTCTAACAACAATATTATTTTCTATCTGTCGGAATGGTCTCGTTTTTTTTGGGTTTTTGGTCTTCTGATATACAGGTACGCGAGTTTGGCTATGAAAGAGAAGGAAAAAGATGTAGAAAAAATAAAGAAGGCTTTAGGCCGATTGGAGAGCCTAAAAACGTCGTTAATAGATCGATACGCACAACGAAATGTTGGTAAGAACTGGCTTATTTGACCTAAGTACAATACACTTGAGATTTATGAGTAGATTTTTTAGCTAGGGAAGTAGACTTTTCGGCTAAAGGGTGGTCTTTTGTCAGCCGATGAATATATTTGGGTGACTCGAGCTATTGGTTGCGACATACACCTAACTTTCTTTCGCTTTCCCAAAATGCAGAGCAATCGTTGGATACTCTTCCATCACTTCCACCTTTAAGTGCTCTAAAGACTGATATGGTAAACGGGTCTGTTTATCCTTTGATATCTCCGAAAAGTACTGCAATAACTGGTCCGCCTTCAGCACCCAGTAAACTGTCGCAAGATAGTTTACCTTCAGTAGGATTTGCGCGCACCTCAGTTAACGGCCTTATGAGTGGCGGGATATCGAAATCCAGCACGGTACCGAGTGGACCACCGAACACCCATTTCGCAGTTGACCCCGATCAGGGCGTCAGCAGCTCGAAACAGCCGATCAATGGGCAACAGCCTGACCAAAAAAGTATGTTGGTTGCTTGTCGTATCGTAGCTTCAGTTGCAGGGACAATGTTTGTGCTTGTGGACGTATTTTTCACATCTTGTAGGATACCTTTAGTAAATGTCACGGATTGAAATCAGTGGCTTTCTACCTTTCACGGCGTTAATGTGTTTACTGTTGTTTTTACTCTTTTCGGATGATGTCGATTTACAGGTGTACATTTTGTCACCTGTGGGATACTTCATTCACTACTGAAGGAAAACAAAGCGCTTGTACTCGACTGTCGCAGTGCAGAGGCGTTTAAAGATTCTCATATCAGCCTTTCGCCAAACGTGATTAATATTTCAAAACCTTATATGGGCATGACGTCGTTTCAGATCTCCAACCAGTTAACAAACGAACACAGACTACTATTCGAAAGGCGAAAGGATTTCGAAAAGGTTTGTAATCGTATAGTGCTATCGTCGTTAAGAGAATTGAGCATATGAGCCCCTCTTTCCCTATCAAATGGAACATCCATTGTTATCTATTGTTTTGTACCTTCAAATTGGTTCGTATTGTAGGAAAATAACTTAAGATTGTCATCGTGTAAATCCTTGTTTGCGATGACTTGGGCGAAATCTTAAGGGTGCCAAGTTCTTGCTTTCGAAGTTTTACTGTGGCTATAATAAACGATCACTTTATGATAACTTACAGTTGTTTCGACAAGTTTTTGTCGACACCTTGATTCAATTTATATATATATATATATATATATATGTATATATATATATATATGGCATCAGTTGCAATCGTGTGACAAGTATGACGACAAAAGGATTCAAGTTCTGTGTACTGATATTTGATCCGTTTAGGTCGTTGTTGTCGATTGGGATGGAAGAGGCTACATGAATCCTTCAGCTCCAGCTGCGTGCATTGTCGAGGCATTGTGGAAATGGGTGCTGCAAAATCATAGCGTCACTGTTTATCATCTGAAGGGCGAGTTCTGCCTTCGTTTGTATTTAGTATTCACCGGTTACAGATCGCTGTTATAGCTGTGGATCGTTTTAATGCCAAATTTTCTACGGTACAACACTTACGTAATTGTGGGATATTAATGCATATTCGTGTCTATATGCATTGTCGGAGTCGAATCCCCTCTCTAAACTATTATCTCCTAGAGGTGATTGAGCCACCGTCGTACTCGCTAATAACTAACAGTTACTCTAATGCTCTTGATTCTCCATTTTGTTTAGATGGCTACCGGCTCTGGGTCAACTTCTACCCTAATGACACAACAAATTCAAAACCAAACGAAAATTTCAACAAAGGAACCGATGTGCCTATCACCGGCCGCCTGCTTACAGACAGTAATCTGAGCAGCCAATCGGGTGGCCTTAAAGGTAGAGGAGAGCCAGTTACTGCCGAACAGCTTCGCAAGCTCACTTGGCAACCTGAATCGTTCGAACAGAACGTAAGAACAGAACGTATGCTAGATTCCACAAGAATTTTTTTAACTTGAAAACAGTAGAGGGTATCGGAATCGTTAAGTAAGCTTACAATGGGTCTGGGTAAAAGAAATGCAACGAGGCATGGATTTTGCGTTGACTAGAAATGCAGACTTATACTTATCGCATTTGTAACTCTGTCGGCGAGTCGAAGAGTTCTAAAAAAAATTGCTTCCTAAATGGCACAAAAGTGTGCCTATTTCGATTAGAAAGACCAAAAAAATCCGTTGCAAGGGTTATAAACCTGCGCGATCTATGTATGTGTGTTAGTTTGCAGGTCCAAATTAATTAATCGGATCCAAATTTACCGAACGACATGTATGGTTAAAGTGCTTAATGATTTTATTTCCTTACATGGAACTTGTCCATTTTTCCTTGTAGGTTCAAGTTGTCAATACGCCTGCGGTAACGCCCACGGTCACCCCTGCCGGCCAAACGTCAGCAGGAGCCAACCCACGAAGTACCTCAACGAGTTCACATAACACGGCATCGTCTGGGGAAGGAGGAGCAACCGTGAGACCTGTATTATCCGTGCCACCGTTTAATGACATTGGTGGAGCAGGAGATTTTCGACATGATGGGCCTGGCGCTAGCGAGCTTAGCCGAGTAGATCGCTCATCCCAAGACACAGTCAAACAATTTACGCAATCAGTAAACGAAAAAATTTCGGTAAGTGCAACTTCACTCCGTAAGTCGAATGAAGTTGTACGTGAATACACGCACTAAGTTCAAAAATCATTAGAATGTAGTAAATAACGAAACTGACAAAAGTGATTTTTTTCAACAACAAAAGTTTTTGTGTCGCGTTTATCGTTTTGATGTCGTGATAGTACTCATAAATAGTAAATATTAGTAATAGTGAAACTAAAATGTTATCTATTATCTACTGTAGCAATTATGACCTGTTTCAGCCACAGCTAAATATCTGTTATAATACACATGTCCTCACAATAATGCTTATTTTACAACTCCATGCTTTTGTATCGACTTATTGATTTGACTCAGGCTCAGGTGGTTGTGCCGAAACCGCGAACGAAATCTGAAGCCGGCGACAGTTCCACCGCGCCCTTGCCGCTTCCGTCGAGCTATTCGAAACCGTCGATCATGCGATCCCGATCATTAGATAATATCTATGAAGAGAACCTGCGAGACGATTCCTTCAATCGTCCTTTGGCGTATCCGGCTAAGGCAGGTGCAACCAATTGTGAACAGTTGCATCAGTTAATGAACAAGCGGCCGTCGATAGACCGGTATAAATCAATGTTTATTTCAATCCGTTTTATTATAGAGGGGTCATGTATATGCGTGCATCATTAACATCCGAAACCGTCTTTACCTGAAATCAATAGATATTGCATAGATAGGTACAAATTAAATAACACGATTCGTTCACATCAGTTTCAATTTAATACTGTTAGTGACCAGTCAACAATGATTTTTAGTTAATTTTTTAACTTTATCTTTTTTTAATTAACAGATTTGCATATAAGGGTATTTGGGTAAAACGTCGTCTGCAAAAAATTATTATTTGTGCGTTTTTTCATGTACTTAATTGAGATGTATATTTATATCAGCTCACAAAATATACGATAAATGGATATTAATTTTGTTGTAAACTCTCATCATTATCTCGCCCCAAAGGAATATCCAAGTTTGCTGGTCAGTCGTCGTGATTATGGTATTATATATATATATATATATATATATATATATATATATATATATAAATTTACTTTTTGTCTGGTTGTTTTTTATAATCGGACAACCTTGCTCTAGGAGTCTGAAACCATCGAACAGTTTAGACGCCGCCACAGTCCATCGGTCGAAAGATGGCACTCATCCACAGCAAAATGCTGTGGGAACATTGCACGCTGGCAGCAACAATACAACCGGGGTCTATTATGATGGTAATAATAATAACGATCACCGAATAGCCAATGGCAGCTTCAACCTCAACAACAATAACGTGTTCGTGTCGAACAGTAACGAGGCAAATCAACGGCAGTTGATTACGTCGACGATGGTGCGGCCAGTTGCTGCTACGCGAGTGACGGCTCGGCCGAATATACCACCGAGAACTCGACGAAGTCAATCACCTGTACAGGTGTATCGATATGGTCTGATTGATCGGACAACGGGTTTACGTAACCTCGGCAACAGCTGTTACATGAACTCCGTGCTGCAGGCGCTTGCCCATTCAACAGAATTCGCCCGATACTTCGTAAGCCGACAGCACGAAAACCATCTCAATGTGTGAGTGTTGCACGACGTATCGACGAAGTGGTAATGGATATGCAAACATTTGAGAGATAATAACAAAAGAGCGTATTGGTCTATATATGTGTTTGTATACATATTTAATAATATTTAATTTAATAACAATTAAGTTACCCAAATATCGAACTGAAACAAATAGATCGCATAGTTTTATTCTCTGATTTACATTTTATCGTTTATTATAAAATCTGAGTTATGGGCCAGTACATTGTTCATAAATATGGGCACTAAAGGCTATATACTGACGGTTGTTTCATTTGATTCGTTGTACGTTGCGACTGTTCGGTGGTATGATGGTAAATGACTGCAATAAAAAATACAGGAATAATAAACGTGGAAGTGGGGGTAAGCTACCGGGCCTGTTTTCACAGCTATTATCGCAGCTTTGGTCGCAGAATGACACTCGAGAAGCACTTGGGCAATTTCGTAGCCTAATGGGCTCCTTGTATCCAATGTACTCTACATATGATCAACAGGACAGTCATGAGTTCCTCGTCAATCTGCTTGATCGGCTCCACGAAGACCTGAATTCAGCTGTAAGTAAACCCGCGGTTTCTTGCAGATATTTACTAACAGAATAATCATATACATTTATTTTTCGTTATCATTATTATTAAGCGCAGCATTGAATGTTGTTCCTGATTAAACTTTTTAATGGTAACGTGCTACATGAAGACACACGCATTTCTACGACTAATATCGTTTTTTTTTGTTTAAACATACGTTGCCATGTGGTTTATATCATTCCGTATATAGGAAAAGCGCAACCGCCCCAATTCTTTGAGCAACCCAGATGCCGTGGTCACGTTCCCGATGCTTGCCCAAGAACTTAACAAGTTTTTTACCGGTAACTGTTTCATTTTGCTCATTATGGTGGGAACCTTAATATTGTATGTTTACACTGAATATTTTCCATAAAATCAATAATTATAATTTTGAGGGATTCTGATTGGAATGATCTTGTGAAAGGCTAAAAATAAAAAGCAACATTTGAGTAATTTTGTATGCTAATGAAAAGCATTCATTGAATATAAATGGCAGATACAGTATTTGTTGCATACAATAGAAGTGTATAATTCCTATTCTGTTTTCGTTTGTATTTGGCTCTTCAGCGCACAGTGACATGCATATGTCGTGTGTGACGCAGAACTATGAGGGAATTCTGGTGTCAGGATTAAAGTGTCATACATGCGACAATGACTCGTATACATTCCAGGTTAGTGATTGATAACGCTCGAAGCTGACACCCTGTTTTCATTATTTGTAAAAAAAAAACAATAGTTCCTAGACATGTTGATTTTACAATTATTAAGCAAACGAATAGACTCGGTAAACCACAGAATACTGTTCAAGTCGTAAGGAGATAATCGGCTCATACAAAAATTCCGATACGAACGAAACTCGTATGTAATCTTTTTTGTTTATGACTGAAAAATATACAGGATTATGTTTATATCTATAGCCTCGCACTACGGTTTTAGCGAATGACGTAAAATCCGTATTTGACTGAAACATAATAGAATAATTAGAAATGTATTCAATTATTGTGGTGATTGAATGTAAAAAATTGGTTCAAACTTCTTCTCAGATTATTACGGCCAATGGCACAGGGGTAGACCCGTTTCGTCTACAGCAAGAGGCGTTTGCCCTGTTTGTTGTTCCTTTTTTTTTTCATTAACCTGTGATTTCATAGACAACTCCACGAAGTTTCAAGTCGACAATAGCAGAAGGGTAGCCAGTGAAGAATTGACTATAAGTAAATTTATGAATTAATTCTATGAGTGTATGTGTCTTCAATACACCAGGTGTTCAACGTACTGTCTGTCCCAATTCCAAATGTAAGCGGTCTGGACATTTTTCACTGCTTCGACGAGTTCTTCCGGGAAGAGAAGGTAGAAGATTGGCACTGTCCGCATTGCAAAGCGAAACGGACGGCTAGCAAGCATATGAGGATTGCGCGGTTACCCAAACATCTCGTACGTTTTGAATACTAGTGACAGTCGTTGCTACAATCGTGTATTTAGTTTTATAATGTTCTATTCTGTGAGAAATTATTTTAGAATCGTCTTGGTTAGGCATTGTATAATGAATAGAATGATCAGTTTACGTGCTAGAGAGGCAGAATTCAACTAGGCGTGTGTGTAGGTCGTTCAAATTTTTTTTTCTAGGAAATCAGGTCATCTAAAGAAGTTCGTTCAAGGAAGCTGTCCAAGAAGTTTTCCTTGTCGTTCATTGGTTTGCTTTCGTTGATTTGGTTTCTCATTTAGATCATACATCTGGTTCGATTCAAGAACGAGTCGTGGACCGCGTTCTCGTTTTCGTCCTATAAAAAAATAACCAACGTCGTAAACTTTACGATCGAACTCGACACCCGAGAACTCGCCCAATACATCTATTCGAAAGAAGTTAAACTGAAGAGTTATACGCTGTATGCCATCGTAGTAAGTAGCGCTTAGATAAAATAACAAAAATTCTAGGTACGGTAATTTATTACAACAACATGATTGGCCACAGCAGCAGGGTCTCCAGACGCAGAACAGTAAGAGCGTAATACCCGCTAAATAAACAAATATAAAAAAATCTAAACAAGAGTCGGTTTTATAACGTTATTGATTCGAGTTGGTCTGGTCCAAAAAGTCGGACTTGCATCCATCTCTCTTCACTAGGTGACTTCTTTGTTGGTGGTGTTACAGCCTTTTCTGAGATAGCAGCACCTACATGTAGAGCGGCTATGTATAAGAGCATGTTTCGTACTAGTACCTGTACTCTTCCCATTACCTAACTACATTAATTTCCTTTACACTGTTAAATGATAATATCATAACAAATTGTCCATTTGTTTCAATCTGTTGCAGAACCATTACGGAACAATTTCTAGCGGACATTGTAAGTGTTCAGTCGGTCTATATACAGCTGTTTAGAATTACTTCAATAAATTACTCTTCTTTGATACTATTCCATGAGTAAGAGCGTCAAAGAAAATGCAAGCAGTTTTCAGAACGTTACATTGCTAGTACATGTACTTAACCCTAAATGTTAACGTTATAACAAGCAGCTATCAGTTATTTATCTCTCAATTTCAGACTATTCGGATTGCCGTTTCTTACCCAATCCACAATGGTACCGATATAGTGATCACCAGGTTAGTCTTTTTGCCGCTAATCTATGCGCTTTATCATTTCATGGTAAATTCTTGGCTTTTGGACACAAAAAAGCAGATTATGGAAAAGGGCGAAGTTTCTACTATACTAACCCAGCGTATTCAGTTTGATGTGGCGTCCTGTAAAGGTAATTATTTTTGCTAAAACGAAACCTCTTTTTAAATTTTGCCGTGCCAACTTTGCAGGTTACAACCCTCCAATCGAAGGTGCCCGATGTGGGTAGTGCCTATATGCTTTTCTATTCCTGCGTTGATTGATCGCGTACGTGCTTCAATATCCAATTCCCCGATTGCTTCTAATCCTGTTAGAAACTCTCTAATTTTCAAGCAAACAGTAATAACAACCATTTGAAGCCACGGGACCGCTGAGCAGCCCCGAAAGAAGTCTCTGACACTACTGTTGGCTAAGTCAAGCTTAGCTTCTTGTCATTACTTGTTTGTCGCTTGTGAGTGCTGATCGATCCGAATGCCAAGCGAATCCGAAGTTTGGGGCCCGACAGTGATCGCACTACTGTTCCTACATATTTTAGATATGTGCCGCGTTACCAGTTGCAATCACTACGTACCCATGTTGTGCTGAGCATAGTGCAAAAAAGACCGATTATTAACAAACAAACATACTCAAGCTTAACATTATTATTATTATTACAGCATCAGTGTAAAGCAAACGCGGTGTGATATAATGGCATAAGTTAGATATAAGCTACATGGCCCTTTTTCATCATTATTATTATTATTGTTACTGTAATATCTCACGTTGTTTCATTAGTTTTACTTCTCACCATATGATGAGTATTCGCTATGGTCTGAATTTTGCCTTTTCTGAATTACGTTAGCTATGCTTCTTTCTCTCGCGTATGATGATGATGATGATTAGTAAGACTCACATATTGAGTTCTCCCATTTTACTATATACACAACACAGTGTGTATGTGTGTCGTACCTTACAACATTAGCTTCGCTAAGTCTCTTGCGCTAAAACGAGTTGAGAAAATTAGATTCATCTTGACGTAGGCACTCCTCGGAAGTTTAAAAACGATTAGACATTGACCGTGCGCACATATTAGTCAGTGATAGGCTCTTACTATTTTGTTTTCTGATGTATTGTTCCAATGTGATTTTGTTATGTTATGGTAGAAGCGGACGGAAAAGTGCAAATACTATCGATGTTCCTGAAAAACCAAGTAATAACACAGGCCATTCTGGCAGTTGGCCGAGTTGGTTCCAGTGACGTAGGCTATCTCGTTCTTGGTGTCCCAACCAAGAGTCGTAGCTTAAACAAAAGTAAAACATAGTACCTTCTGCTATTAAAACTGATGCTGCGTCATCCATATGGCAAGCCATATGTAAATGAACGCAGATATTCACGCAACTGACGCAGATTAGAATTACCTGTGGCAGTAGCGAGAAAACAGAGGGAAACAATATAGTAGAAAAGGAGTCTGGATACTCCGCGCAGCGCAAATATTCACACGTTTAGAGCGCTCCCTTTCTTTTACGGATAATTTACATCAGGTGGCGTCAAATGGTGCTCGTGGAGGTATACACCGTTTGGAACGATTAGTTATTAACAGCAGCAACAGAGATTCTAGGGCCTGGCTAGTTTTTACAGCTAGCGTGCGTTCGTACACAGTGTCGACACAATACAGTAGTGAGCGGAAATATAACTAATATAATTTTCGAAATTGGATGCAGAGAATATTTTAAGTATGGTCTGAAGCCACGTGAGTTATTAAGGATTACAAAAAATGCTCTGGCGACGTAGTTTGAGACATTGTTGGTCAGGTCAGCGAACTGTGCCGTTGTAGGCACACCTTTAATGATCGTTCGATACATGACTCGATTGTGCTACCAACCTGTCGATATACGAGTCAAAACGTATACTATCAAACGAAAATAGGGGCCTAATGATGCGTTACCTCGAAAGTGTTTTGAAAGAAAATCAAATGAGTCACTTTTTATCTATAGACGATGAGATGGAGAAGTGACAAACGGAATAGTTGGTTTATTGTTGTTGAATAAACATAAAATAATTAACAAGGTTCTGCTAATCACAGTAATATAATAAGGACGTAGTGGTTCTGATCATAATGACGTGCTGAAAAGAATGAAGTTCGAACCACGCAGAAAAAAAAGGATGAGAATGAGGGCAAGTGACCTCCATGTCTCTGGGTTCGTCGTGAGAATTGTCGATTTTCGATCATCTTTTTCTTCGGATACGACAGATCTCTCGTTCCGCCTTAAAAGAACTGATGATAGTGATGAAACTATGACCCGGACAGGCACAAGAAATCTAAGGTAAGAGAGTTATCCAAAAAATTCGCATGAGACACACTTCTATTTTTTTAGAGACTCAATATGAAAGCTAGTACCTATTTTAATTCTAATTTTAACTACAAAAGTCCTTCAACCTTTCAACGACTGTTCTGGGGTATCCTCACAAGTAGTTCACAAGAACTTGTACTGCAGAAGTCATCTAATGTGTCGATCGATAATTTACAAATTTTTCTGAATTTCTATGATAGAGGCTAAATACATTTGCTACCCTTTACTACCTTTCGTATATTGCGGTTTCAGTCACAGATGGCGCGGAGGCCTGATCTCGACGGGAACGAACTGAGGGTTACCGCGATATTGAAACGGAAAAAGAAACGTGAACAGGCGGGAAATTGATACAGACTGTTAAATTTTATTTTTATTAGAGATATATTATTGCATATTTTATTTTATGACCTCTATAGGCGTCGTCGATTCAAAACGTAGAAGGGGAAGAAGCGTGAGGTGGAAGCCCCTTGCAGGCGACGGAGTGTTGCCACGCAATTTCAGTGCACAACAACTTAAAAGAATGGAAGTAGACTAGAAAGATGTAGAAAGAATTGGGTGGGATATCAGTTTTTGGCTTTGTCAAATGTAAACGATAGGCTGGCGACGATTTCGTGGCTCTGTAAACACTAGTAATAATAAAATGAAGGAATTATAAAGAGAATAAGACAGTTAACGTATAAATAAATTGAAACATAATAAAATAGTGGAAAGTGCAATGAAAAATCTAGCTCATGGGTATTCTTTTCTTGTTTGTGTATGTAGGTTCTAATGCTAGGTTGCCATTGATAATAAGAATAATTACCTTACCTCTGCTAACTTACTCTGGGATTGAGTTGAATGAACTGTCGGGGACTTTGATCCAGATCGTCTCCGGCTCTAATCCAGTTGGGCACATGCAAATTTTGCGGTTTCATATTTCAAAAATTGTTTATAATAAAGTAAATTATTGAGTACGATTTTTCCATATAAGTATACTATATAGAAAGGTATCTATGCGTTATTTTTTTTCGGAGCTATCAACGTAGGTAAATAATATATGACTACTAAAATGTGAAAGTAGGATGTGGGTTCAGAAGCAAAAAGTTAGTAAAGTCAAACTCGAAATGCAGTGAACATGTTGTTCCATATCACTCCTGTGTGGTTTTACCGTTAAACTTTAAAGGAAAAACGCGTTTAACGCCCTTCCGAGCGCGGGGCCGCATAGACGAGTCCACCATGTATCGCATATACAAGGTGTTCATAAAAATGTATACACAATTTCAGTAATTATGACTTCAGATTTTATTTACATATAATTGACGTTTAAATTATAAAAAAAATATACATATCCTTTTTTCTTTATTACTGTTCTACTGATTTACAAACCTTCAAATCTCCTAGTGTCTCTTATTTAATCAAAATATGCCCATAATAATCAAAATAAAAGTGTGCAAGTGCTTTGTCTCGCAAAAAAATCCTTGCAAAAAGTCGCCATCTTCAAAGTCATCCCGATTGCCTGATAAAATAGATTCTTGCAGTAAATTCGAGTAAGTTATAACAGTCATTCTATTGGAAAAAATAGGGATCTAATCCAACTATAGTGCATACATTTTTTTAAGATTTTCTGTGTAATATCAGTAAAAAAGACCGAATTTATGTTAGATAAAAGCAAATGTAGACTGCATTTTTGATTAAATGTAAGTCTGTTTTAAAGAATTTGCACATGCAGAATTTGCAGGAGTAGTTTTTCTGAAACAAGAAATCAGAAAACAGCTTAAATAAAAGTAACACATTTTCCTAGTTCACTGCATAACAATATCTTGCATGCGACGTATGTAGAAATGGCAATTTTCGAAAAAACTAATGATTATAGCAGTAGTTAAATTAAATAGAGTTAGTTACTTTAGTTGTTTAATTTAGTACAGATGATTAATTACATGGGAGTCGCTATATATTTAAAGGCCGATTAAACCGCCAGCCTATGCTTTCCGAGGCCAACCGAAGAGAGAACCCATACCTTTTATGTTCTGATGCGTCTCGGCCAAGTTTCCCTTGTCTCAATGAAATATGTGTCGAATTACTATACATATCGATACGAACGCCCTATGTCAAGGTATGCTGCAATCATTTTTTATACTCCTTGACGTTTTTTAGACGAAATTTTAAATAAACCTGGTTGACGTTCGCTGCAGATGTCGGGTGGCCTGCATTAGCCGCTAAAATGACGAAAAGAAAATTTAAAGTACCGTGACTTCTTCTATGAAGCATACCAAATCTGTTTCGTTCGTTCTTGCACGTAAGATCGATAGGAGGACGGTTACGATACTGACTTAGCATTTACTTGAATGTGTTTTGTAGCATGGCTTTCTTTTAAAAGCAGGTTTGGTAATATAAAACGCTTTATTTAGAGGTAGTAATTTTTTTCTGAAAATACTTTACCAGGATATTTTCGGAAGGTCTTTCGGGTTCTTGTTTCAAGTAGCATATTTTTTAAGAGTAGTACATTTGTTTAAAGAGAATTCAAGTATTTGTTGAACAATTACGATTGTTTATTTTGCGCAGTAATAGATCCTGCGTTGGCCAAAGTCGGGGTTGTTGAGAGATAATAAACACTTTATTCACTCCCTATTTATAAACTCCACTCTTTATAAATACTTGCTTTAAACTTTCTCGAATCGCTCTCAAATCTTCAGTGTGAGTTTCAAATAAAGGTACTGTATGCTCTTAATGTAATGGAATAAGTACCTAATTTTTATACTATATTTTCACGGCTGAAATGCATAGCAGCTCAGCTTTTAATGAAAAACTAGCAATTCGAAAATACTATACAGCGTCTAAAACTACGAAAAGCTGACTGAAGCAAGTTAATTCCCGTTGGCTGTTCACGACTATAACTTCACATACTATACATTCAAAGGTTGAGCATTTGTTAGAAAATTGGCATAAACGATTGGCGTAACTGACAACTGATGATCAATAATTTGCATTGTCAGCATATTATACTTAACGAGGTTATGCTATTTTTCACTTTTAATTACGTGGTTTTCGAAAGTAAATAGTTATCTTAAAAACGAAGGTGCGAAATTAATTAAGCTTAAATATTTTCTATTATTTCTGAAAGTGTCCTTAGGGCGCAAGTGTGTATCGTGCACCGTGCGTATATTCGTGTTCTTTCTCTCATCCATCAGTAGATCATGGAACAGTGTCTCCGTCGAATGGGTAACGTGCTTTTAGCTAAACACCTAATTACTACTCTACCTACAAACCTACTAAACTATAAAATAAAAAAAATGCCACACGCGATGTGGTCTAAATTCGAAACTGCACGTAGAGTCACTTCGTTGCTGGGTGTACCCAGCTGTTTTAAGCAAAGCGTGGTTAACACAGTACCAGATTTCAAACAAACAGACAATGTAACCGTATCGCGACCTACACCAGTCCAATCTTCACAAACTTTAAAACTGTGAAGCTTAGTATAGCTGTTTACAGACAATTTGCCGCGTTTCTGATCCCTCTAGTCCATATACACTTATGCACATTCAAGGTCACCTATATTATCGTGCGTTTTCAGGTTTTACGTACTTTAGCTGTTAGGCAGTATTTGAGACATCTGTCCCCTTTCCTATTGAAACGAAGTGCGCCTACGCCCGCATTCGAACCTAGACTACCACGTGTTTTTATGTTCACCAAGAAAATATATTACCCACTGTGCAATCACGGAAGGAAATGTGTTTTCTTGTTTTACGTCCAGTACATAAGCTGTTGGGCATTACTTCATACGGAGGACCCACCTCGTCAATCAGTTGACAACAGAGACCTCAAAACTTTTGTAGCCCTTCTAAATCTTTTTTTTATTACCCTTTCCTTCGTTCACTCCCCTTTCTTACCACTGTGCCAGGCTATTGAGCAACCACTCTCCGCCGCCGCAACTGCCGTTGCCGCGACAACTATAGGCCATTGACAGTTGTTTACGGAGACAGCGACTGCCAGCACCAGCTCACAACAAACGGACAATTACGAGTGGCTCGGCGTCTAGTCTACCAGAGGCTGTTTGGTGAAACGCTGAGGAAGAAAGCGGGGGGTCAGCGCTGTTGTAGGTACCTGCGGGTATCTTTTCTACGACTAGGCCCCCGTATCTCAAGTGGTTATTAGGGAAAGAAAGCCAGGCGTTTAGTTGCACGGTCAAAGTGTTTTTATGCCATTCAGCAAATCGTACGCAGCGGGCAAAAGATTTTGTCGAACGACAAGTGAATGTTCGAGACTCCTGGTCTGCTAGCACAGCGACATAAATTGTATTAAAATACGAGTAGACTTCGTCTTGCAGAAGAAACGCTAAAGGAGCGAGATTTCATATTTGTTTTTTTCATTGCTGACTGCTGTTTTATTTGTGGAAAGACAACATTCTTGTGAGGTAACTTTCGTTATCATAGGAAGCAAGAAGTAGACAGGCGCATAGGGGTCAGTTGAGCGATACGGGCGCTGATGAGCGCAACTGAGTGCGGCCAGTCGTGCAAAATATTGACGAGCGCAATCAAGTCTGGTTGTGCTCATCGTAACTTACTGCTTCCCCTGTTGCATCGCCAGTAAGTATCATTCAGTTAAAGTATTGGACGCAGAACGGCGAATGCAAAGTGAAAAAAGCAAGAAAAGACTGAGATATCAGCGCAACAGATAAACAAAAAAGAAAAAATCGATCGTGACAGTCGTACACAGAGGTAAGGGAAGACACAGACCCATCTGAAGAAATTAGGAGGCAGCCATAATGATTATCGGATCGCCGTTTGTCTATTGGGCGCAGGACTATTCGCGGGTTACACTTCGAATCGATCTAAAGGATGCACGAAAACCTGATGTACAGCCGACGAAAAATTCGCTTGAATTTTCAGCAAAAGGCGTCGGTACGTATTAAGAACAAGGAAAACGACGTTAGATATGCGAATTTACGTTGAGTTTGTTAGGAACACTATAAAAATCGTTTTCCGTAACTGAATAACATTTGACCGCTTTAACCTTCAACAGAAGCAGAAAACTTTAGCAGATTTTCAATATTTTAGTAGGAGCTGGTTTAGCGGTAGACAATCATAGAACATGATGCTGTACATAACATACTTAAACTTACAGACAGAATAAATGTGTAGATTCGATTAGAACTTAAGTAAGTACAGATTTAAGAAACGTAAGCCAGAATTTCATTGTAGTCTAGAATAGCTAATGAATAAAGATGTTCCCTTATGCGCAATAAGAAGCTGGTGTTCGAGAAGTTAATTGAAACTTCCGTAACGCGACCGTAAAATTTTTCCAGTCAGTGCATATTATAGCGAGTAGTTGGAACAAAAAGCTAACACCTCTTAATCGATAAAGTAGGAGTAAATGTACCTCTACGATACGTATCCACTACGCGTTTAAGCTCACTTACAAAATCAGCCAACATGGTTATAAGAAAAAAAACCACAGACATAAGTAGGATTATATTTAAGTAAGAATAAGTAGGATTATTATTGTAACAACGTGGTACAGCGACCAGTTGCGATATTGGGGGTGCTCGATTGAGTCTATGGGCTAATTGTCAACAAGGCAAAATGTCATAAAGCCGATTTCTAGGCAGCCTGGTTACGATATGTCAATTTCCCTCAAATTTCACAGAACTAGAGAAGTTTCTAACGGTTTGAATTCTTTGTATATAACGAAGCGACTCAGTTCTACAATAATTAGATGGCCATGTCGACAGGTAAACTAATTTTTTGGTCTAGCGTTACAAAAGGTTGTGAGAAGTCTATTTTGCCAGAGGTCGTGATTTTGTGTCAACGTAGAAATATACTAGGAATGTTGTCACTTTCAGGCGCTCGTGGAGAAAATCGCTATGGATTTAAAATAGACCTTTATGATGATATCAAGCCGGAGAGAACCGAATGTCGAGTCACGGACAGACAGGTGCGTTGAATATTTAAAGAAAAAAGAAAATGCCCAATTTGAGATTTGGGCATAAAAGTTCGCGTAAGCACAAGTGAATGTTCGGTCTGGTTCTGGGAATCACGCAGTTTGCCTGGTCAAATTTTCAACAACAGTGATTTTATTTTTGTAAATATACTTGCATATAACCATATTAGCTTGCACGAATTGGATATTATATCCGAGCTTTAATACCGTTCTGCGTTGTATGCGCGCCTAACTTTCAAACACAAAAGATTGGACAGAAAACCAACAGAAGGTTCCGGTCGATATTCTATGGCACTGCTAACTAATTACTGATGCTGGATATTTTTCCTCGATCGTCAAGCCTTTACAACGTTAGAGCGTTGGAGCTTTGAGCCAACTATAAAAAGATAAACCTTACCCAGCATTTTTTCGAGTCCACACGAAGTAATCTGAAAAGTGTATCTAACGTTAGATCGATCGTCAGCGCGAGAATGGAACTCATCAAAAACTTTTATGTATGGAGCATGAGTCGGTGGGTCCATAGGCATAGCTCCTTTCTTCCTTTATAATGTTATATACAGATAATTATGCTCTTATGTGGTTATTGAACGTTGTTCAAACCGAAATATCTACATGCCCTTGTTCCATGAACAGAGCTGTATATTTTGCTTCGAATTAAATTGAACATCAGCTATCCATTCAATATATTATACAGCAGTGTTATTTTTTGGTATGTTGAGCTTCGGCTGATTTGAGTTATTTTTTTGTCTTTATTGCAAGCAATAAAAAAGCGTATAACACAATAATTAATGTTATATACGAAGGTTATATGATTCAGCTTGTGGGTTTTGTCTTGATTGGCATTAACAGAGTATCAAGAACATCTATCGATTTGCGGTTTTGAAGGACGAAATTTTTCCTGACAAAAAAAAGCACCTTTAAGATTTGCTTATATTCTCCTGAACGGCAATGTTGACAGAAGAACCTGAAGCCGCGCTATTCGTATTTTTGCTGGTATCTATGTTATCCTTCGAAAACGGTGGGTTTGTTGATAAAGTATTGAAAACAAAACGCACCAACAACCGCAGCTGTTGCAACATAATTTCAATAGTAGGCCACCAATAGAAGAGAACTCATGAGCAAGGTGGAATCGCAAACCGCTCGAGTGTTCATAACCTTTTGAATTAGGACATTCTTTCAATTTCATCTAAGGTGATCGTTGCATAAATTTCCAGTTTAAGCACTTAAAAAGCACTTACGTCTAGCTTTAGTATCTATTATACACTGTCTGTTTCTACTTTCCGAAACGATGCAACTGTGACAAATAGTGCGCATAGTGATTAGCTTCTAAATAATTAACGTTTCTGGCTTTCTTTTCAAGTTGCATTAAGATCCAATGCTAATGGCACCAAAAAACGTTTTCAAAGTGAGCTGCACATGGCTAATCATAGTGATTGAGTACGAGCCGGGTCGGCCATACATACGAAACCCTTTGACGCAGTTATTATGAGAGATGCAAGTGTCGATCTTAGATTTCAATGCTATGTTAATTTTTTGATTTATCTATTACAGGTTGAAGTGGTTCTCTACAAACGGGATCGAAGTGGCGACGAAGACGAGTGGTGGCCTCGGCTATGTTATTCACGTGATCGTCTTCCCTGGTTAAAAGTGGATTTCGACCGTTTTGCTGTCTCCGATTCCGAGCCAGATGATGATCCTGCCAATGATGTACGTGTCTATACGGTTGAAATACTGTAGCTATGCGTTATGCGAGGCGTACGAAACATATATATGCCCCAATTTGTGGGTTTCCTGTTAGTCAAGAAAAATTTTAATTAATTAAGCCGTGTAAATACAAAACCATATAGGCGGCAACTCTTCAAACAGAAGGGTATTTGCTGTTCGTGTTTCAATAACCGTATCAACTGTTTGGACAAAACACGTGTCTTGTTCTGGTCCTACAGTGTATGTAAGCAACCGAAATTTTACAGAATCAACTTTTAAGAATACAAGATGCACTAGGATGTTAAATGTGTAGCCTGCAAGTTCAGCGTTTAGTATAGTACAATCTGGTTCAGCATTTTGATGCCAGAACGTACTGGGGATTAGCGATTTGTGGCTCTTTTCGGAAATTGAAGATCTTTTGAGATTCTCATTTTAGACTGCTAAGCATGTTTGTTCCAACAAAACCTACATAAACGACATTACATTAGCACTATTCAAGCCATAGCTGGATTCTACCCTTACAATGCCTTTTCCGTGAAGGTTGCCTAAAATCGCTTCCAATTCTAATGTTTCTGTTTTACAGAAACACGTCGACCAAATCTATGAAGAGCTTTTGGGTAAAGACGAGCGTCGCTTGCGCAAACGCGCCCAGGATCTGCGTAAGGTTTATCTATTCCTGTACAATCTCTTCCAGTTCTGTGCGTTTCTTACAATCGGCACTATACTGTTCATCAGATATCTCAGACATCCCGAAGAGGTAATTAGATTTGGCGTTCATTACAGAACGTATGTTCTCCCACACTATTCACTACGTATAAAATTAATGAAATAACTGGAGTAGCAATTTTAGAAAAAAAAAATGACTTTTTATTGCTCGAATATAATACGTTCTAATACGGAATAGACAAAATAAGCGCAAGGCCCAGTCGCTCATATTTCACACAGCTTATTTACAAGCAATGACAGCTGTGTTTTATTAGCACCCGTCTGTGAGGCAGCTCTTATAACTCTTTTCTTATCAGGACAATAAATCTTCACCGGACCGTTAATGCGGAGGCTCTTGTTATCTTCTCGCACAGGTATTTCAGGAGTCATTTAGAACTGTTGGAGGTCCAATGAAATTCGCTCTGTTACTTCAAACGTTTGAAATTATTCATCCACTTTTGGGTTTCGTACCGCGTGGAGGTTTTCTGCCCGCCTTGATTCTGATCTCCGGTCGTTTGTTCATGTTTTTCGCGATGATCTCAGCTGAGCCCCGTATGCATAGCAAACCAGCTGTAACATACCTCTTTGCTGTTTACACAGCGATAGAGTTAGTCCGGTATCCTTACTACATGCTTAAGGTAGGCATGCGTCGTAGACCAACCTCAGATAACCTTCAATCTGTCATTATAGTGCCGCCTTGTCGAAATCGTTTCTACTTCTATTTTAGTAAGGCGCTCTAAATAAGAAAGTAGAAACGTTTTGCCAAAACTATCATATGACAACTATTATGTATTCTGCCCTGTATTTTATAGCCTTGCTTGCTATTAAAGGCAGACATTCAACCAAATATTTTTCATTTTCTAATTTGCAATATATGACAACAACAACAACAACAAATTTTTCAGGTGTACAATATGAGCATTGGATTACTGACTTGGCTTCGGTACACTCTGTGGGTCGTACTGCTGCCGATCGGTTTCGTCTGTGAAGGTGTCATTATTTTACGGAACATTCCATACTTCGAGGAAACAAATCGCTTCTCCGTTCACCTACCCAATGCCTACAACTGGAGCTTCCATTTGCCTACCCTAATGCGGCTGTATCTGCTGGTTGGGATCTTTCCCCTGCTTGCCTTCATGATGAGTCACATGTACACCCAGCGAAAGAAAGCCTTATACACCCACAGCAAAAGGAAGCGAGATTAAGTTGTAGATGAGACCTAATCATGATAAAGAAGATAGTGGGTAACATTCTTAATTTCTGAACAAATCGTATTAGTATGTGACGGAAGTAATCTTCTGCGCGCTGACAAAGTTGTGGTAAAGAAAGCATTGCAATTTTGCCCAAAAGAATTAAAAACAAAATGTCTGATGCAGCGGCGTATAATGGGTGGATAGCTGAGCTGTAACACCGAACAAGCGGTAGAGATCTCTTCAATAAACATAGCCGCGATAATATAATGGTATACGAATTCGATGTTAGCGGTAACGGCAAAAATAACGACTGCGAGTCTAAGATCATCGAATCTTACACTGAGTTGACCCTGCCTTAGAACTCGATTTCTAAGAGCAAAATGTCTTAGTGATAACTGCTAATGGAAGTAGATGGGGTCGGCTCTGTAGGATATTGGTATAAGTGTTATCCTTTTTATCGAATGAAAGAGCTAATTGAGGAATTGGTTAACGTAAAGGACTGCCAAATCTGTCCACCTATGATAGGTACTCGAGGACCAATCCAACAGGAAATCCGTGATTGTTGTCGAAATAAAAAGAAGTTAGCGTCATTGAGCTCATCGAGTACGCAGTACTAAATTCACAGGTTCATCTATGCAAACCAGTGTGCCAATCAACACTGTCACAACAGATATGGATTTGGCTATCTCCCTTCTGGAATCCCTTGAATTCATATTTTGTGTGCAATCCCCTTCAAGTTAGCAAACTATTTTAATACTTTTAAAAAAAAGGATAGAGAGGGGACGGAAAGGAAAAATAAAGAAACTCCGATATATTAAGAATAATGCGTCTGTCACTATCAACTCTGTTACCCATTGCCTATACCTGCAATCAAGGATAACAATTCTAAGAATTCTGGAGAACAACGTTTTTTGTACCACAATCCCATAACACACACATACACAACCCACTCGTCGGTGACTATTATCCTCGTATTATCTGACTATCATTATAAGCTTTAAGGTATCGAAGATAAATGCGTCTATGCCCACAGCAAAAACGTTGAGGCATCCAATGCAAGTACTACGTGTCACTTAAGTTCGTTGACGACGGTTTATGCCTTCAGGTCATTTTTAGCAACGTTTTCATAAGCAAACGGACTGGCAACCAATTCAGAAACATTATATTTTCCCAAAATAAAAACAAAAGCTTCTTTAATAGCAACACTTATAATGATTAGGTTTTCGAGGTTAGGCGACGTCACTTCGTCTCACCTTTAAGTGCGTCTTAATTAAGTACTCGAACACAAGTATCACTACGATTAATAAAACTTTCCAGTTTTAATGGTAAACTCAAGGAAATTGATGCTTAGAACTGCTACTTAAAGTTCATTAAATAACGCAACACGCATATAGATTTAAGAAAACGATTTTAGTAAACCTAGGCCATTGATCTAGAATACTCAAGAAGTAAGAATTTAATAGGCAAACATTATAATCACGGTTACTGGAATTTAAGTACAACGCACAGACGGAGAACTAAAAACCTAACAATAACGAACAGGATAAGTTGGCGGACAACTTTGTAATAAAACGCCCTCCCGAAATCAGATTTTTTTTCAGAAGTCTTTTTTTAGTCAAGCACCTTCCGTATTTGAAATAAATGCAGACATATCTATCATGCTTGATTTTCTATCAAGTTTATATGATGAACTGTTCGTAAGTACGAAAATACAGTTGGTAACAAGCATCAGCAAACTGCAAAGTAATTTATCGGTGCGAAGGATATGTTAAAAAGGACCTCAACGAGAAACGAGCTTGGGGATGGCGTTTTGAGTACTGGTAGTCGAGGAAACGATACGCTTAGCTCATTTGTTAGAAGCATATGTATGTATAATTTAAAATTAGGTTGCTGTGCGAAACTTCCCTTATGTAGCCACGAATAGGTAAAGGACAAAATTACATCCCATATTCAAAAAATTCGAAATATCAGATAATACGAAGGAATGACTCTTTCTTTTTTTTCGGTTCAAGCGCGTAACCTTGCTTAGGCAAAGATATGGCATGATTTGTTTACGGTTTAGAGTTATTTTTAACTGAGTAAAATACACTGTTATGTTTGTTGTCATCTAATAGGCTTAACGCAAGGTTTCTTCAATTGAACCAAAAAAGATCGTTACTAGTTATTAAGGATATAACAGATACATACATCGGTTTGAACATCCAGCATGCCAATATTTTGCGTAATCAAATGATCCTCAATTTGGTTTTCCAATAACCACCTTTACGTTTTTCTTCCGATGGGTCTTTTTACCGCACACTCTCCCACTATTTATATAATCGATGACAAATCTGTGGACTTTCTCGAAACAGGCAAACGTTTATAAACAGATTTATTAATGTGTACATCTGACTACTTGCACCGACAGTATATACACCGTCACCCTAGATACTGTGTCTAAGATGGCGATTTCTACGCTGGCATCGTTTCTTTATATGCTGCAACGGTTTCCTCGAATGTTGCGTGCACTGCTTCGAAAAGATCTCTGAGGTCCTGAAGACCTTTCTCAAGCGCATTAACTGCCGAGCCCTGACCCTCTTTTATTTGAATCCGCAAATGAATCGTCCGTTCCGACGGATGTGGGATCGCGTACCCACAAAACTGTACTGCGGGGTTTTTCATCACCATGTACCTAAGGAGCATAAACATTACGCTTAACACAGTATTTGGTATAGTTACATTCAAAATAGGTAATATCACCCAAGGCTTATGATATTAACTCTATCCGATACAAATGTGCAATTAGAATAAGAAGCAACGTGAAAAATGGCGTCCTTCAAATGTTCGCAAAGGCTTGAGAGAGTTTAATTCATTAATAGCTTAATTAGCAATTTAATTGGCTTTCCTTATACATGTGTGATTTACCTGAGAGCATTGCCCAGTGTGTGATCTTCGTTTTCCAGCAGAAATGTAATACATGACTCGTCTTCAGTCTTGTGGACGATCTTCAGTGTTTCCGCACCTCCTCTAGCCATGACGAAATCTGTGTTGACCAAGGAATCTGTTCATTAATCGAAGCGTTAAGTACCTTACTTAAAAATAAAAATTATATGACAAGGGATAACTACCAAAACCGGTAGGTTTTAGCAGCTCTTGTTGAGTCACCAAGTAAAATGCTGATAAGTCAAATTAATTCTAAAAGCTCCTTCACTAAGGTGTTTTGGATAAGCGGCATACGCCAGCAAACAAAAACCATTTATCCACTCTATTAAAGTGTCATGTGATAATTCATTTCATATTTCTTAAAATATAATTTTGAGGTATAACTATAAGGGAAAATTTTACGTACGGAAAATTATAATCTAAAAAAAAGAAAGCTGAGGACCTAATTCGGGTGAATTTATCGTGTATCCTTTTTTGTTTTCGCTTTGCTTTATATAGGAACGTTGTGTTTTTCTGGCTGAATTTAGCTTGCATGTTTTCTAACCCCTAATATTTAGCTTACTCCGTAGTCAAATACTTAGGTCGCGTTAAGATTTCATTGAAGAAAAATGACATTGCGCACACCAGAAAACGACAGTTCGCGCCTTTCAGGGCGAACGGTACGTGTTACATCGGATAACCATTATCGTCGCAGTTACGACAGTTTCGTACTGCAGGGCTCTGTGAATCCCATGAATAGAAATGCCTTTGTGTGTTATTGCACCTGACATAAAACTCCAAGCAGTAGTTTTTATCATTATCCACAGATCGAATTTCCTTTCAGTAATACAAAAATGTGGTCAGCTAAGCACTGCGCTTACACCTACTCTACATATCATCAGGCCAAAGGTCGGGGAGAACTCGCAAAGTGCGGCTCTGAACTTCTATAAACTGCTACGATACATGTTTGCATAAAACTAACACATGTGTTTCTTAAGGGACACGGCGCTGTCAACTTGACGTACGTCTAGCACTCGGTTACCTTATAACAGTCGATTCATAAGCCTAAGCTCTCGATTCCGGACCTCTTGAAATAAACAAGAAACATTGGCCCTACAGCAACTTGACTTATCATAGTTCCGTGAAATACGCTCAGCATCGAACCAATAAGACGGAACGACCCGCGCGAGGCGCGGTAATCGTTTAAGTCCGTGGAGCAACTCCTTATAATTTCGAAACTTCACTGTGAGATGACAAAAGCAAACCAAAGGACATTTAATGACTGTTAATTATTGTTTTGGTATATTTGTATCATGTATTATTTTAGATCCGACTTTCCGTGTATTAATTTTTAAATTTTTGTGAATGTAGGGAAACGCGGTGCTTCGGCAGAGTCTGTATTCAAGTTGTAAATTAAAGCAGCAAAAACATATTTAAGGAACAGGGAATTTCACCAAATTTAGTGCATGTTTTATTAATATTGTAACTATTGAGGGGTCGAGACTCTTAGAAACTTTCCTCAAATAGAGTGAGGAAAAAATAGAAATAAAACTAGATTAAAAAAAACTCCCATTTAGGAGCTCGCACATGCTTTCTTTCAATCGAAAAAAATTACAAACAGCGATCTAAAGTATTAGCGTAAAATCACACAGCTTCAAATCGCTATGAAAAGTTGATTTTTATTAACTGGAACGAGCGCTATTTTGCCAGTCTCTTTGTTTGGATGTGCACTATCATACTGCATTTGATGTAGTCTTAAGAATGTGCGTGTGGCCCGTAGTCAAATTCTGTGCCGCATCTAGCTTGTACACCCCTGTACTCTATGCTGCCCCTGTTCAGCTCGCATGCCGTTACGCCGCGTCCTACATGTGCCGATAATAACACGTGTTTGGTACCGATGAGCGCGTGTGTTATGCTACTCTGTTTTCGTCCGTCGAATACCCGAAACTCCGGAACATGGAGAATTAGCCGTGTACGCCAATTTCTTGTTTTACAAATATGCGATTATATATTATCAAGTTAATTATGTATGATATAACCCAAGGCAGATACTCATTACCACTGTAACCGGCCACTAATTTCTATTTAGTCTTTTTTCTGTTTGGCTTTGCCGTGTTCTACACTTTAACTCTGCTCAGCTACAACACAACAATATTCGCCAGCAACGACGATGCCTGCTCAATTATCTGTCTGCTCCGCGCTAGCAACGCCGCAGTCAGCCAAGATGGAAAGAGAATGAAAAACAGGGCCGCTTCAGCGTCTGCTTCTGCTAGTGCTCGTCGTCTCGTACTTGCAGGGATACGATTTCGTGTCGACTGCTGCACGCCCATCGGTGCAGCCTGTTCGTCCTAGAGCTATAAGTTACTGTGTGTGCTGTTCTTACAGACGTCCGCTAGCTGCAGCACGACACAATGTTGTTAGTGCTGTGCTTAGCTATCACTAGTTAAGTGGGGGTCCAATCGGCAGGAGTAGAGCGGTGTTGCTAGACTCAGACAGATAATCAGTCAGTCGAGCTGTCGTCTGTAACATCGGCGTGCGACAGTAAGAAATACGCTCGCGTAGATTCGCGTTAGGCGCTACTACTCGCTGTGGATCTGTTGAGCTGCTTGATGAACAACTGCGGGTGAATTGAGGCTATTCGTTTGGCTAATGCCCAATGCTGTATCCTCACCTATCACATTTGTCTCGTCAGCGAACGAACAAGTCTTCGTTAATGTTTTCCAGCAGCTACACCGCGAATGGGGTATGTTGAACTGTGATGTGTAAGGACCTGTAGGAACGCGAACGAGTCGTATGAATATATTACGACACCACGACGAGAGCGACTCGATAGCAAGCAGACCATTGTGGCTGAAACGACAGCACGACAAAACAGCATCCGCGGGCGGCGTAGTTTTGTTCTGATCGCTCGCCTGCACGCTGGTACCGTGCAGCACGCCCTGTATGTCGCGCATCAAGTACTATCAATTCAATCGACGTTAGTAGCAACGAAAACCAGGAACATCGTTGCGTTGAATCGAATCATCAGCGAAACGACGTGAGTAGTCGAAAACAAAAGACCTGACAGACAGCATACTGCTCAAAGGCAGACAATCAGACTGAATATCAAACCAGGCTCACGACATACCGAGTCGACGGAAGGCACACATTGCCAACGACGGGAACTGGTGGAGAGTCGATGCAAAGCATCAGCAGACAAACTAATCATCGATAATAGTTACACAACAGTACGAAGTTACAAGCTTGAGATAAAGCAACGCTTCACTATTGCATTACAATAAGAGCTTCGGAGTGATGTAGAGTTTCGAAGGTAAACAGCAGCCTTCGGTATCGGGTTGGAAAATCGCAGGATTGACGCGATCAGTTGATCGACCCATCGACGTTCGTTCCGTGCTGATTTGTCGTCACACGTTGTCGTTATCGATGTCCCGAAAAGTGCTTTCCTACCAGAAATGTTCTGTCCCGAATTTCTGTCGCGTAACGTTTTGCTAAAGGGTGCTAACAGAGGCTAGGCAAGTAGGGCTGTAGATCCGTCGTAGACAGCTTTGTGCTGCAGGGGGCTTGAGATAGAGGCCTATTCGGTAGAAGTGAGTTTGATGAAGTTTCGAAGCTTGTTTACTATTTCGCTCGGCGTGAATTGGTTGCGGATGGTCATGAGGCTCTGCTCTGAAGAACAACGAGAAATCGACGCTAGCGCTGATATCGTTAAATTGAATGCGTAGTGTGTGCAGACGCTTCATATCGTTTCGGTGATTTATTGTCGAAATAGCACCCTGTATCTGTATATTTGTGCATAAATCCTTAATAAGATTGTCGTCGTCGCAACGTGTGGAGACCGGCTGTTAAAACACCATCCAACAGGTCTCTAGTTTTCATTGCGGTGCTGGTTATTGGCCTGATGGCCTAACAGAAACTTTGTTCATTGAGAAAAATCACTTGAGTAACATAGTCCTGTTTATCTGCCGTTATACGTGGGTTGTTCATGTCAGGACACAGCACGCACATTAGTTGCAGCTGTGGAATAGTCGTGTTATTACTGTTATTGCTATCACAACCGCGTACCTGTGCCTCAAACTATTTAAACGGAATGATTAAGACTATTTAGAAAATTCGTCAGAGTAGTCTTTGCAAAAGGCGAGGGCATTGTTTCGTCCACATCGTGCCTCGCAACTTCTAAGCTTAAGCCCGCAGCCAGCAGTTGTGCGACTCACCGAATTTGGTTGTCTTGCCCGGCCTAACAATGGCAGACAGTGCAAGCGAATCCGACTCGAGCTCAGTTGATGGCCTGATGGTCGCCCCAAGTCCGCTCACTCGTGAACAGTTCCAGAAACGGATTGACTCACTTCGACAAGAGAACCGCGTGCTCAAAATGGAGCTCGAGACGTTCCGTCTGCGAGTCAAACAGCTGCAGGAGGAGAACACAGCTTTGAGAAGGGCATCTGTTAATATTGTAAGTATGAAATAATGCTGTCTTAGTGACACAAGCAAAAAACATCTTATAAAATTTAATTCAGGCAAACGACGGACGTAAAATTTTTATGCCAATTTATGTGGAATTTTGTGCGTGTACATTTGCGACGATGATTTTTGTTTGTAGATTGTGATATATGTCTGCGTTTAAATAATGGTTCTCAGCAGGATTTCTCTCGCAAGCCCAAGGTGCGCTGTTTCTTTCTGAGTAATTAATACAACCAGTACGCATAACAGAAAATAACTTTTCCAGTCACTGCTCTTTATTGAAAATGTTTTAGCCTTTTTTTACCGAGGTAGAATACTTTTTATTCTATTCGTTTGTATTTTATAGGTAGTGGACATCCAAAATGCATATGTTTATTCTATATCAAGATTTTTTTTATTACCACCAAGATTACCACCTGTCTCTCAGTCGTGCTAAGTTGTTACGCTTACGACCGCAACCCATGATTCAAGTGCTGGCCATAAACGAACAAATAGAAGTAGTCATAGCCTTCAAGTCTTCATTTTCTGCTTGCCCTGCCTCAAACGATACCTGAAACGCCTACAGCTTCAAGAGACCTGACGCTCACAGCTGTCTGTTTTCAGTCTGGAGTTGTGATTCAGTTTATTTTCTGTTTTATATACTTTGAATTCAAAGTTTACGACGACGCGGACATTGACCTATCGGCGATACTAGTAACATGCCGGTGAATGAACGTCCAGATGCCGTAAGCACAACGAATAAATGATCATTTATTTACATGGTCATCGTTTGATTTCGCTCCCACCGCAAGCGTCATTGTCGTTGCATCACATCAATACGAAATGATTCCTCGATGTTTTGTTTGACGTTTGTTCGCTGTGGGGAGATTTGACTCGCTCTCTTCAGAACCTGTAGAATGTAACACTCAGCGACGTTTTATTTCTTGTTTTCAGCCGTCTTTTACACTCAAATGGATCGTTCTGCCTATCTTCAGAAGTACTCGATGGGTAGCGTTTAGCTGGCTTGTCGTTGACTCGTTTGCGCGCCGAAGTTTTCTTTCCTTACCGTTCCTCTTGCCGATGGTTATTATACAAGTGTCCAGAAATGGCAACAAAGACGGCGCCGGTTTTGATGGGCGTCTCGTTTCATTGACGATATTCATGATGAGAGGTGATATAATGGCAGTCAAAAGCTGCTGGGCCTACACGTTCAACGCCGAAGCGTTTGGCCTAGGTCGGTATATATTCCTGTGCCCTTGGGGACAAACGATTTGCCGCGATGTTGCTATCTGCCGCCGGCCCGTGCTGGATAGATATTACAGCCACAATGGTAGCTTTTTCATCAGCTTTTCAACATAAGCATGTTGTTGTTGTAATCTATGTTATAGCTTATCATTAGTAGTGTAGTTGGTTATTATCAGCGTTTATCGCCATCTGTCTCAGTGTCCTATGCTGCGCTTCTGCGGTCTGCGAACGCTGGCAATTGGTAGCACTTGATGTTGTCGGTCTTGCTTGTAAAATAAAGTCCACGTTCCGTATTCTGTTAGCTGGCGATACCACCAGCCGGACCTACAAGTCCGACAGCAAGGCAAGGCGCCGTTATGAAATGCTTTTTTCGGCAAGCTGTATAGGCCACTAGCCTGACCAGAATACCCGTATATATAATGACAATGTCAATCTATCGACAACAGGGCAGTTTAGAGCGATTTGTTTCTCGACCATCAAGGATATCACTGCAACGAATGATGTTCCATTCAAGAACAACGACGACTCGTTTTTCCGCAGCCGTTGTTGTCACCAGCACCGCCGCTACAGATGTTTGTTGTGACGACAGCTTACTGGCCCGGTCAAAAGCGGTGTTCTTTAGTTTGCCCAGCAAGTCTGCCGGGACTCGCCAGTACGACAACATCAGACCGAACTAATTCGTATTGGATGTCATACGAAATCTTGTGACGGTGCACACGTCCGTTAAGCATCCACCTTCCAAACTAGTCTCTTCAGAAAGAGACTACGAGGTGCGAAGGATCACGCAGTAAAGGATGTATCTATGCGGCTCCGCGTAGTCCGTTTGAACCGGATTAGATGCAGCAACTTGCAACATGTATGCGGTACCCTATAGATTCGTAACATGTATCCGAGGCAATAATATACAGAAGTGGACTAGACTTAACAGATTTCAGCACGTTTTATACTACTCGAAATATATTTCCTGTAAGCAATTCAAGTATAGCGATTCATAGATGTAGTTTGGTTATACGATTCTAGCGAGAGTAACAGTAGGTTGAGAAAAATTATCTTCGTGCTTTTATAGGTGCTATCTGTGGCAGATTGGTTGTTGTACTTCTCGAGATATTCATTTATCTAACTATTTGTTTTATCATAGTTGCATGCAAGAACTTTTGAAAAAAGTTCTTCTTGAAAAGAAGAATTTTTCTGCAGAAGGTATTGCCATAAAACATGGAATGCAAACACATATGAGGTAATTTTGAAATGGCACTGCCCTGGTAAGCGGTGACTTTGTCTAAAGTAACGCCTGCCGGATGTAAAAAACATTATAATAAATAATGGATCTTGTGCAGAAATAATAGAATTGACTAACCGCAAGCGTACGAGTTGTAGCTGCGAAATTAACTTGAAACTCCTACAGGTTATCTAAATATATGCTGCATTTGGCTACATGTGCTGAAAATCTGATCTTTTTTTTTTCAGCACGAGCGCTGTATAAGGTTCGTTGTCTACGGATATCTATAGCACGCTAAGAGATATTTTTACATATGTCGCTTATTAGCTGTCCACTGCTCCCAGTTTTTGTCATTATATAAATTAAATCAATTTTCTATATTGTCATGCACGTGCCGTCACTGTGTCGTCTTATCATTGTAATTTCAGCAAGCGAAAGCCGAACAAGAAGAGGAGTTCATCAGCAATACACTGTTGAAAAAAATACAGGCGCTCAAACGAGAAAAAGAAACTCTATGCCAAAATTACGAACAGGAAGAAGAGTGCCTTACCAATGATCTCTCGAGGAAGTTGACCCAGTTGCGTCAGGAGAAGGTTCAACTGGAGAAAAGCCTTGAACACGAACAGGAAGCTCTTGTCAATAAACTTATGCGTAAAATCGAGCGCCTTGAAGCTGACACATTGACGAAGCAGGTAGGTTAAAATGAAGCACGATGAGACGTTTATTTCGTCGGATTAGTTATTTGGAAAAATGTTGTTCTCGCTGGTCAATAAATGGTTTAAGCGAAAACAAACCGTTAAAAATTTGTGAACTGTAAGTCTAGCTAATTATACTTACTGAGGACGTTTTGTTCGTCGGTAACTAATGACCCATTTTGCCGTTCCTTTGCAGAACAACCTGGAGCAGCTTCGACGGGAGAAGGTGGAACTGGAAAATACCCTTGAACAAGAACAAGAGGCACTGGTCAATCGTCTTTGGAAGCGTATGGATACACTCGAGGTAGGATTGTTTGCAGCACCTTACACCTTGCGGCTAGAATCGACTTGAGGGAAATAGATAACGCTCTATTTAAGAAAGAATTCAATTTCAAAATGTATTTTCAGTCTTCAAACAAAGTTTGCTGAAAAGACGATGACCAGTTGAATATGTCCTCTTTCTTTTGAACGCATAGTCGGAGAAGCGATCTTTGCAGGAGAAATTAGACCAGCCGTTGTCAGCTCCGCCGTCGCCCCGCTCAGACGTCCCACCGCCACGTCCACCGAATCCAGATCCTGCTGGAATGACCCGACATATTCGAAATCTCAAGCAAGAAGTTAATCGACTGAAAACGCTTTTACACAAGACTGAACGCGAAAGTAGGTTTTTTTTCCAAACCACAGAACAACAAAACGCTATCGAAGCTAAAGTTATCAATGGTTGGCAATTGCAGCAGTTTATTGCTGGAAATCGGGCAGTTAGTATGCTAATTTCCTTATTTCAACTCGTTGACATAGGTGCAGAAAAAATTGCGCAGCTTTCCCAAGAAGAGCGTCAGATTAAGGAGGAGAACATTCGGCTTCAGCGTAAACTGCAAATGGAAGTAGAACGACGTGAACAACTTTGCAGACATCTCTCTGAAAGTGAGTCGTCGCTTGAGATGGATGAAGAGCGATTCTTCAATGAGGGGCATTGTGGTCGGGGACGAACTGTCTCTTCGCCTGTACCTCACACCGGACCCGGCCAACGGTATGAAGTTTCTATGGATTAAATGTCAGATATGTTTTGTTATTCATGTGAAGCAAGGTCATCTCTAAAATTCTGTTTGCACTACAACCGCTAAAGTATACAGCCTACAACTGAGTTGGGAATGCTACTGTTCTTAAAACTAGAACTGAATGAAATTGAAAAACTAGTATAATAGGCTTATAGTAAGTATAGCATTGCAAAATAGTGCTACACTGGATAAAGAAGAAGGAAATTTGAGTTCTGCAATACGACGCTGTTCACAAACGCAACTAGGTTACGCGAATAATACTCTAGATTAACGTAACAGCATTTCGATCGATCATGTTGGTCCCTGCGGCCAAGTAACCGTTAACAACTGTGATTGAAACTAGTAATATTGTAAGAATATTCTAATCACCTAAATTGCACAGTTCGGATAAATGAGGCCTAGCACTTTTCCCTTTCAAAAATAGTCTTTATTGACATAATTTTTAAATGTCGTCTCATAGGTGTTTGTTTATTTTTGTTTCATGATTTCTTTTATTTTCAGATCGATTTCTCCGGCACCCTCTGGTCGCTGTGGCGACGCGGGCGCAGTACCATTCCATCCTGTAGGTAGCCCAATGGGATCGCTTCACGCTCGATGCTGTCCAACCTGTCAACAGCCACTGTTGTATCCGCTTACCACAAGTGGACATCATCCCGGAGGTCATCGAGTAGTTGGTGCCGAAGGACAATCACCATCAACCCCTCTTGGTGGTGTTTCACCGGGACCCGCTTCAATGCTCCCACCCAACCATCCGGCGACCGCGGCAGCATCATCCTCCTTTGCGGTACGTGGAAAGAAGACTCCAGATAAACGTAACTGTTTTTGATAATTGTGATGGGCAAAAAAAATTGCGCAGTTTGGTTGTTCGTTACAGTGACGAAACAAAACATTATAGGAACCCTATCAAAAAAGGAATTATTATAGGAATCAAAAAAGGCTAAATCGCTGAAAATAAAAATAATTGATATTCGGCGAATTCGAGACAAGCTTTGGTATTTTTTTGATAGGATTACTGTTAGGTAAATCGGTTTTTCAGTCGTTCAATATTTACGCACCTGATATTCACTACCATGCGCACAATTAATAATGAGCACTTTTTTCCTCAATATACTGTTTACCCAAAAACAGATAATGCATGATCTGCGCCAAGTAAACACACGAATATTACTTTTATGCCCTTTATTTCCCTCATATATATTTATATAATCTTGATCAAAGTTACTGTTTATTATAGACTTCATCGGCTCGCACATCACGAATTCCTGTCGCAACGTCAACGAGTCCCGTTAATCTAATTATGGGTCCGCCTGCTTCACCAATGGACACATCGCGACCAGGCTACTGAGTTCCACCGGACACATACATGGAGCTGACTGGAAGCTAGCAAGCCGATAGGCAGACTGTAGCATAATCCGCTACATCTCATTGTTGGGCCAGCAACATACATAGCATACGATAGCTTGTGCGGCTCAACAGAACGAGATATAGTAGAGACGAACAATGGAGCTCTATGTATGCATTAGATAACATCCATCATAGAACTATGTCTTTAGTCTATTAGAAGTGAGTAGAACGGCGCAGCCGGCGAGTAACAGTCGACTGCTACGGCCGTCTGACAGTCGTGATCGTGAGTCGAGATTTTCCTTCTATCGCCGTGACCGGTCTACCTTGCCTATCATTCGTCACTATCGTACAGCTGGCACACCCCAGCACATGTTGTACGTGGCCGTATAACGACTTTAAGAAAAAATATTTTGTTTTCGAAGCGCGAGTGTCGATGAAAGTGAGTATTGACGTCCCCTTACAAGAGGCCTTTGTTCAATGACCAGTGTCTCTCAGCTTAGAGATACGTTTATATTTGGATATAAATGTAGTGACGGAAATACTAATAATGATGATGATTACGTATGTGGAAAAGCCTAGCTGAAGTAAACATTTTTTTACGCATAGGAAGAAGTTACGGCAAAAACGATCAACGTATCGTGAGTAAACACGCAAGAAAAAACATTGTTATTATAAGTAAACGAGTGGGAAGTACGCCGTTATTTTCTTCTGTACGATGAAAGAAATGATATTATCCGACAATATTGTTTGGTTTAGATGAACGAATACTCTTGACTAATGTGCCGTCCTGCACCCGACAGCCAATGTGGGAAATTTACAAGGTCAAAAGAAAACAAAAGGCAAACACGGACATGATGCACAGGGTGAATTCGTGTGCACACATCTTTGTGTACTGTTGGTAAACGTCTTAGACATATTTGCCCTTGTAGTCGTTTTTCCTTTAGAGACTGCGCTTCTAATTATGTATTCTTTAGATAATGAAATACGGCAGGTTATTGGAAAAAACTCCTTGCTCGGCAATGCTATCCAGTTGTAGTGATGGCAGGCATTTTTTGCCTAACTTTAGTACGTAGTTAACCCGTTATAATTATGTTCAATTTCTACCGAGTACAAGCTATTGGCAAGGTTATTCAGTGCATTACTGGATAAAACTTCCTGAAAATCAATTTTTTTATGAAAGGCAATTTTAACACTCGATAATCACTTTAGTACCGTTATCGGCATCTATGCAGAAACTACATAGCTCTTTAGTTCCGTAAATGCTACATGTCTCTCTTGGTTTCGTTTTCTCGAAATTTGTGAAGTACACAGAAAGTGTGAATTGAATTTTATATTTTGAGCTCTTTTAGAGACACGAACTATGGCGAACTGTTTGTGAATAGCAGATCCGGGTATTCAAAATATATTCGATCATTCTTATTTCTGGCTTACATAGTCCATCCTTTGAACTAGAAAGGAAAGTGGCTTTACGTATTTGGGAGCACGGAAGACGATCGATTTCTTGCACCTGTGCCGTTTTTCTTCAGGAAACTGAAATGTTGGTAATGAAAAGTCGAAAGCACTTTTTTGCGAAATTGTGCAAGCTTTTCTTTCGAGAGTGCTACTTTCTTATAGATTGAGATAGATTTATTGTTTAGTTTAAGGGTCCTGCTCAAAACCCTGTTTGCTTTTGCTGAGAATGTGTGATGATTGATGCGCACAGACTCCCCCTCTCTGTAAACATGACGTGGAGGAAGATAAAGCGTGAAAACAGAGAAAAATATACAAAATTATAGGGAAGATAAAACGAACGATAAAAACAGAACTGAGCAAACAGGTAGAAAGGAATAAAGGCTGAAAAAATTGATAACAATTTCAGCGATGACGATAACCACTCGCCGAGTGGGTACCAGCAACTGCTACTATTAGAGTTACTTTGCGAAATATTATTTTCCCCAATTGTTGTCTTGCTGTAGGAATCCATTCCAATTCTATGAAACGAGAATTACAACGAGACCATTGTCAACTACTATCGACATACAGGGCGTCCGAGAAATAAATACCAGAACACTCTAAAAGGAAACAGTCCAGCTTTAGCCGAAACGAAAATTCTTGCAGATTACAGGCTCTTAAGTCATTGTCTTAAATCCAACCTCTCATTAGTGGTGTAGACGTAATTTTTCCGACGTCCTGTACATACAGAACCAGTCATGGTTGATATTACATTGATTGAATATATATGCCACTGAAGAGATGCGTATACTATGATGATAGCGCTGACAGACTGATATGACAAATAACCGAAATTACTACCAAAATAAGGTATTGGGTAGAATGACGAATGACTAAATACAATGATAAGCTGGACTGAAACTAGTACTGTGTGTAATCGATCAGACTGATACACTACGAGCGCTGGTGGACCCTTATTGCCGGCGTGCTAAAAGGATGCCTATGACGTGTATAAAATATGTAAGGGTTATATGTGACAACGAGGTAATAGAAAAACGCGACTCATAGAGATGAAAGTAAGCAAAGAAATGCAAGCCATAGCCATCAGAAAGTAATGGCGAATGAAATTCAGACCGTATAGAATAACTAATATACCGCATATAAATAAGATAATAGGAATGGCACATCAACCACGTTTCAATGAAAACCTGTTCTTTTTTCAGTAACTTGTTTGTAGTGAATGGTTTTTATGTAAGCATAACGAGAAAAAGATGCGACTTTACATGCCTTGTTGCTTAATAAACACAGCCCTGGTACAGTTATGGGGCAGTATCGTTTGATTTTATAATAGCCGGGTTTAGAGGCTCATTTTTAATTAGGATTTTAATACCTATTAATGGGGAAGAACGTAGTTCACCACCTTCTAATCGGACAATGGCCTAGAGATTCCGTCAGTGATTTTGGGTTCGTAAGGATTCTAGTTTGCAGCACGCTGAACACTGGCAGATCGATACATGATTGCACTCAAATTTGTTATTAATATCATTATGGTCGTAGTTATCGTGGTAGTAGTTGTGTTAATGAGTCGCACTTCTTATGGCACAACGATAATTGCATTATTATTACTAGCCGTTCATGCACAACAAGAGTCCTAAATTCGATACAAACGGAATGATGGGATAATGCTAGTGTCGTACACCACTCTTCGTTTGTACTCGAATGAGGGTAAAAAAAGTTACGGCTATTTACCCTCGCGCAGTATGCTATCAAGACGATCTTACGAACAATTCTTCACACGAATACAATGATAAGAATGTAGGTTTTCAAGGAAAAACAGCATCGTTCATTCTTTGATGACCAGACTTCGTGAAACCAGCTAAGAAGTAGTGTGTGATGCTGAAGTTCAGATTGAAGCGTGTAGGTTAGGTCTACGATACATCTCAAGTATAGCTTCGGGTCTCGGCCACTGTTGGAGCCAATAAACATTAAAAGTGACTGATGATGTTAGTTGGGATCTATATTCCTAAGGCAGGCTTTTTCCACCCCTAAGTGAGTCGAGCAGATTCGCATAGTCTCTACCATACGGATCTAAGGGCAAGAATGTGTTAAGTGGCGTTATGTATGGGTGGGACAACTTAGTGCGAACTCGGAATACGTTACGGGTAGGCACTGTAATGACCTTTTGGTGGCCAAGCTGGGCTGTCACTATCGAAATGTCAAGACGGCACGAGCATTGGCAGTCAAAATAATCCAGTGCCTATTAGAGGATTTAAACATTTATAATTTTACAAATAAGTGAATAATTTCGCTTAAACACTACAAGCTACGGACGCTTGATACCGGCAGATAAATCAATCTATTTTAAAATAAATTCTTTCTAGTTGCAGTAGGAGAATCTAGAGCGCATGATGGTAGAATATAAGATAATATTGTGCTTATAGTATAAGAATGATTGTACACCCAAATCAGCAACGATATCATAACACACTAGGAATGCAGCGTCGAACAGAAAATTGAACATCAACTTTGGGAACTAGCTGGTGATGGAGTTAAGAAAAAAGAAAAACTGTACAATAGACATATACATAACACGTGTCACATGCTAGTCACATGGCAGTGACAGCGGGCGAGATCATCCGGACATAGTAAATATAGTTAAGATAAATAGAAAAGACAGACATGTTTATTAAACCGCGGAAAAATGTTGAAATGGGATAGCCGATCACACATTAATAGGAACCATAATGATACCTGAATAACAAGGTGAATCTAGGCTTAAGGGGCCACAACGACGTAATACAAACACAGATTGCATGTATTGATCGGAGTAAATACGGAAGAAAAATAAGTGAGCATATGCGCGGTCAATGGGAAGTTAGTATCAAGTCATGAATGGACGATTGAAAGTTTAAATTAAAAATACGATCGATAATTCCAAGAAGCATGGATTAAAGCATATAGATGTGTGATTGCTACTGGCGTAGCAAAAAAAAAAAGACTATGAACGTTTCGTGTTGTGTGGGGCTTACTGAAGACTCCCGAGGTAAAGAACGCCCCATAGCGTCATCTCAACGAATTGGCGTCGCCTGATGAATACAAAGTACGTATTAAATGCTTGACAGAGGTGCGGGAAATAGAATACAGCGGACGAATGAAGTTATGAATAATTTGAAGTTAGGCAACCGAACGCGAGAACGAACGAAAGAGACAGATAAGGAAAGCTAAACGGGCAGAAAATAAACGGAACGATCATGAAGTGATGCGCGGAAGTGGAAAGGAGGACCTCATATAAGAAGTCTAGATAGAAATGAGTGACGAACAGCGGAACTACAGCATTAATAGCGGCAACAACTGCAGTAAAAAAACAGTAATAATAGTAATATTAATTAATACTATAATGACTATAACAAAAGACCGAATAAACTTGCATATACCATTATTTTCTCTTAATTATTATAAAATGAGTCTTTATTGTTCATGTTTAGGCAGAAACTGATCATGATTCTACCCTCCTGCACGTGTAGGGGCCTTGATTTTAACGGAAGTCTATTAGACAGAAGGTACTTTGTATCCTCCGTAGAGATAAACTATCTGTCGAGCACATTTACATGATGCCGTCAGTGTAGGAAAGTGAAATAAGGTGCTACTTGAGTACTTTGTTTTCCGCGGCGGAGGACAAAGCAAACATAAGGTACAAAGCGTACGCCGATCGTCGTCGGTGGGTGGGAGGGTTGCCTTCTTGTACGGATAATTAGCTAGAAAAAGGTGTCTCCACCCTTGAATAACAATTTTCATATACATATATATGTTTTTTTATGTTGAGCGTATTGAAGTGACACTTGTTTAACCAGTTGACTCCTATCAATATCGCTTGGCACATGGTTACTATCAAATTTTTTATTGCGCCGTAAAGAAAGAATACTAAGAAAATGACTACTAAGTAGTTGAAATCCTGTGTTAAAGACTTCGAAAGTTATATTTAGTATACATGGTTTTAGTACATAACAAACATTTTATTATGATATTTGTTTTAATTCAGGTACAGTGCTAGAAACTTATCATAAGCGCAATCTTGAATTTAGATGCGATGCATCATACTTTTGGAATTAGGTGCGGTTTGGCTTAATGATTCTTAATAATTAAATTTCAAAGAATCCGGCTATATAAGGCAAATAATTTATGCACGTATGCTTTAACGTCAAGATAACATGAGACAACGTACCCTACCGCGAGGACTCCTCGAAGGCCATGTATATATACAATAAAGCTATCTCTTTTAAGGCTAAATCGCTACAATGCTTCCTTACTGTGTTAAATACTTAGAATTAGATTTTCATTGCCCCACAAAACGCCTTGAAACCAACTAAATCGTAATCAAAGCGGTTTTGCACTGCGTGATGATGACCTTTTCTCACTGATGAGTTCTTTTACGAAAACAAGCATCTCTCTGAAGTTGTGTTGAATGGCTAACTTTGTCCCGTCTAGTAATAATAATCTGATACGAATTCACTAGTGAATATTAATTATCCAATGATTGGAACAAGCCAGCAAATCATATTGCCTTTCATTTGCTTCTAGTCCTTGAACTCCACAGATAATAATTTAAGATTTAGATAGCCATTGTGGCTCCACTTAATGGCTGGTTAAATGGCTATTCAACTCCAATTAATTCTAATTACCAAAAATGTTTACTTTGCTAAGCCCAAGGCAAACTGTACCGATATGTTGATGAACATGAAGTTACAATTAGCCGTTGGCACATTTGAGAAATGGTGATGAATAAATCTATTTCATTACTTCATTATACGCTGCTACTGCTGATAGCAGCGAAAAGTTTAATGGCATATATTTTTTCCGAACGACTCCGTAAGCCTAAGTCATTTTTGGGGTTATATATACTTTAGGAGTCTTTGTGATAGTCTAAGCGATTCGTCAAAGAATTGCGCAAGCATTCAATACAATACCGCCAATACCAATACAATTATAGGCCATGGTACGGTTTTTAATTGAGTCATTGTTTTGAGTTATAGAACTTCTTCGAGGTTCTCGTCAATTTGAGCAAAAATTCACATGAATTTGTAGTATAAGTATGTCAATAGATGGTTAAAAGTATAGGGCTGTCAGTGAAAAAAGCTCAAGTCTGTATGATTACACACAGAAACAACAAGAAGAAAGATTTGCCAAACTCAACCTAAAACACAGTTCAACCCTAACTAATAGTAATTAGTTCTAACACGATAAAGTAAAACAAATCAATCATATATATTGACGTCCGACTGTCTCAATCTTAACTAAAACAAACTTCAGCCTTTCTTCACGAAATTGTTTCACATATGCAGATCAATACACCACATCGCCATTAATGACAACACAAAATTTATCCATTTTAACAAAATGTTGGTCATATTTATTTGGCCATTATTTTAAATTTTATAATAGACTTTAACATTAATACAACATTGATAATATGTAGCCTGTCGTACAGCACGGATGATGAGGGACGGCGCGTTTTGGCGTTGTGGTGAGCGAGAGCTAACTCGGGTTTACTGAGGTAAATATAATAGTATACACAAATTGACGATACTGACAGTAAACTCTCCCTTACGACGCAGTTGCCGTGTTTATGGCGAAGCGTGGTAGCACTCAAATCGAAATAGTCGCCTATGTCGTAGGTTTTATATGATTCGCGCAACCTTGATTCGAGCCAAACCTTAATTCAACACAGGCAACAAGGCGTCGTTGTGGAAGGAATTACTCGTTCTTTGAATGCGAATCTTTATTCGTGCAGTTGTAGCCATAAGGCTCATGATATAGAGGCAATGGTAAGTCCATTTTCATGAAAAAACCAACCCGAGCTCGCTCTTTACTCGTACTTTTCTGTTCTTTCTGTCTTTTATGTGTGTCTGTGTATATTCACACCAAACGCTGACCTCGCCCGAGCTGAATGTTTTTAAGAGTCTGTTCCTGATGTCTTTTCCTAGCGCCTGGCAACGTTATTATCATTCATGCGTCGCGTGTTTTTTGTTTGTTTGTTACATTAACAAAGATATAGCAGATCGAATGCACGCAGTTGAAAGCCGCTGTCGCTTCTAATTGTCGCTCTACAACATTTCCCCTTCTCTCTCTCTCCCTCTTTCATATATATATATATATATTATTAATGTTCGAAGTTCTCTCCTCTCCGCTGTGAACTCGTCATCATATATATATATATATATATATATATATATATATATATATATATTTTACGATGACGAGTTGACGGCGGAGAGCAGAGAACTTCGACCAAAAGCGGAAACACGACAACAGTAATCAGCAATTGTGAATTGTGACTTCTACGGCGTTCGTTTTAAACCTTTTGTGTCGAACTTGAATAATGCATGTTTTTTTGCTGGCTGTATCGTATGGTGCAACTCGTATGATACACAAGTACGTGGAATGTACTTAACGATTACACTGCTTTTACTTTTTCCCCGATATTCACTAATTAACGTGGTCGAACAACGGTCTAAATAGAAAAAATTCTAAAAATAGAAAAAAAAGACAAGAATCATTATTAACGTTTTTATTAATTAATGGTCGTGGCCTTCCCTCGTTTATTGTATGCACTCGTTGCAAGTATCGCTTTCGGAACGTTGCTTGCTAATGTACGTTCGCCGGACGTTATTCGAATGCCGCAAAGTCTTTTTAAGGGTGGATGCGACTCTGTTGAGCAGACGAATCCAATCAGTTTGAAATGACGTGAAATGTGAACGCGATGGCCTGCGAAACGAGGCTACTAACCTGTAATTTGAACAGCGGAAGGAACCGATAGAAAAGTTCTTTCCACTTACGGAGGAATTACATTCGGTGGGGCTATGAAGTGTAGATGAAAATTACTTTTTGCTTTCTTTGCATCATGCCCGCTAGTACAGCCAGCAAAGTGATAAGAATCGAAATAAATTTCAGCTTCCTCATTGATAATGCAATAGTAGACAACGCGTAAACTATATGTTCTCGAGTAATGAAGATGACGTGGTCTGCGTGCCCGATGAGAAAGGGTATGGTGTACTAGCCATATGAGGTAACTTGTTCGTTTTGCGCATGGTATATTAGCTTGGTTACATCTCTCGCGTTGTCTTCTCAGCAGTCGAGTGGCTGTACTGTGACATTGCAAACTTGACCTGAAAAACTTGACTATTCGTTTATGCATTCGGCTTCCGGAATGTTCTCGTAGGGCGGAATATCTTCAATGGGTTTTGCGACCGCCAATGAAATAACTTCAGAACCAGCACTTGTCGTTACGATGCCTGACGAGGTTTCTTGCTGCTCGCGTCCTAAAGCTGCTCCAGCTAAAACAGTCGAATCAGCATCGCCACCGTCGTTGTTGGCAAATCGTGGCTGTACCGAAGCAGAGCTTGAGCTGTGGGAATTTGCACCCTTTCTCAAGGATGCTTCCATCTCCAAATAGAGTGCGGTCACGTCCTTGGTATCAAAATGATTTTCACCAAGAGCTTGGCGGGCGATGTGCACAGCTGTCCTCAACAGCATTAGCAGTCGAGACACCTCTTCCACGTCACGGGACTGTTTCGTCGTGACGATCATTAAACGACAGAGCCGGACCAACTTGTGGGCATACTGCGGGTGGTTTTCTGAGTACACCTTTTTAAGCACCGGCAGCAAGCTCAAATAGTAATCACGAGCAAGAGCGTAGTCCGCAGTAGCCACGGATGCATCGGCAGCGGTGAGCTGTGCGGTAAATTTGGCTACATCATTATCTTCGAGATTGGCTAACTCCCCAGCAAACAGTTCTTTCAAAGCACAGAGGGCTCTCTTCGGATTCTCTTCACTGGACATGTCCAGCGTGAGGTCGCGAAGCTCAAACACGCGGTCCGTGAGTTTCGAATCGGCTTCGGTCATCACTTCAGGAATCGCACCGGAGCACATCTCGCATTCACACATAAAGTAGTAGCATTTGTTGAGCTCGGCGCGACGTCGTTCCCTCGTTGTATGCAACGTTATATAGGACAACGATAGGTCTGCTACTGAGCTCGCCTCGAATTCTCGTAGGGGCATCAGCTGGAGTATGCGACCTCTAAAGCTTCCGCTTACGTTGGGATTGCACGAGTGATCAATCATGGACGCGGCCAGATACAACCCGCACCCCAGAGGCCCATCGTCGTCAGCGACGTGCATCGTATTAATGCACATGATCCCAAAGAGGTTCAGGATGTCGATATCGGCGACCCGCTCAAGCTGTGGCCCGCTTAGAAACTGCTTTAGCAAACTCAACAACCAGATGAACCCCTTCGCTCGGTCACGGTCCATTTTTATACGCTCGCGATGATCCATACAGTCCTTGAGGCGTCGCCGATTGCCGAGCAACGTCTCGCATGTTGGATCCTCAAGTTCACGTTTCCATCGGAGCACGAGTCGCGCCATGAGTCTGGCCGGTTCGAGGGGCCGGCGTGGAGCCACCCGTTTCAGGTTTGCACATTCTGCCTTATGGTCCGCCCAGTCGGCGACCTGCAATACAATCAGACCACGACCAAAGAAAGCAACAACCGCAAAAACCCTCAACAAATAACCCAAAAAAACACTAATAATAAATAAAAACCCGGCACATAGAAACATGGAATCTCAAAACCTCGATGATGAGCAAATGGGGGTTGGCAGAAAAAACAAAGAAAAAACTGTGATAAGTAACATTTACCGACAACAGTTTTGAAAATCTATTCCTCTTGTAGGAACGCAGACCTTTAACATGCGGCTTCACTCTTTAATCGCGCCTTATTTTGTTATCATTATACTATCATTTCGCCTTTGTCACCCGTCGTCAACTATAATCGTTTCACTATTTTCAATAAACTTACGAGTACGTATAATGTTATAATTAGAGGGCGGCAAAATAGTGATGTGGACGAAAAAAACCAACGTTTATAATATTATTATCATTATTATTATTATTATTATTATGGCTACAAACAGCAACCTTTCGCGTGCGTGCATCATTATTTTCACCAGTATCATCTTATATCATCGCCACCAGAGATATTCATATTTCTATAGTTTCTCATTAGCATCAACAGCATCGTTTGCGTCATTCATCAACATTACTATCCTTATCCTAATTCTTATCGTTAATGATTATTACCAAGTATTACCATGATTTCGATGTACATCACGACTTCTTTTTTTATCATAGCTATCAGTGTTCGTTAGATTTAGCTTGTTTTCTCCCTCTCTTCTTCGTCTTGCGTCTCTAACCGCTTAGGCGGTTCAGCACTCACACAAAAAACGATCAACATTATTGACTTTATCGTCTGCTTTTTTCTAGTCTAGGTATGTCCCGCTTGCAGGTTTCCGTGATGTGCTCAGTGTCCCGCTTTTCACTCTCGCATCGCTTCGATTTTTGTTTCTGAATTTTCTCATTTGTGGTCTTTGTCGTTAACTTCGTCTTTATGTTATTATCGATTTTTAAGCTTTACTACACAGCCGTTGATGTTGGTGTTGCTGCTTGTATTACTGTTACGCTCACTGTATCCGTAACAGTGGAGCTAACAATGCAGACATTTGACGTCATATATATGTATGCTTTCTTTTGTATATAATTCTTATTGTTATAAGCAATACTATCGTGTAGTAGTTGTCGTCACAGTGTTATTATTGTTGTCACTTATTATCTTTAATCCTATTATTATTGGTTTTTTAATCAATTCATTTTCATATTTCGTCATCATCATTACTTGAACGTTATATTCTATATACATGTTATTATGTAATAGTCTCTCATTATCCAGTTGAGAGATTGAGGAAGAATAGGCATTGCGTCCTTGTTTTTCATCGTACTTTTCCCTTTCCACATATTTCGCCATTCATTGATAATCATTATTAATATTATTATCGTTCTATTCACACTGAAACAAAACGCGCTTAGCGAGTTGATTCTGAACAGTTTCTATTTGTGTGTCTCTTTCGGTTCAGTGACTCATTAGTGAGCTAACGCTGCGGGTCCAATTGACTCTCTTACAGTATTGCAACAACGGTTCTTTTGCGCTGATACAAGCTTTAATTCGTAGTCAACAGTAGATCGATCTGTGCTTTATGTGCTTGTATTCGCGTGTATTAGTGAACACCACTATATTACCAACAATTAATGATGGTAATAATAATAATAATAAATTATTCTAGTTGTTTAATAACTGTATGACGTCTATATCAATGCGTTTCTTGATTAACACCCCAACGATCACCGTACGTGAATAACGATAATGACTATATCCGTATAGATATTCGTATTATAGTTATGTCATCGGTTTTCATCATTACTCAAATCTATAGCGTGACGTGTGCTCGTTACCATCGTAATATCAGCATTCCGAGTATTGTTATTATTTATAATTCTTATTGTTGTGTTATTACCATTGGAGTTTTTTCCCCCCCCCCCCCCATCAGGAGTATACACAGTGTGTATGGTTATTCCTACTACAGTCACCCTCTTTATTCTCATAATAACGCTATCATTGTTATAGGTGAGCTGTCTTTTTAAATGTTAATTGGTGAGCGATTTTCATTCATTGATATTATTGAATCGGCACGTATTCGCGGAGCACAGATATACACGCCTATAGGGTACCACCATTGTGTAATAATAATTATAGTAATTGTTGTCCCTATACATTGTATGTAACAATATAATTATCCTTATAGCAACTAAATTATTCATGAATAGTATCTCATTAGATTTTCGTATTATCATCACAATCATAATTCTCATCATATCGTTCTTAATAATTTGTGCAATCTTGTATTGTATCATTTTAATGATATCATCATCATCCTCGTTATTGTTGTTATTGGTTGTTGTTAATGATTTATTATTATTGTTATTGACTCATCGTATCAGTGGGGTTGGGGCAAGGAAAACTACCATCCTTTTTTTGCCCTGTGCAATCGGTCTAATAATTAATTAACCATTAATGATCATGATGGTCGATTAATAAGTCATATAATATTTAACGTGATCTTGAAATTCGACACGATTTGTTCTCGCGTCAACAATCACGCGTTCATCACATGTGTGTGTATCCTTTCGAAAAAAATGGTAGAATCATCAGCGACATTATCTTGTTATTTTTCACATATATATGATTATTACTTTTAGCATGCGACAATACATTAATGGATTTTAAAATAATGAGATGAAATATGATGTCGTGCGAGACAAGCTAACACAATGACTCTCATAACCGTGAATGATCAACTAGTTGAGTATTGTCATCCAAAAAAACGAGTGTTACATAAGCGTGACCTAAATCTTTCAAATAAAGCCATCTCAGTATTTCTACATTTGCCACGAGGTAGGACAGCTTTGCCCTCAGTTTTAACCTGGCTCAAATCATCATGAAACTGCTACTAATGAATACACGAAATTGTCACTATGTTCCTTTTTCCCGGCTCATTTGCTTAATAATTTCTACAAATAATACTCAACCTGCATTAGAAAATCAATTGGTCAATCCATAGTTGATCGGCCATGGCTATTGCCGTCGTCGCTGAATGTCTATCACTGACTTACAGATGCACAGCGTAATTCTATCTATATTTGGACCAGTGTCCTTCAGCATTACAGTCTGCTTAACCCACCGGCACTCTGCTATGTTTATTTAGTGGCGAGACTCTACGATTGTCTGTCTCTGGGCTTCTTATCACGTTCCTTTAGTCAACTATTATTTTACCTATTTTTTGTATTATAAGAACAAAACATAAGGATTTCTACATTTCCATCCTATGGTTAAAGATCTTTCACCTTTCTACCGCCAACAACCTCTGCTACCTTCGGCAAACCCTGTAGACTGATGAAGTCATTTCAGTCACAGCTGAGACCGATTTATTTTTTCTTACCTGGAGCTGTCGCTTGCTTCAAATGTGCACTTACTAATCACTGGCCAATATCCATTAGGCCACCCAGCACTTGCCAGCATCAGAGTACAGATCAGGGATTTCCCGAAGCATCAATCATTAATAAGCTCTGTTTTCCTCACACGCGCCGGCATTTCATAACATTCGTTACAATCTACTGTACCACACCCAGTACTGAATATATATATATATTTGTGGAGTTCACTCCGTATTAGCATACATAGGGCCAATAGTATACTTGGAAGATTATCCGTACATCGATCAATACTGATAATAGTCTTAATCTTAGGAGACCTTGTCTACTCTAGTCACTTCACAAATAAAGCGTTACAGTGTATTAGAAAAGTATCCGCTTAGTTTTCCGCTACCCCAGATCTGTGATTTCCTTGAAACCTTTAAGCATCTTCGAGTCCCAGTCGTAGTCTTATGAGCTTACCACCTACATTATTCGGTTATCTGCTATGAAATCGTCTGTGTCTGCATTCCTTGTTATCTGTATCCTGTCTTGGATCATATAGATATCGAGACAGATTTCTACTACTGTGACTTTTGATTTTTCATTTGCTTGTATATAATATGTATTATACTAATCATGGTTGTTCTGAAGTTGTCTACTAACATCGATGGTCGTCTTCGATCCTTGTTTTTTGTGTTTCAAGCAGAAGACTTGAATAGTTCGTTTCTTAACTCACATTATAACTCACATTATATTATTGTATAAGAGTCACATTTATCAGCTACCATTGAACCAACAATACAGATTCAAATGTAAGAAATCGTCTGAAGGGATTGATGAGGAAATCATCTTTGTCATCAGGGCTTACGTTGATACAAATGGGCTCACATGATGAAAATTTGCTGACAGTGGAATATTAGTGCGTGTATAGTGTGCCGTATTCAAGTACATCTATCGCTTCTTAGCAATAGAGCATAGCAAGTAATAATTCAAAAGTTGGAAAATTGGCCAATTTTATGACTTTGTTTACAGTGACCGGGTAAAAAGTAAAAGTATTTTCGATGTTTTACATTTTGTCAGGTCATCTAACTAGCGAGATAGTCATGTTTCAGGGGTCCACAGTTCGTCTTTTAAAAGGTACATAGTCTGGGAACGCACAATACATTACGATACTAGTTAACATTGCGGCGTGAACCGAGTCGTTCATTTGGACTATTTTCTGCTCATTTTTAATAATACTTCTACTTTCATTATCATGTTCCCTTCTGATTGGCAATCGCTGCCTTGCTTGTGATCGCACTGGCTATATGGGTAGTGGGCCATGCAATCGCATATCTACCACCGCTCCGAGGGGTATCGCCCTCTCGTGAAGATTGTTCAAAGTCAACACGTTGCATCTGTTTGCACGGGTGACATTATATGACGTGTCAGAAAGATTCCGTTTATCAACATTATTATGCTTCTAGACCACGCGTATCATCGAACATGTACCTGGTACTATGCGCGAGAACTCCGTGACCGGCTGATGGAATCGTGTGTGTGGCTTTCTAGATTTGTCATTGACTTCATGCTTTTTGTTCAGAACACGTTTGTTTTTTCGATAATGTTTGGCGCCGACTGGGTTTTGCTAATGGAAGAAAATTGTTTTATTCGAGACTTCCTCTGTCAATACTTGTTTCAGCATATACAAAGTGTAACAATATATTCCGTACGTCGTAGCCCTTGGCAACGAGTACCGCCCTGATTTAATTATTTCACTATATATATATATATATATATATATTTGGACAAACTAAGTTAATATTTTAACTTACAACTTGTCCAAAATAATTAGCAAGACTGTAGGAGCCCTTCATTGGGTGTCTCGTTCTTTATCGTCATTCTCATCGCCATGCGATTTTTGTGGTGATTTTTCAATTTTTTAATAGATGCGTTTAAAAAAGAAATAATTTTTTTTATGTCACTTCCTACTTCATGCTTATGCAAGGTTATCATGTTCTTCAATGTGTCAATAGTCACACATCATTCGTTAAGAGTATAGCTAGAGTTCATATAAACGACTGCCTACCTCTTTTACTATTAAAATATACAAATGATCATAATTATAACGAGCACAGGATTAATGGCGGCTTTTCCTGTTTGTGGTTAGTCCGTTCGTCCGTACGGTAGTCGCTTCAGGCAGCTATTTCATGAGGCAATAATTCATTGTAGTTGTCATAGTTGTATTTTCCATTAGCAAGACGTTAACAACAGTAATTATTTGTATTAATTTTAATCATATTGGATGGAAATGTGTAGTCTTCATAAGGACTCGTCCCACGAAAGGACATCAGATGCTACATACGTATGTTACAAGAACCTTTTCTTTGGGTTATATACATATAAAACTTTGTTTTCTTTCTTTTTGTTTTCTATTTCTGCTGCGACTCGGTAGAATCCCAAATGCTGACCGTTTACATCTAAAGGGACAACGTTCTGATAGGCGGTCTCAGAGCTGTCGCATTTAAGAAGAGTGGCATGAATTTCCGGACTTGCAGGGGGCGGTAGAAAACGATGAACTATTGAGAGAACGAAGAACGACTGTATACCTCTCTAATGCGTGCGGTAGTTTTTTGTTTCTGTGTTCATATAATTATAGTAAACTATTAGTACTATTATTATGAAATGATTACATGGTCTGCTAGTGTTTGCCTATACGCTTCTATAAATACGCCCAAACAGAATTACATACACCCAGTTTCAATTTGTATTATCGCCATTGGTTGAGGGAACAGTCAAATATAGGTTTCGCGTATTGAGTTTCCATGTCGTTTTCATTCTCTTGGAAATAGCACACAGTCAATAAACAGCCTATTTATTAATACTACAATTAAAATCGACAGTGGTAGAGGTTAAAAGGTCGGGAATAGGGTACGTTTAGAAGTAGTACGTAGCAATTATTAATAGCAGTGCTAGTAATGGTACTTGTTAACTATTCGTCGTATTTATTAAGCATGGTCATGATTTTGTAGCAGTAACATGAATAAAATTGCAATAATAGTAATAAACATAATAATAATACACATCGTGGCACTAATTATTTGGTTACCACTCCATGTTCGGTTCTAAAAAAAAATTCGGTGCACGCTTAAACCTCATGTTTCGATGATCAACATTCTTAGTATGTTCATTATATATATATATATATATATATATAATTATTAAAACAATATTATTTCATAATGGCTTTTGTTTTGCGTTGCTGATGTAGCTGTTTAACACTATTGTGTTCAATGGTTGTCTAGCGAATGCGGCTGGGTATTCTTCGATTGTTGTAGTAGTATAATACATGAGACGTCGTCGACATGATCGCCATCTTTTCAGGATATTTGATTTGTTACTCTGTGTATTATTATTATTCCTACTGGTACTAGTATCTACCCATTGTAGAGGCTTCTGACTCGTACTACATACGGTCTAGATAAAGCAGCTTATATCAAGTAGTCATAGTATATAACACGTAACAATGTTGACTATACTAATATGATGACTAATATCAAACTAGTAGTCAATAGATGCTTCGCAATCGGCTTAGCAATCCCACCATTTGCAGCCGTGCTAGCAACACCACTCGCTGATGCTGACTCATCGAAGAAACGTATTAGGTACTAGCCAATGTGAACTGTTGCTACATTACAAACCTTCGTTTTGGAAACCACAGAACAGATTACATGTCTTCAGCATGTATACGGTCGATTGGAAAACGAAAACGTGAAAATACATTACTTGAAAATATGATCTCAGGGGAAATCGTAATTTTCCATTAAAAACCCTTTTTAAATAGATTTTTTTTTATAAAAACTGGGTTAGGGATAATTGCCTGCCGTAAACTTTACAAATTAGAGTGAGAATATGACTGAATTATCTCCCGGGTATAATGCAGGATTTACTTCTGGGCTGCAAGAACATGGCTATCGCACTCTACAATTTATTTGGTTTTCGATCTTTCGATGAGTTGTTGCCACCGATCCCACGTGTTTCACGGTTCACGACCACTATCTGTGGAGTCACTAGCCAATTTAGTGCAATTTCTCTCTCTCTCCCTCTCTCTCTCTCTCTATATATATATATATATATTTGTTCAGGTGTCCACTATTACAACATGGCTGGTGCTCTCGTTGCGGCACGTAGCAAAGAGGATGTTTGTCGTTGTTATCTGGGGTGGGCGTTACTTTGGTGGATGATAAGAGGTGGTGGTCGGGGCTTTTTGTGTGTTTTGGGTGGCAACAAGGGCGTCGTCTGTTCTGGCCGTAGTTGGGACCCAGCAGAACTAGCGCTGCCAACAACGGCTGTTAACGCGTTGGCACCCGTCCCTGTAGTTGAGGCTGATGCACCACCTGCGATTACTGTTACCCCGGGAGCGACGAATGTCCCCACTGCTGCTGTCGGTATTGTAACCGCCGGTTCTAGCCCTGCTAGGACGGGGGGTGATCCGGCCGGTTGGCCCGGGTTAGCAGCAGGACTACTGTGTTGTGAATGTGGCCCAGATGATACGGGCATCGCTGGCGTGTGGGGCGTAGCAGGTGGGACTCCGGACCCTGGTGCCTGCTGTTTTCGCGGCGGTAGAGGAGGAGGCGACTCGTGGCCTACGCCCCGAGGCGGAAGCGCCGGCGAAGTCGAGTCGTCCCTTCGAGCTCGTGGAGGCAACGGCGGTGGCATCGGATTTACTATAGCAACTATACCAGCACCACTGGCCGTGGCTCCGGTCGACAGAGTTCCTCCAGGAACAACTCCAACAGCCCCGGCGGGAAGCGATGTTCCCACCGCGTCCGGAAATGCGAATCGCTGCGAAGCGTGGCTTACACTGCCAGAAACAGTTCCAGCTCCACTTCCAGCTCCAGCGATACTGTTACCGGGGGCATTTGGCGACGATGGTGACGGAGGAAAAAAGACGCCGCTAAGCGAGGCCGGATGCGAGTGCTGTCGTTTGTGAACAGGCGGAGGGGCGACCGATTGTGATCCTTGTTGTTGTTGCTGTAAAGACAGCGACAGCGACAACTGGTGAATGATCTGGGGGGCATGTGGAACAGAGGAGATTGGTCCGTGCGGCATCGAGGACTGTTGCTGCTGCTGCGTTTGCTGCTGCTGCTGTTGTTGACTAAGGTTACAACCGCCATGAGTTGAGGCTGGATAATGGTGCGACTGCTGGGGGTGACCCGGAAGCCCGGAGAGATGATGGTGATGTTGATGATGATGAGGGAGTGGGTGAGGTGGAGGGGGTGGATGGTGGTGGTGGTGGTGCGAGAGTGGGTGGTGCGGCGGTGGGGGGTCGAGCATCGGAACTAGAACGGGCACATGTATTGTATCGCCAGCCGATGACGGTGGTGATGTTGGTGTTAGTGGCGGTAGTAGTGAGACGTCCTCTGGTGACTGTGGCGGATTTGGCGATGTAGCAGACGACGTCGAGGTTGACGAGAATGCCTGAACGCCGGCACAACCACCGGTAGAAGTGCTTAGAGGCATGTGGTTATGGTTAGTTGCAGACGCATTATTTGATACTGAACCGAGACCTGTTGCACACGAGGTAGCGCTAGTGGCAGTGGCAGATGCCGCCGTTGCTGCTGTTGCACTTGGGACAATACTATTACTACTGCTGCTTGAGAGGGTCATAGCAGACGACTGGAGTACGGCTGGTACTGCGGGCCGAGTCGTCTGCCGTTGGGTGGCAACCTTGATGCCAGGAGATTTGAGCGATAATTCTGGCCACCGTCTGGGCGCTTTGAGTGGATAGCGCGCGCCACGTGGCTCAATCTGCAATGAGCACTGATACAGGTAGTCGTTGAGCTCTTTCTCCGACTGGTAAGCCTGCTGTGGGCTTAACTGTTCGAGAAAGACACGGATGTTCTTCTCGACGGTCAGATTGTATGGCTGATTTTGGTACTGCTGGATCTCACCAGTGATTTCGGCGACTTTCCGTCGTTTCGAGAAGTTGATGAGTTCAGCGCCGTCTGCGACAACGATCATGTCTGGATTTCCCTCTTCGATATGTAAAATATTCGTCAGGTACATTCCCAGGAACGGCACACAGGGCGGATTGATCGAGCGTAGACGTTCCTGGTACTTCCTCCAGTGATCGGATTGAAGATCAAGAACGTCGTCGAGTGCTTTGCGCAAAGTGCTACGGACCGCTGCCTGCGTGTGCTCTAAGCGGTGAACAGGCGCTGACTGGAGCGCCGACGACACGGCGAACACGCCCGTGAAATTGTTCAATTCCTGCAGCACAACCATCATCTCAATACAGCGCGAGACGACAGCGACTCGTTCTTCAAGGTTTTGGCATTCGACGATTAGTCTCTCAAGATAAAACGAGAAATCAGACGAATGATGAATGATTTTTAATAGATTCGGCGAAGTGCGCTGTTTGTCTTTTTTTGTCCAGGCCGCGTTCACTAGCTCAGACGGCTGAACGGCGCGATACAATTCAAACTCTAGGAGGGTTAGTTGGCGGGCGACCTCCACCGGATGCAGTGTAAGTAGATCAAAACGGTCGGTCTCGCCAGGACGAGCCAAATACCATTCGAGCGGCGGGGGTTCGTGCGAGAACGTCAGTTCCTTCGCTGTGCCTTGTTGCTCCTGTTTGCGTTGTACGGCTTTCGAAATGGAATCGATCCATTTGCGCATGTTTTTGCCAGACCGCGCGTCAGCTCGCATCCGTTCAAGAAAGTCACGCAACTCCTCTAGCAGACGGCGATCACGTTCAAAATCGTAGTAGTGATGCTCTATCCAATGCCGTATCACGTTGAGAACGCGCACCTGTACCGGTTGCTGGTACTCCTTGCGGAAGCGCTTGGCCATCTGCTGTGGCTCAATAGAACAGGATTCGGCTTCATCGGCATGGTCGGGATGGTCTGGGATGTTGTAACGTTCGACAAGTAACTCGAGCAGTTCACGTGGTTGGCAGAAACTTCGAAACGTCGTTAAAAATGTGCGCACAAACGATGGGTCGGCGTACATATGAAAAGTTAGACGTTCGACTAGCTTGTACAGGGTAGCGCCTTTGATTAGCGGCACGCCTCCTGTCGATTTTTCTTCGAAGACGATATTCGCTGGAAGATCCGGTTCGGAGAACTTGTAGTTATCTGGCAAACGCAACGGGTGTTGCTTCTCCTCAGCGCTGAGAATCGAATCGAGACTTCGCTCGAGGTAGGATCGAGTGTTGACGGCTACTAAACTTGCTAACCAATTCAGCTTGTCCTCCGCAGATTTGCAGACTAGCACAATCGTACTTTGGCCGCTTCCTGCGCTCCCAGATCCACCGTCTGGCCGGCCAATCAGTTCAAGCGCGTGTCGCACATCGTCGGTGTCCGCGCGATCTGCGACCTCCATTTTGCGTATAAAAAACTTCTCCTTTAGCTTATAGCTCTCCCGATCTGGCTGCCCTCGGCTACGCGACTGTGCACTGGCCGGCTTGCAAAGCAACAGCAGACCGTCAAATAGGAATGCGTAGCGCTCCGTTGGCCGACGATTGCTGCCGGCTGCTAATTTGTGCAGGGGGCCTTCCAGCACGAACTCCTGGCACGTCTGGGCGATCTCTCGCTGCTGAAGCTCCGACCAGCCATCGACGCAACGCGATAGTTCGTTCAACTTATGCGCCGCTGAATGGCGGAGGGCACTGCGGCGGCGAAGGAACAACCCACCCTGCTCAATGGACGCGGCCGACGATCGTTTCAATGGTGAATTGGCCACGGCCGCTGTCAGCTGAGCCTTGAGATGTCCAATAAGTCCGTCCGTTTGTTCCAGACTTTCGCGATCTTCCTCGTTCACAGCCAGCACGGTCATAGCGCGGATGGCATCAAAATACGTTAGGCAGTGGAACACGGGCGCCCAGAGTAATCGGGGCATTACGTAGCGCGCGGCCAACCAGAGTCCGTGGCTGGAACGTTGCAGGGCTGCATGAACATAAGGCCGCTCAAGGAGCTCCTGTAGGGCTAGTGCCGATTGTGGTGAAGCCACGTGCTCGGCGTAGTCTTCAAATACGTCAAACTCGTAGCTCTCGGCCATATCGTAGAAACAGCTACCAAGTGCTGGAACCTGATCTTCGTCCGTCATCTCGACCACATCCTCGAAGCTAGACAGCAGAGCCGCCGAAAATTCAAGAATTTCATCGATATTGCCAAAAATCGCCCGTAGCTCAGCGGGTTCGTCTTCCACCAAATCTGCGTTGTTTTGTCCTTGCGCTTGGCTTTGTCCATAGCCTCCTCGACCGCTACTAACGCCTTGATGATCTCCCCCAGAAATACTCGGTTGACACAGCTGGCGAAGCGTGTGCCGGAACACCTTAGTGATAAGCTGCAACGTCTTAATGTGTTCTCTTTCCTCGGTAAGTAGTTCGGTCACGTGGCTCGCATACGTGTTCTTTTCGGGAAGTTCGGTGAGTTCTGGCGGCCGTTCATCTGCCCACTCTTCACCGGTGAAGCAGAACAATTCGTCGAGAACGGGATCAGCGCACATTGCTACCCGGCAATCCTGCAGCGTCACTTCACTATGACGGATGTTTTTCACGTAGTTACCGGTTAGCTTTAGGATGTCTCTAGCAATATACTCGAGTACCGCACACACAAACAGACTCACGGTCATCTCGACCTTATGGCCAACGAGCTCGCGGACGTGGGTATGTAGCCGCTCAACTGGCAAGGTCAACCCATGACCCGTCGCAGCGGATCCGCCCGGTGTTCCAGCTCCCGGCAACCGCGGCCGCCGAAGCGTGCTTCCAGTCGTACTCAGCGCTGACGCCCGCCATCGTTCCAACGCCTGCAGGGCATCCTTTGTTGCGACGTGATCAAGTGGCTTGGGAAACGTACGCGCCACTCGATCTTCGACTTCTTGCGTAGAGTGTGGTTTCCCCGCGCACAGCGTTGCCAGTAACCGCAGTATGAGGGCTTCGACGTAGTCAAGCGCTTCCGCGCTCGCTGTTAATGTTGGGTGAACCTGACAGTGCAACTTCTGCAGGGCGGGCACAAGAAGGCCACGCCACCGCGAAGCTGCTGCAAGCGACCCCTGTGCCTCGTTGAGGACTCCGCTTCCGTCATTTTCTTTGTGGTCTTTAATATTGTCGAGTGAGGACTCGGCCGATGGCGAGAACATTCTCGCCATGGTCGACTACCAGCGGCGGCAGCAGCAACTTGCGCCGCGAAATAGACCACCGAAGCAGTAGCACGTCAAGCATTAAGGCGTAAACTGCCAACGTTTTAACGTGCACGGCCACTGGTGACGTCCAACAAATGACCACCCGCGACCTTCCGTAGCCTGCAACCACCCAAATGTATCTAGTTGACTTTGTGAAATAGCCACGTTTGTGTCTGGATAATGGCCGATAAAGTTGTCGCACAGTCAGAACATACTGATGAAGCCGTCAGTCAAGCTTTTCTGACTACCTCTTACGGCCGATTGTCGGTGATTGGGTACGGTCTTTCCAGCGTTAGATAGGAAGCGTGTCCCAAGCAAAAGGCATATGTACGCGACCTTAAGGCATCTCGAATGCTTGACTCCTCCAAACTGGTTGGTTACGTTGCTGGTTACAAATATTTGTTACACCTGTCACGTTACACGATGCCAAGAGGTCATGCAATCAACTACTTACATTGCCCCTGTCGTGAAAACTGCCACTACAACGACAACGTGAAGACTAGTATTATGAGTGCAGGAATTAGTGGCAAAATTGTAGTGAAGGTGTGAAATCAGAAATAAGTGCAGACAGAGGCCGATAGTTTGTGTAACAATAGGAACTGTGAAGTTCTTTAAAGATTTTCGTCTTACGCCAAGACTGTTTGTCTGTACAGAAGTGTTTAAATTGCGTGCGTACACGGTAAGGGTTAACAACACATAGGCAACAAATACTTAACAGTAATTAGATCATCCAATGTGGCCGAGCTACTAGCAGCGGAAGAAGCTATAGAGGTCATTATATAGTCAGTTATAGCTGTAGCTCATAGATGCTATACAATGCAATACAACGGATGCGATACTGTTAGAGTCGTTTAGTCTGACTTAGAGTTCACACACAGTCGCATACACCCACCGATGTATATAGATATATCAATACTTTCTCTTTCTCTCTCTCTCTCTCTCTATATACTTCAAATGTTATATGTACACAGGTGCGTTGTTTTATGCTGATCTCGGGATGTTCGGTCCACTCCAATGAAAAGTTTACGGCAACTGGCATATTATTCAAAGCAAACAATGGAACGAGAAGGCCTATCTCTGTCCGCAATTTATTGGTCTGTTCTCCAGCCCAAGCGGCCGCTGCTTCTTAAGCTGAGGTAAACATACGCCATAATGATAGATGGCTTTTTTAGGTTCAGCTTTTTGTAGTTCCTAAGCAAACGTACAGTAGTCAACTCAGATAAGATGAATCGCGAACATGCAAGTGGCCATTGAAAATGATGCGGCACGCTACGGAGGCATTTATGCGCTGCGCTGCTACCTGATTGTAGTTCGTGTACTGTCATACGTCAAAGTAGAGAAGACACTTTGAGAAGACGTGATAGAATCGACGCTCTGTCAAACGTGTGGTTGTGGCCCGATATCAAGTCTGAACAGTGAGTTCCGACGGTCAAGTTGCAGTCCTGATCATCATTTCAATAGAACAAAAATATGTAGCACAGAAAAAGACGAGGCTGTTGTATTGTCAGCAGCTCAAAAGAAATTTTGGCATTGCTCATTTTGTAGTTATTTCCTGCAAAATGGGTTCTGGAGCAAAACGACGGTATCTCGACAATAAGAAGATAAAATAGGAAGACTAGTTCACACAGAAAATAACATTAAATACTTGGCAGAAAGTTGAGAAAAACCAAATAACGACACAGTCCGTTTACGGGCTAAGCGATGGCCAAGGAGATCCTCTACCGTGGAATACGCCCTCCAACCTTTTGTATGCTCAAAAGGAAGTCGCAATGTCCAGAACGATGGCTTTCAAAAATCCTTCAAAAATTATATGCACGCACGTTTTTTTTTTAGTTGTATTATCAGTAGTGTTATGAGTTCTCCTGATATCTTCGTTCTTTCTCCTTCGTGTTTTGTTAAGATGGTCGTAAATGGCGTTAATCTATCAGCACCTATATGTGCCTGCTAACTTAGATCAGGAAGAAATACGGCAAAACATCGGGCGTAGTCGAGCTTCAAAGAGTCAATTTGTATTGCTCCTTGGCATTGTGTTGCTCTTGTAGTAGCATCAATAATTCCGCGACACAATTTTGGGAGACAATTAAACTACATCATTTATAATCAGCACACTATCACAGCCCGTCTATCTAGTTATCAGTGAATTTTTTTAGAGTTTTACGAGTGTTGCCTCTGGACCTACTGAATCCGTAACGTGTAGAGTTGATTGATGAATCTGTAAACCGTCAAAAGTCACTGAGTCTTGTTGTGTTAACGTGATCTCTCCAGTTTTCACGATACGTATGGAAACTATTGACTTTGCCTTGTCAGCGATCTATATATGTGTCCCTCTTTTTCTACAATGTTCCTTCCTTCATATCAGTTTGCCTCCACGTTTATATTGGCCAGAGAGATTATCCACAGAAAGATCCTCTGTGCGCTTCTAAGCATCTCTTCCTCTCTAGCTTAATAATATCATAGTTTGCTGTAGTCTGGTTCCAACTTTTGTTGTTAATTGATATTCTCCGGACAACCGTATGTCACTGTTATCTCACTCGTCACTCGGAAGTTCCGTCATTAAACTGAAGTGACTTTACCACATTGCAACAGCAGAATGGATGCTATAATGATATTAATAATAACAATAGTAATAATAATAATAATAATAATAATAATAATAATAATAATAATAATAATAATAATAATAATAATAATAATAATAATAATAATAATAATGACAACCTCAACAATAGTATTATCGAGTCTAATACTTCGTTACTCAGCAATCCCGTTGTTCTGACCACACTGTGCTATTGTGCTACCTTATTGTTTGCGTTCTTATCCCCCGCTGACGTTAACATGCTGGTCGTCTGTATGTTCGTGCGAACGCGTTCACGTCACCCTTCTATGTATATACATCGGTTGTATTCTACTATCCTGTTGTTTCTTTGTTTTGATTGTTGGTCTGTTGCACCTCCTTGACAACGGCGCTATAGGGATGCGTGCGTACATGAACGCTGGCTAAACAATATCACTCTTTATGTTTATTGTTATTATTATTATTATTATACCTGGCACTCTCGCGAACAGAAGTGCAGATAGTGACAGCCCGAGCAGCGTTGAAGTGTGACTCCTCCCGGGATACTGAGATCCGAACGTTTCAGACAATAGGCGCACGCCTTCGAGACGGCGCAGTCCGCGACAGCTAGCGCGTATGGATGACCCTCGTAGACCAGTTGGCCCGGTCGGAACACGACGGGCATCGCAGCAACGTCGGCGAAGAGCTCTCGCTTTCAGCAACGGCGATAGAAGTATGACGCTCAGCAACAGCGCTTAATCGATAGCGGCAATCGAGAGCAGAGTAGAATTGGTGCCGACCAGCGAATGACCGTGACTGGTAATAGTACGAGCAGTGGTGATTTGAGTTACGTGGCTACGGTGAGACGAGACGAGGCGACGCGACGTGAGGCTTCCACAATCTGCGTGGAGATCTAGGAGGATAATCGTCAGTCAAATGGCACTGCTGTTGCTGCTACTACCATCAGTAGACAAGGAAGAACGGTTGCCGGCTTTAGAAGTAGTAGGGCCTGCTAGAGACGGGAGCCCGTAGGCCACTGCGGCTGCGCGGCGGGCTGCTTCGCGTCGACGAACCTGGAAAGACGCAATCGTTGCGCGACTGGAGCTTCTGTCGCCGTCGCTACCGCTGCTGCAGGGATTCCGCAAACAACAATAACCACCTAACGCTGCAGTACGACGTACAGCGCAGTTCACGCTCGCCGTCGTTGATGATGACGTGAACGCTATTGATGATATTGATATTGGCGATGGTGTCGGCTTGTGGACTATGACAGCTGATGCAGATATTTCAGCGATTAGGCGATATAGCCACGAATAGGTGATGCTGTACTGAAGCTGTTTTAGTGACACAAAAACAGTAAGAACAGGTTTGAAAAACAGAGTTAACAGAGTAGTACTACTAAGGAAGAAATAAAATGAGAGACGGAAGTGGCGGCTAATAGGAAACAGAACGTTGATTACCTGCGTCACGTGTAAATACCGCCACCTGTACTGCTATATACATACTGTATATAAAAATCGCATGCAACATATATATATCTGACACGCACGTGCACTATTACTTTATATATGGCTACGCATATTAAACGCACAACCACAGGGATATCAAAAAGAAGACAGAGCTAAATCGATCATATGAATATTCCGTTATATAGAGATAGCAGAATATTTATTCACTGCTGCTACTATTATTATTCAGGCTACCGCTAAAGCGCAGAGCTGTAGCATCAGATCGATCCTTTCAGACAATCGCTCCTGTTGTTACTTATTACTGATACCGACGGTTGCTCTCCTATAGTGGCTCTACGGTTAAGGCTAGCATTAGAAAAAGCGACGCAACTTCCTGCCTGAGAAATATAAGCTGATAAATATTGAATGCATGCAAGTGAACGAGATGTGACATTTGGACCCCCCCCCCCCCCCTAAAACCAGACCATGACCAAAACTGGATCCCCAATGAAACTATGCAAACAGGAAGGCGAGAACACGCCCCCTTTCACAACCGTGCAATGGCTTAATCGGCAGCCGTACACAATAAGCAGCACCAGCGAAAAGAACAGAAAGGATGGTTTCACAATGTTTTCAATTGCTAGCAGTAGCGATAAAATGTATTTTTTTTATAAACTTTATTCTGACTGTATAAAGCGACAAAGGCGCTGAGTTCAGTAAGTTATAGAAAAAAAATATTGATCCATATTCTTTCAAAACAGAAAAATGACAACCGCTGCCTGAATGCCATAAAAGCTAGAAAATGTAGCTTTCATTCATTCATTCAAAAAAAAAAGCAAAACATTTGAAATAAATACACAAGAAAAAAAAGCAGTAGAAGCAAACATTTAGGCTCTTGTCAACTTTTGGGATTACATCAGCACAAATAAATTACCCTTACAGAGAAGTATTTTTGGCTAGACGCAGCAGGCAAAAGCGGTAGGAGGTTACATTACTATTGGGGTACGTTCTCTGGCTATGATGAGTTGGCGGCTATAATATGTAACTTGATGAAAAGCAATTACACCGATAGGTGTCAGCTTCCTTCTGGAGCACAAAACATAGCTTTGTACAGTAATATTATTCGCTGATCGAGTTTACTTTCGTTCGAATTGTGTGTACTTGTTGCGCAAAACGAGTTTTACAAACCATAGGACAACTTGATGAAGAATTCCAACACCAAAATTCGCTTTTTCTTCTCCCTATACCCTTCTAAAACCAATTCATATCACGAGGACACCCCAATACCGAACAAAACGCACAATCGCATATTTATCTGAGCACGTATGAAATCTATATACGAATAACACATTTTTGCATTTCCTAGCCAGACTATGAATGACATAATTCTTTCTTTGGTTTCCCAGCGCAGTGCAACGCTCACTCATTCTTGTGTTGTCAATCACTAATAACTCGTTGGCTACAGTGTATCCACAACACCACTACCTCGAACAGCAGAAACGAACATCCTACCGTGCCACCCATGATTAATTTTTTCGCTCGCTTTTTGATGAACACAAGCAGGCTTACAGGCCAAATACAGGCTCGCATAACAACATTGCTTGACATGAACAACAATAACGACGACAACAGCAGTGACCATTTGAACCATATAGGACCGAGACAAACCGTACGTTCCCCGAAAACCCTACCAATCAATTATTCTATTAATTGCAGGCACTCAGCTACCACTCGCCGATGATGGGTTTGAACGTTTCAAGACACCGAACATCAGCAATATGTACAAGCTGCCGGAAACGGATAGGCAGGATCGTACAAAAAAACTATTGTACAGATGCAGTCCTATCTGACAACCTAACGCCATCGGTTCTAAAAGCTAAAATAGTTCAGAAGTTGAGCGGCTATCCACCGGCTGATGAGACTTTACATCGTCAATATTGCTAGTTCTGCTATTGCTTCTACTGTTGCGTCTATAGAAATATATAGTACACGTTGTACAATAACTTTTTTCAAACAATACACATCTACGCATAGGGTAGACCCCTGACTAACATGCGGGGGAGTATATATATATATATACAGTGCCATTACACTGCAATGGGAAATTGGAAGCACTAAGTGGACTGAGTTAACTCTTCATAGTTGAAGTTGCTTTCTTGCTCTTGTTGTTCACGTTATTACCATAAGCAAGAGCAGTTGCAAAAAAAAACAAATGCTGGCCGACTGGGGAATGGAGTACACGCGACTGCCGCAGGCAGCGTAAGTTATAGCGCCCCACCCGGTAGTTGTGCTTACTATTCCCGAAAACTGCCGCCTCAATTAAGGACTGCAGTGGGCTAGAGTCTTCGCGCTGGCGGAGACGGTGGCACCCGATGCTATGACGGCGCCCTACAAATGAATTGCCCTGTTGGTTGATAAATAAACCAGCCGACAATGATAAGTAGTCAGGTAACGGTGACTAGGGTACTCGTTGTTGATGCTACCGAACCACTGATCGGCTCTTTGCATATAATTGATAGATTGATTTATAAGCTACAGCTGATGTTGCTTGAAACTGTGCAGGCTGCAATGTCTGTTTGATTACTACGTTCGATGAACTATCCTTCCTGTATATATGAATTAGTAAAGGCATACGTACATGTTGCACAGATGTAATATTGAGACCTCTATTAATTATTATTTATAATAAGTAATATTGAGTGAAATATATGAGATTCTGCCTGCAAAAAAATGCAGTTCAAGGCTGCAGCTAAAGTCTGCTACTATTTATGACCTGCACACACATAATATTAACTAATAGCCTCTATCACGATCATTATTATCACTTCACAATACGCAATGCTGCTGCCGATGCGCGGACGTATTCTTGCTTCTTTCTGTTGTGGTCATTCTTGCTTTCTTTGTGTGTTGCCGTTGCTGTCACGAGTTGCTGCGTGGGGGGGCTGCTGTTGCTGCCGCCGCTCTCCGGAAAACAATAGCTGAACTACATGACAGCATAACGCAACCAAACACTCAACGCGCCAGACTGTGACACGCCCGCGTCAGTTGACGTCTTTTCTCTATTCCCCTCTCGAGTGTAAACGACGTTTGAGAACGTGACAGACGCAAGGCGCAGCTGGTAGCAGCCACTTTGACAGGCGGTTAATTTCGCTGCTGGGTGGTGATAGCGGCGTCAGCAGCAGCACAGTCCCTGCGTCTGCGCTTAGTCGGCGGTAGTATGCTGTCTTCTTTGTTATTGGTGATTAAAATGGGTTGCGATAACAGCGATAAGGATCATCGAAAAATCACTGACACAGAAACAACGACGCCGATGACAGCATTAACAGAATCAGCTTTAAAAACAACAATTCATTTTTGTTCGTTGTATTGAGTATATCATATATAATTAATAAAGCATAATTATTATTGTACGGGGCGCTAATCAAGATTATTGATGATTCGCTCGATGAGTCGATATTTGTTCGTACCTCCTCACGTCAGTTCCTGCCCGCACATTCAACCACACTGGCTGCTTTTTTCGCTCATTACCACGTAACAGACGAACATACACACAAAATGAACGTACAATAAGAGATCGACGAACGAACAAATTCTTGACGCTTCCAGACGCGCGACTGTCTACGGCGACCACCGCGCGACTGATGGTCGCGCCCGCAGTTGACGCGCTGGTACACTATACGACACCATTGTCAGCATTGATCAGCATATCCATAGAGCAGCTCACTTCAGTAGGTACCAACGAACAAATATACAGAGAGAAATAGGACCACACCACAGCACAGTTCCACTCACACAACAAAGGGGTGGTAATGTTACGTTGCTCATTGCCGCCTGCAGTTCGAGAAGCGAACGGGTCGAAATGGGACGGAACGTATACATTTCCTACGACGATAGTGTTTGAAATTTCCACAAATGGTTGATACTGCTACGGTCAGAGGCCACTACGGACAGCGACAGCTAGATCACTACAACACGTTATGATCACCACCACAAAAACAAGGAAGCAACCATTCGTGCCTACTAGTACATTGTTGTTATGTAGATTATTATTATTATATTAAGATGTCACAGGATGGTGGAGTAAGAGGGGCACGGGGTAATGGAAGCGCGGGGTACATTGCTGTATGATAAATGTAATCTGATGACATTTCTTCGAGACTCCACTCGATATATTCGTACCATATAGTAGCTGGGAGAGATTATGATGACAACGGCAACAACAACCCTGCTCAACTTATAGTAGTACTGTGATAGTATTAAATCTCGTGGTAGCCAGCAGTCACTGGCTTTCTCTCTCTCACTACATCTATGTATATATCTACCTATCTGTATATCGCTCTTTTCTTTCACCTTCTGACTTCTCTTTTTGTCTCTGTGGCTGTTTATATCTTCTGTAGGCAGCAGACACACACACATACACACTCACATAACAACACAGCGCATGCCACACTAATCACTTCACTCATTTCTTCCTACTGCTTATTATTATGATGATATACTACTGCTTTATTTCCTTGCCTGCCCACGACGAAGACGACAACGATGAGTGTTGCTGCTGCTGTTGTCGTCGACCGACCACAACGAAAGTGGAGAACGGAACAGTACAATTGGGCAGGACGGCAGCGCAGGGTACGGCAAAACAGAATAAGACAGGGCAAACCAGACAAGTCCGTCGAGCGACAACCGAAACCGACTAGCTCCTTTGCTTAGGTTTGCTTTACTTCGCCTAGCTTTTAGCTAGCTGGCTGGCTAGGCGAGAACTCTTCCCGTGTTGTGCTTTGGAAGCTTGCTAGCCGCTGGTGGCTCGCCGCCGCCAGACGGCGCTGCCGGTATCTGCCTGAGCCCAGATTTCCCGGGAGTCAGTTGCAAAAAGTGGAAGGAATTGCATGCCGGAACTATTTGCGATCGGTTGGCCGGGCTCGATTTCGGACCTCGATTGGGTTCGCACAGATTAGTTGTCTAAAGAAATGAATCGCACGGCGAGAAATAACCGAGCTGGTTGAATCAAACCGCCGACAGGGCCAAGATCGCGCGGATGAACGCGTTCGGCGAGCGCGCCAAAATTTCAATTAATACTGACGGAGCAGTTAGATTCGCAAGCGCGGCCGAAAACAAGTGCCAAAGAAAGGACTAAGGAGTCAACAGAAAACCGAGTGACCGCTTGGTGAAGAAAGATGCGCCGCCGAAATATCTCATGATGCCGGCCATGTTGCGAGATTATGCCAAGCACACCAGCTTCATTTAAGCTGGATCAACTACAGACCAATATATATAGGTATCTTGTCCGTGCGCGCACCAGCTTAACCAATAAAACACATCTCCAGAAAGGGCAACCTAACAAGAAAACAAGTTGAAAAAATTCCTCGTTAGGAATAAACAAACTGAGCTGGTCTGTGCTATTTTTCGAAGCGCCTCAATATAGGTGTCTCTCTGTCGGATATTAGTGCTGCAGTAGCTAGAAAAAGAAATAGGGGAAGAGCAAACGTTTTCGCTTGGTGCAATGCTACGCTAGTTAGCACTAGCGAAAGTCGACGCCGGAACGACTTCGGAGTTAAAGTTCTGTATGAGAAGGAGGAAATTTTTGCCCGACAGAAATCCGACCGAAAAAGGGGGCGGGGGAAGAAGAAGAAGGCGAACCAGAACTGAGAATATAGTGACAAGTCGCACGACTGTGGACGACTGAAGACCCGCCGACGCCCGCTGTGATCAGAAGGGAGCTACTGGCTTCCGAACAATTGCAAACTACTCGAAGTTCCTACAAATTACACATGTCATCGATAACTAATCCTGAGTGTATGTGTGTGTATGGAGCAGCTTGACGTGAACGCCGCGCCTGATTGTGCAAGAGACAGCGTTTGTCATAATGGTATAGAGAAACCGTTAGCGCTAAATGCGATGCTTGTTAGTTAACTGTTACAGAGCGTTGTTCTAAGCTAAACTAAAAAGCATATAGCACTATATAAGAAAGTTGAGACCGCGTTGTTTGTGCCAACTTTTTTGTGATACCTTGGACCGGATAGTGTCTCTGCAGAAGTTTGCGCTTCTTGCTGGTTTGTCTTCGACTATTACTAATGATCGGTAAAAAATGCGAACTGGTTAGCTGACGTGTATATCGGGAATCTATATTTGCAATTGAAATAAAGCAAAAGCAACGGTGGCCTAATAAAATTAAGGGGCACATATCGTTAGTTACTAATATATGAGTAGCTCCGCGATTTATTCACTAGTATCGTAACTAAATAATTCATTTTATCAGATACTATTACATGCTAATAATTATGTAATTTTTTTTCTCATTATCGAGATGATAAAAACTAAAATCTTTTTTCAATTATTTTGGGTAGACAAGGTCTATAATAATTTTACGTAATTCCAGTTGGGTTATTTGCTTATACTGGATCTATTTATGGGAACCGCTGCGTGGAACCACCAAAACGACAAGTACTGGCATGTGTTTAAGCAGATCAACGCATCCTTGGCTACCTACGAACATTGCAAAATCTCGAACACTTCAGGCTGTTCTCTTTGTCACTACCAGTAAGTCAATTTGAGCACCCATCTCAAGCGTCAACTTAAATGCTCATTTGTTATAGCATATGATAGCATTTTATTCTGAAGAACAAGTAGCTAGAATATAGTAACACTGCCATATATAAAGGTAATTTTAGGCATTTCTTTTTCCATATTTTTACTATTTTTATTGCTATATCATCCGAAGCTTATATAATGCGCGTTCTCAAAGGCTAAGTTTTTGAAATTAATTAATTTAGAGTGATTGCCAGGGATTTAGCGCCATGGGCTAGCGGCATAGAGAAAAAGGACGTAGATCGGGCAAAACAATCCGGAGTTCATTACCAGATCGTTGGAGGTCGGCTGTACCGTCAGGAGGAATGTATGTTCCCATTCAGGTAAATAGCAAGATTTGTTGACAGAGGAAGGACAAAATACGATGAAAAAAGAAAATTCCGACTGTTGACCAGCTCCAACTAAAAGATGTTTCCCTCAAAAACTCATTGGTAGATTTTTTTACAAGGTATCTATATATATTACAAGGTACAAAATATCTAATAAACCTATTGCTTGAAATTCGCAGGCAAACAACTAATTAGTAATGGCTTTATGGTATAAACATTTCATAGTATTATTGTTGCCATTGTCCTTGATAAATTAATCTTACTTAAATATATTTAAAATTGCTATTAATGTCTAATCTTTAAACAATTCGACAGGTGTTCAGGAGTTGAGCATTTCCTCCTTGGTCTAGCCTCTAAAATGCCGGACATGGATTTAGTGATCAATGTGAAAGACTACCCGCAAAGCCTACGGCGACACAGCAAATTACCGGTATTCTCATTCAGCAAAATATCAAAGGATTACAACGATATAATGTATCCTGCCTGGTCGTTCTGGGAGGGTGGGCCGGCAATAAGCATTTACCCTACAGGTATCGGTCGCTGGGATCTGCAGAGGTGAGTCGAAAGTGCCATTATTGCAAATGTGGTGCGAATTTGGACAATTCTGTGCAATAAATAAGTCAGGACTCAAAAAGCCAAGCGATCAGTCACGTGGCTTTAATAACTATTACAAATTATTCGTTTAGTTTATCCATTGGTGCCTTCAAGAGACCTTCACAGCGTCTACTGAGCACATGTTAAGCAATTTTATTATTTGTATATGAGCACAGATATAATAATTACACTCTGTTATATATTTACAAAGCGCTATATATCAAGTATGCTTTGGTCAAGAGAGGTCAATAAAAGTCGATGCATTACTACATTGGCCGTCGGATTTTTGGTACACGTACTAAGTAACTTCATGCAGAAGCGTAAACGAGTTAATATTGAAATAATCGTTATTATTCTTTCGAATAAGCACAGTTAGGTAAGTTCGTCTGTTCACCAAACACTCATTAATAGGATGTATTTATAGCGGCTGTTAGTTGTGTCGCAGGTATTTGCGACTCATGAGTAGCTATGGGTATTCTTTCCATATACGTAGCATGTTCGCTGATATTGCGGTGACCGTTTGTTCTTGACACTGCCTTCAAATTACTGTGTCTCCTCAGCGCTAATTTACTAACTGAAGCGGAACGATTTCCGTGGTCGGAGAAAGAAGACAAGGCTTTCTTTCGGGGTTCGCGAACATTTCCTGATCGAGATCCCCTTGTGAAGTTATCGCGGCGCAATCCTGATCTGGTGGATGCTCAGTATACGAAAAACCAAGCGTGGAGGTCGGAACAAGACACACTCGGAGCGCCGCCTGCGACAGAAGTTACATTTGAACATCACTGCCGTTATAGGTATAATATGATTTATAATATGATATATGTCTATAATGTCCGACAAATTGGCAGCAAACAATATGTGTTACATAAATAATCAGTCGTTCTTACTGCAGTTGAACATGTTGCAACGTAACTATACGTTTAGCATAAAAACAATTATAAATCCGCCTATATTTTAAAGTTGTATCATTTCCATGTTCGGTATCCACAAGCGTATCTTATTCCTCTCTTTATAGGTACCTTTTCAACTTCCGTGGAGTAGCTGCTAGCTTTCGACTGAAGCATCTGTTCCCCTGCAAAAGCCTCGTTTTTCACGTTGGCCCCACCGAATCAAATGAGGATTGGATCGAATTTTTTTACCCCATGCTCAAGCCTTGGATACACTACATTCCCGTGACGCAAAAGCAATTGACAAATGTTGAATTTCTCCTAAGTTTCGCCCGAGATAATCAGGATGTAGCACAAAAGATAGCCCAACGTGGCTATGAAGCCATTCGTAACCACCTCCGAATGAAGGACATTCGCTGTTATTGGCAAAAATTGCTTACAACTTATGCCAATCTTATAAAGTACCATGTTGTTAAAGATCCCTCTCTTAAAGAAGTTATACTGAAAGTAACGCGAAAGTCCATTCCCGCTTCTCAAAAAACCGAGCTTTAACATGTTAACACCATGTTCGTTAAATTGGAGTATGCTTTTGGTCTCGAAGAATAAAATATGCGTCAGGTACAAGTGTATTTCCCACCAAGTGATAAAGCAACCCGCTAGAATACTTAAAATGGGTCGTAAATTAGTCCTATCGTCATTACACTTTTTTCGCATGGTTTCTACCGGTGGCTTGGCTCACTATTTCAAATTAATTAGTACATATAAAGAAACGTATTTTTCAACATAGCCTTTTATAAACTCCTTATCACTACTACTCCCATTAAAGATTTTCCCAAAGAATTACACATATAAGTACTGCTATTTAGAATTTTCGGTTTGTATTTTTTATTTTTCCACCCAAAAGTGAATTAACCGGGTATCTTGTTTGTGCGAGCCGCACCAGTACAATATATTGTATGCATTTTTTGACTGGAAACCAGAAACCTATGTAATACGGCAATGACCATTTAATAATCTTAGAAAAAAGCAAATCTTGAATTAGCAAAAAAAAACACTTGAAAAACTTTTACAGTATACTTTCTAACTCCTTAATAAATGCTGTTGAAAGCATATTTATCAACAGAGATTATTATGGTCCCTGTGAGGCGTCGCATATTATGCGACTTTTAAAATGACAAAATGGTGATAGATAGCACAACGCTGTTTTTAGTTCAAAGCTCGTTCTCGGACTCGTAGAAATGATTGATTGCACTAAGCGGTATTGCCGATAGGTTTAGCTGTTTGCCGTTAAACAAGGCTACAGTACTGGATGCCAACTGACATCCGATTAAGAACAACAAGAGAAAAAAATATCCATGTTTAAAATGACACAAGCTTGTATATACAACTTTATATATGTAAACGGTAACTTTTCATCAACACTTTTTTCAAATAAATAAACCTCAGGTGAGTCGACTAATTTATGTATCGTGTCTTCACGTGCACAAATGAAGAGACAAGGATCCTCTCAAGAAAAAAAATAAACATTGCAGTGTATTTTTTTATTTCTTTCCTAGAATTTCAGTGCTAAGGGTTCAATAAACAGTTTACTGCTAGGGACGGTATGTACAGAAATGGGGGTTACATTTTGAACCGAAGAATATCTGTGATTGGTAATCATGATGACCGGCCTACACAGCTGGAATAGCAAATACTGTAGAAATGTATCTGATCCCCTCCATCGGTGGCGGAGACGTTATCTATGCTTATGAATACGTGAAACAGGAGTGCAACATATGATAGAAGATGAGTGATAATAAAGAAATGCAGCTTCCACATTTGTCGTTTATATTTCAATCTGGTCCATGGCTTCCATTTGCTTCCGTTCGACCTCCTTTATTTCGTCCATGCAATCCTTATATGAAACTTTTTGTGGGATAATATCTGTAAAACAGCCAAAAAACGTAAGAGCATATCCCAAAATTCACATTACTTAGTTATAACTGTGTGACGCTCTAGTTTTTTTTACGAATTTCATTTACAATAGGGTGCAAGGTTTAGCGTTAAATGTGTCAAAATACATAGACAGATATTTTGTCATTATACACCCAAATTCAATTTCCATATATGTCAAATTTCATGCACTTTAGAGATACGCTGACAAGCTTCATACTGCCGTATATATTAGCAAACAGATGATTTTAATAAAACTTCTATCGAAATTCAATTACACGATATTTTATCGCTTGCATATACCAAGCTTTCTTAGTGTAATTTTATCGATCAGGCAGCTCTCGACCATGTCGAAGATGTGATCTGTACAGCAGATACCAGAGAAGCTTCCCAAAAGTTTCAAAAAAAAACGACCTTCTTTTCACTTTGGTCCTTCAATCATTCTTATAATTACAACTAGTAGTTTTTAGATTTAATAACACGAATCTTCTATTACAATAATGCTCTGAGATAGTTAAGTGCTTTAAAGAAATATTAAACAATTTGTGTGTTATAGGAAAATTTAGCGAAAGCTCACCATAGAGAAAATCTAAAACTGGATTATCATGCACGACCCTGTAGATGTCTCCGTAATCAACTTTAGTTGTTTTGCCCGTTTTTAGCGTCTCCTTTGCTAAATGAATCACAAATAATTCCTGAAAGCGACAGTGAAAAAACAGATTCTATTAATTAAATAAGAACTATACGAAACTATAAGCTATTAGAAGAAACCTCGGGGTTTGTGTTGCTTACAATATTGGGATTAATTAAAACCGTAAATGCCTTTTGGATAACGCGTGCTCTGGTCACATAATAAAATTAAAATAATAGCACCCTAAATTTTAAGACTTTGCCTAAAGATAACTAACTGAATCATGTAGTGCCGTGAAACTGAGAGTCATTGCGTGATTTGTAGCTGGCCATAATGATAGACCCCTATAAAAATCTACCTAAGTTTCATGCGAAACTATAGAAAGAAATAATTTTTAACAGGGATAGAATTTCTCGTAAAAAGTTGGCGTACACGACTAAAGACGACAATCAGTTGTGACGAGGAAATGAATTCGTTGCCCCACTTCTAGTTAGCTTCGTTTTTTCAACTGCAAGGTACCTTTCTCTCCACCTCAGTTACGCATAACTTTTGTTAAACTTACAGCTGCTCGCGCTGTAAGAGCCACGGCATCGACTCCAAGTGTGTTCACTTCTGGTGCCGACTTCATAATCATCTTGATTCGTGTGAGGGGAAAACTGGCCTTGGGCTGTCCTTTCTCTTTACGTGACGGTGAATCCTGTTCGGTTACACCCTTTGGCTCTTTCACGTGATCATCTTCTGAATTTTTCATATTTTCTAAGTGTTTGTTTTCCTTCTTGTGATCCTTCGAAGTCTTAGTTTCTTTACCGCTTTTCAAGTTTTTATGAGCATCCTTTGTCTCTTTGCCATTTTTTAGATTCTTGTTATTTTTCGTTTCTTTAGAATTTTTTGCATCTTTCGAGTCACCTTTGGCATTTCTTTGCTCTTTGTCCTTGGAACTCTTTGAGGATTTTTTCCCGCCGCCTGATGAGTCTCTCTTCTGCGCCGATGCAGCCTGCATCGCTGTGATCTATATCGGCGCTAGCTGTGCAGAAAAATGCAAAAAGATAAAGGAACAAAGGTTGCCGTTAGCTTTAATAGTACAAATTAATCTACATAATGCCTAGACCATCTAAACTTCAGAATCGCCATCACATTTGTTTTTGCCTCTTGCTTTTGAACATTTTTTACTTAGGCATTAAATAAAGGTTTATGTTATTTAAGAACCGCAAAAATCTCTAATGCAACTACAGACTGTTCAAGCGTAGGAAGACAATCAATAAATGCTGTATGCAGAATGAATTTGCTCTACATGCATATGTTAGACAAATAGATCTAAGCCATAGTTATTCGTTTTCTACGATTACAGGATACCTTAATTACAGCATTGAAGTTCCTATGAAAAGGAACACCTTTCAACACTGCAGCAGCTCTTAGGTGTCTTACGCTGACTGAATGTAATAAATTGCCTGGCTTTTATTGTGAATAACTTTTAGAATCCGCGTATTCGCGCCACTGAATTGGAGTGTCGTGCGGATTCCCTGATACAACTGCAACGTGAAATATTTTCAGCAGAAATTTGAACTCAGAGTGCATCTATCTTTGACAGGCCGTCATTACGTGCGTCATATTCACGGAGATACCGAACGCTTTAAGTTGGTACAAAAAGTCCTTGATTACAAACTTTTTAGGATTTCTTTACTTACAACACAAGTAAATAAGAAAGCATAACCTTTAGCTTATTGCTATCAATGAAGTTGGCCTGTAACCATTAATAAAAGTGTTGAGTGGTATTTAGGAATTATTTAACTATTACAATTTATTTTGTCTTCAAGCTTTGTCAGTTGTCTATAGAAAGGAACATGTGTACAAGTGGTATTCAGAGGCATATCTTCTTTACAGTTACTTAAGTTTCTATTCAGTTTAAGCACAGAATATCAAGCGGAAGTAGTTTCACATGGCTACAAAAACCTTCAACAAAAAAAACTATTTCCTTTGCGACTGTCGAAAATAACAATAAATAGAAGTAAAAAATAATATCAGTAAATAAAAGTCCGTATTTTTTTTCTATAGAGCGCGCGAGCTAACCTTGCACAGTTCAAATGCCACGAAAAAATTACGTACATTTAACGAGGCATTATTATCAAATATTCAGTGGAAATTTCATGCCCGTTATGTACGTATTCATACTGTCAACCGCTTCCTGTACTTGGAAATAAGCTGACCATAGCTTTGAAGTATATTTCGCATCTCCGATCAATTAACGCCACTCCATAGGCTTAATTTTTGGCGGGCGTAACGATTTGTAAGAGGAAACATTTGCTCGAATGTTAGACAACCATTGACATTCACTGCAGTTGTCATCTTACACCATACATGATTCTGTTAAGTGCTCCCGTCTTGCCCTTCTGACTTCATAAACAAATCTTCAATGTACCTTTGTTGTCAAGCGATCCTACCAGACACAGCCTGTACTGAAAATACAAATGCTATCATAAGTATTCTACAGTAACGCAAAACACATCTGACAATTTATGCCTGGAATTGCATGAATACTTGGCAATTTGTTAGCAGCACGTTGTCGTGCATTAAAGAAAAACCTACCTGAAAAAAAGACCACTTTATGAAAAAACATAAGGTCTATCTCTTTATTTAACCTCTCTCCTTGTCTTTCTGATCTATATTCTTCGTACAATTGGCAAAACTCAGCAAACGAACTGTCCCTCATTTTTCTGTCACACTGAAACTGCACTCACTCTGGCGAAATTACCGAACGATTTCCTTGTTGCCGCTCATCAGCTACCTCACAGCGGAAACGACTTTATTCCTCTTGTTCGAAAAAGCAGGTCGGAAAAATACAACGAAATAGCACAAAACACTGCACATTCATGTCGGACGTTGAAGAATACCGATCCTTGGCAGGACGGAGTCCGCGCCAATTCTTCCCATTGTGCTCATTAGTGTTAACCTCGCAATCACCGTGTTGTCTCTAATGCCGACGAGAGCAAGAGATATTTATGGGTTAAATTATCATATATGGTACCTTATTTATCACGAAAACAAATGTGTACAGAAATATTTTAAAAATCCAAGGCAAAGCCGAAACGGCACATTTCGAAGACTCAGTTTACCGAAACTGTCCGCGTTCCGCAGATTACGGTCTGTCAATCGTCGGAGCTTGGCGCTAAATCGCGATCGCGTTGTTTAGCCGGTTGCCTGGCGTCAGCTAACAGCATTCGTAGTCGACATCTCGATGCAGCAGCAGGGTGACTGTCAACGTCTGGTTAGATCAATTATCAAGAAATCCGTTTGCCGACGATCAAAGATAGAAATCTATAAATTGATTAAATAGAATATCGAAATACCCCTTAATCAGCCAGATTCATCGAAGATGGTCGGTTATCAACGGGGAGGTTTCAACAACGATTTCCGTGATCGGGAACCATGGGGTGGTCGCGACGACCATCGAGGCGGTGATCAGGGGTAAGTCAAGCGACTCGAATCGTCTCTCAGGACACTGCTGTTTTGCAGTTGGCAGGTTGGTGCAGAATAGGTAGACAACACAGTCAACTCATCAGTGTCATCAATGCTGCTTAAACAATATGCCGGGTCAGGGAGACCAGTGTGTATGTATCTCTCCCTCAGCATACCTATGTGCAATGTAATATTGCGGTATATTCTACTTTGTTCTGTGATCTCTGCCCGCAAGGCGCGAGTGACCGAGTTTGTGCTGCCCGTCGCTTGTTGTGAGGGCAGTGCATTCAAGAGTGTCGACAATTGACCGACTCATCTGAGAGGCGCATGGGGTACATTATAATAAAAAATTGTTTGTCCGGAAGCATACGGCAAATGAGCTAATTGCTTGCTCTAGCTACATGTTACAGTGTAATAAGTACTGAGATTGTAAGGTTGTGATTCTGTCAGCGATTGGTGTTTTTGTCTTTCCGTCGAATTTTTGTCATTTGCAAGAATGGATCCTTATCGGTTAGTAAGATTCGTGACCCGTCTGCGGTTCTGTTCTTATAGTGAGACGGTATACATTTAAGTCGGTTGGCGTCTAGGCGGAGTTCCCTTAGTGTGGCCGAATGAAATGGTGATTAGTTTGTGTTTCGATGGAATCGTAATGGTATTCGTTTGTGTATTGTGTGCAGGTGAAGACCGTATTGAAACAATTTGACAAAACGTGATAGGTACAGAAATCGGCTAAGATGATTGGAATGGCTTGAGCAGCACTTCGAAAAAATCAAGACAGTGGAGCATATGTAAATGATAGTGAACAAAGTTGAACATTTGGAGTTACGCGAGTCGTCGGGATATATTGTACTAGTGCTCAATAATTTATTGGTCACGCCACAATGATCAACCGTCATAATCCTATTGTTTCGTTGAGAGGTCAGATTGATAGCCAGGTTTAATGTTTCGCACATCAGCTATATATATATGCCACTGGAGGCTTGTTAGTTTATGTCGCGTCAATGTGCATGCCAATTGTAATAATCAGTATATAGGTAGTTAAAAAGATCTTGGTGAAAGATACAGAAGTTTGGGGATTTCTTGAGGTCTTAGAGCAGTTAAGTATTTTAATATCAAATTATATCAAAATGAAATAATTTTTACGTTGAAACTTCTTTAAACCACATTTATTAGAATTTATCATTGATACAAGTTAAGAGGCAATAATCATTGCGAGAATGTGCGAAGAAGCAAAGTTTCTGTTACCTCCTCTGTGCATATTTCTTCATGATATAATATCAGACAAGCTTAAAACGAGTCAAGGTGAACCTGGAAGTCTTTTGCAGTATTTCCTCACACAATTGTTTAAAAAAAACGTGTTTCCTTACAAATGATCTGTTCTTTCTGTACTGATTCTCAGGATGGGAGGTGCCGGAGGAGGTGGCTATGGCGGATCTGTGTGGCAATCCTATGGGGACATGCTTCAGGGCGCTGGCGGCCCAGTAGGCCGTTCACAGGACTATCACAACGAACCTTTCGGCGGTCATAGAGACTCATTTGGTGGTCTCGATCAAGGTATTGGAGGTGGCAGCGGCGGATTTATGGGCGGTCGTGGTCAGGGCTCTGATCAAGGCGGCTTCATGGGCGGCGGAGGCGGTGGCCGACGAGGAGGTCTTCATGACACTAGTGGCGGTGGATACGGCCAAGAGAACTTAGGAGGCAGCGGTGGCTATCTCCGTCAACAGCAACAACCTGATCCCTACGATGGATACGGTAATGTTACTATACATATATACGCATGTACCACTAAGAAGCTCCAACGGAGAAAAATGACGAATTCCCTAGTAGCAACTTTTGTATATTCGGTTTTATGCATACATATCTGTAATATGTACGACGATAAGTTTGTATACATAAGTTTCGTAACGTCATATGTTGAACCTGAGTCGTCAATCTGAAAAACAACTCTGAGAATCACAGAACCTTTCAGATACCTGCAGATGTACGCTCGAAACATTTAAATTGTTAACCGCAATAGTCACCACGGCTTAATGTCTTAGAAAAATCTTTACTAGTCCAAGAGATCGAGATTCTCCACCATCATCACCATTAGTTCCATAAGATTGCATACGTTTACGGGAATGGCTCTGTCACGATTATTCTGCAATTCGTAGTCATTCTGAAAACAAGTAATTTTAACCTCTCACTTTTGATATCCATGTTAATGTGTGTGTGTGTCCGCCCTAACAGGTTCTCGAGGTGGCGATTCATTCGAGGCATACGACCGTTGTGGCCCTGTTGAAGCCGACTACCGAGGCAGTGGTCCTGGACTCCCGCGTGGTGGAGGAGTCGCCGGTGGAGGCGGAGTCGTTGGTGGAGGTTACGGAATGGACGATGACCGAGATCGAGGAATGTATGAGCAAGATTACAGAATGGGAGGTGGCGGTGGGGGTGGCGGTCTAGGCGGGGGTAACGCAGGAGGCCTGTACGAAGAGCGACCTGAGGTACGCTATCAAGTCAAAAAATTACATTGAAAAAAGGACAACAGATGGAATTACTATTTTTAAGTATGCTGGGTGTATATCATTATTGTCAGCTCAGTTGTTGTAGTTGTAATTGAGGCATATATCAACCATTTACATAAACTATGTAATGTTTATGCTGCCTAAATATTTCGATCTACTCCTAAACTATGTAAAGTTTGTGCTGCCTAAATATTTCGACCTACTATAGATATGGCTAGTAGAGCACTTTGTTTTCTTTGAACTATCTGCTTGACTGTTCCATTTTTACAACAGGATATTGCTAGTTTGTTATTTGATTTTACAGACCTCAACGATTTTTGACATCATTACCCTAACGATGGCAGACAGATATAAGGTTTGTTTGTTATATGCGAAACTTAACAGCGAGAGTTTTAGACAAGCGTAGCAATAACTATGTAAAATTTGGCGCCAATTCAGGCGCGACATTGGACATGACAAAGATTGTGAACGGTGAAGGACTACGATGTTGTGGCACAGTCCAGAGTCAGTGTGTTGATGTCAAAGCCATACTGATGAGCCGAATCAGGAGTCCCTTAATGAATATAGGATCGTATCGACTATTACTTGCGTATAAGTGTGGATGGATGTTCTTGTAACTGACTATTACTTGTCTGTAATCGTGGTATCGCTGTAACTAAGATACCAAGAGGTATGCAACCCCCTGGCTTCGACCAGTTTTGAGTCCAATCGACATATGCCGTTTAGTAACGTGTTCTGATCAAACCTCGCTTTTGATGACTGATATGCTAGCTGTCATATGGATTCCGAAGAAGAAGAAGAACATAGCTATTTGTATAGCCAACGAAAAACGGCCCAACAACGACTTTTTTACAACCGTATGCGGGCTGGACCAACCACTAACGATTCAGTGTTATTTGACGGATTTTTAGGATATCAGGTGATTAGAAAAAAAGGTCGTTGACATAAAGCAGATCACTATTGTGTTAAATAAACGATGAAAATATATGGATTCGCGAATATAAATCTGTCAAGAACCTACCGAAGAAACTCAAACATAAAACGACGGACATTTCGTTTAGCTCTTTTATCAATTCCTATAGCTCTTCTATCACATAGGTAAAAGATCGAATCGCGTCTGTTTGTGTACGTTGTATTATTTTACTTATTTTTTGAGTAGCTGAGCGTGCAAGAGCTTGGCTGAACCTATAGATACTTATTAATGGCTCCACGTTCTTTTAGATGGTGCCGGAAAGGCCAGCTCGTCGTCCAATGCGTCCCGGCGAGAAGCCTGACCCAATCAAGGATCAATTATACGAGATGCAGGGAAATACATACAATCTTCAATCTGCCAATGTCGAACCAAAAAAGTTTACAGCTAGATGTCGTCTCTTTATCGCGCCGTTACCAAACAGCGTTTCAGAAGATGATCTTAAGCAGTGGTATGTCTCTTTACCGTGGTTTTTATTTTGTTATAGTTAGTAATGTGTGTGTGTGCGCGTCTCTCTATCTATAATATCTTGAGATATGAAAATGTTTTTTTTTCATGTGGATGGAAATTGTACAGCAAAGTGTATAATATAGTAATAATAACTATAATAAAGTCTAGTAATGTACACAAATTTTACAAATATGCTTTACAAGTTGCTTTTTGTCCAACCAGATTAAAGCTTAACCAGAGCAAATGCTCCCGTCACTATAAAGACGTTAATAAACATTAACGAAAAAATAAATAATTAAAAAAATAAAATTATGAAAATAAAAATAAAAGTAATCAAAAATAATAAAAAATAAAAGTAACAAAAAAACAAGAACACTTCAATAGTACTTAAGAAGAAAGTACTAGTGAAATGCTCTTGTAAGAAATGATGAGCCATGGTAGACGAACAAGGAGAAACTACGCCGCTACCGCGAGTAACGAATTCGCTGGTATCTACATTGTTATATAGGTTTGGCCAGTATGGCGAAGTTGGAGAAGTGTTCCTGAACAAACAGAAGAATTTTGCCTTTGTCAAAATGGATACTCGTGAAAACTGTGAAGCAGCTAAAAATTCACTAGATTTTGCCAAAAAGGACGGAGTTACCATTCGAGTACGATATTCTTCAAATCCTGCTGCCGTTCGTGTGTCGAATCTTACAAACTTCGTGACTAACGAGCTGCTTGAATCGGCATTTGGAGTATTTGGGGAGATTGAAAGAGCAGTCGTAATCGCGGATGAACGAGGTCGGCCAACGGGCGAAGGGATCGTTGAGTTCGCCCAGAAGAGGTAAAGTTATTCATAAAGCCCTATAGTGTTGAACGATAACGCACATCGTCTATATGGCGTTGCACAGTACAACGAATAGTGGCTTCAACGTTCAACAACGTAAAGCTTGACAGCTTAGGTCTTCTAAACCTAACAATTCAAGAATATATTGACTATGTTTTTCAGTATTGTTTTCATATTCAGTAGGTTAAACGCTTTCGACTTTTTCAAAAAAAGTTTCTTCCTAGTTAATATTGTTTGTGAAACTGTTTCTTGTTAGTTTTATGTGCAACTCAAGCTTTGTATAAACAAGTACTAAATGCGTTCAGTGAAATTGTTCGATATGTGCATCTTGTTATAACAGGTCGGCACTGATGGCTATTCGCCGCTGTGAGGAGGAATGTTTTCTGCTGACTGCTTCTCCGCGACCCGTCGTTGTGGAGCCATACGATTTCCGAGATGAGGACGAAGGACTGCCCGAGCGAAATATCGCAAAGTCCAAAGCATACGCGGCCGAACGGGAGCTTAGACCTCGCACTGCTATGCCGGGATCATTCGAATTTGAATTTGGGGCCAAGTGGAAAAGTCTTTTTGAGATGGAGGCCCAACGCAAAGAAGAGTTAGAGTACGATACAAAGAGGTATGCGATGAGCGCAAAGACCTCGTTACTGAAGTCCACTCACTCACACTGTGTGCCCAATAGTGTTCAACTGTAGCTTTTGCAATAGTTTTCCTTTTTAGAAAGTACCAAATGCTTATGTTAACAACTGCTTCATAGTAAAGTTAACTCAACTTGCAACTTCGCTAGTAACGTTGTTTCAAGCTCGGTAATGAGGTACTAGTTTACCATTTATTGCAATGATAACGAAATCAATGATATTCTGTTCTGCCGTAAGATGTCGTCAAGCGTTAGATGAGCAGTTAGACTTCTATATGTACGAGCACGAAACGAAGCTTCTGCGGGAGAAACTTCGCGCTATGGAAGAGCAGAGTCAGCAGATTCAACGAGACCGCGAGATGCGACTTCGTGCTGAGGATGGAGAAAGGTACTGAAAGCTGACAACTTCAATTTTATATAATAAAGAAATTCCAACGACACTGGACTATACTTCAACGAGAATTTACGGGATGTATTTCAATACTTTCAATTTCAGTACAACCATTATTGTTATTAATAATTATTAGTTTTATTAAATCATTTTGCATGATCTTTATTCTTTTTCATTTCTTTTTTACTATTTTCAATTTCTACATCTACGGCTTGTTCGTATTATTTGCCTATAACTGTTTTACTAATCAGACACATTCATTCGGTTGCAACGTTTCATAACAACACTTGACAAATACACATATAGTATAAAGTTGATGTTATTCAGACATTTAAGGCACCAAGACTATATCTGACGTGTAATGAGTATAGCTGAAAATTGAGTGAGGCTGATGTACCTAAATGAATTACTTTTGTTTAGTACAGTATGGTTTCATAAGGTGCCGTGTTACAAAAGGAGGACAAAAAAGAAATCTATTGAAAAGGTTTCGTTTGCTTGTTCGTTACAGACGACGTCGTGAGGAAGAGGATTACCGGCGCCGTATGGAAGGTGGCGCTGGCGGTCTTCTTGATACCGCGCGAAGAAATGCCCTTGGCGCTGGACTGACGGGGTCCTTGGGCGGGCTTAGCGGTGCAGGTGGAGGGCAGCCTGGGAGAGGCGGCGGATGGAACACTGGTCCGCCGCAAGTGCCCCCACCATATCAGAGGTAGCGTTGAATTATTACTATATACATAATGCAATGATGCTTTAGGAGAAGCCTATTTATTGTTTTACCGACAAATCCTCACGAAATTGGATAAACTGAATCTAAATGGTATATAAGCATAAATGGTATGAGAGAATAAAGATACTGGCGTTTTTCTGACTGATAGTGAGTTCTTGTGAACCAAACTTTTATGTTTTTTGGTACGTAATCCTGTAGAATCGTAACCAACGTAATCGTAACCGAGGTAGGATATTTTGATAGATGCGCTTGTCACAATATTATATTGTCTATTGTATATTGATTTAAGTAAGTGTATTGATAGGCGAGTATTGACTTGTTTTTGATGAGTCCAAAACTAAACTGCACTCAAGCTGTCCACTTACATAACATTAATTGCTAGGGATCATCATTAAATACTTTTTTGTCCGTTTACTGCAGTTCAATGGGCGCGCACATGGGAGGCGGAGCGAGGTACTAAGATCTGCTGTCCGCTCCTTATTCTTGTCTTCCGAACCCTATTGAATCCTTTCTGACGAACTCGAAAGGACCGCAAACCGCTCCTAACTTCTTATAGGTTACGTAACAGAGCAAATTTATAATTATAATGATTCTAGGCCATATATATGTGTGTGTGTGTTAGCGTTAGATTACGATTGGTATAATTAGGACAAAACGCAGTAGTGTCAGACAAACACACTCATGAACACATCTCATTGTATCAACAATGCCCAGTTTCGCAACACTTTTATCGTTTCCACTCGTGCGACATAGTTTGGCTTGCGATAGATATAGTTGTTCTTTTTTATTTAATTTAAGAGCGACGATTGTAGCATCATGTGCACATATACATCCTCTATAACCATGACATTACCCTTCCGCATTTTTGTAAACATTTCGAACAATATTATAAACCGTAACCGATTTGCGGCGTCCTCCTCAGTTAGATAAATGCTTAAAAATCACTGAATAATCTTTTGTTAAGCGTCATTCGACAATACCACAAGTGTTACTACAAAATTTTGTACTATGGTGCAAATGATTGTCGCGTCAGTATTCAAGGACCTATAAAAAAAAAAGATGGCAAGTAACGCGATAGTGCAAAAGACAACGAGTGTCGAAGGTATGAAAGCCAATAAATCGTATGTCATTATATGTAAACAATAAACCAACTGAAAGAATTGTTTTTTCCACTGTATATATACATATATATATATATTAACATGAACTGGTGTCTTAACCTCTCACACCTTTGTTCAAAAAAAAGCGTTTGTGGTTATTGAAGCGGTGCAGGCTAGGCTAAGAGAGTAGCTATTTAATGGTATGTATTCAGTCACAATAGCTTATAAAATTACGATACTATACAAAACAGCAAATTTTATAGCATATTTCGTTGAAATGGAGCCATTACCAAAAATCATGTTGACCCACGCAGGTCCATTCAACAATTTGCTGTCACTATGGTTGCCCGCTTTTTTTTAATAAAACGTTGTATCCTTAACGAAGACAGACTTGAATCGAACAGACCAATAGAGTTCACCATGCATATACCAGTGGAAAGTCACCTGCTTCTATTTCACATTTTTTTTTTCTTAGAATCTCGGGTGTCAAGTCTTTGGGTGTCAAATTTTTTTAGATATCCAAACATCCATTAAAATCCCTAACATGTCAAATATAGACAACTCACATCTTCTTTAGAAGAATATTTTTGAATTTACACTTTTATTTCAGTTATAAACATGTCATTAATACTAAGGACCCCCCCCCCCCAAATGGTGCGTAGGTTGTTTTGTATTGATATGTAATATCAAAATTGATAGTCTGAATGATGAGTGCGAACACGACTATCACTATCGGTAAAGTCTCATAAAGGACACAAGGAAGTAATAGACATCACAAAATATATGCGTTTCTAAAACTTGGGAGAAGCTTTCATGAGCCACAAATGACGTCATAGCCTAAATTGTTTTTACATTGACAGCAGTTCTAAAATAATTTTTCAACCTACTTTACGCAGATACAAATCAATGATTTTCCTAAAATAATATAGAGACACAGTATAATCCCATTGGCCATCAGTTTATGGTGTTGCACGTATCTGTCTTAGTACCGTAATCAAAAATATTTAGCAATTATATCGTAACACATTTTGAGTTTTTCATGAATTTAGCGAAGAATTGACGACTCCGAATGGTCGAGTCATCCCACCATCTAAGTACACTTTGACGCGATTTCAAAGCGTATTCATCTTCATGACATAATGTAGTAATTAGCTCAGATTCAGCCTTGTTGGGCAGTAGCGTTTAGTAGACGTTAACAAAAGACAAATTGACAAGGTGTCTCATGGTAGGTCTTCCGTGCGGGCAATTCCAAGGGTGTTGTAATTCGCTTAGCTGGCCAACGACTCGTTTCATGTCTCTTCGGCTTAGTTCGTCGCCGACCATTACTGAACGTCTACACGCTTTCATTGCAAACATCGATCGGACCTTAGCGGGACGGCAGTTTATCAGGTTTGGATGTGAGTTGTCGTTAAGCATAAAGATTAGCTCGTCCACTTCGGCCATACCCATTTGCCACTGACCAGATTGAGGTACGGCGTTCAGTGCCAACCGATGGCCCCAAGGTGCTTCTTCATCGATAGTGATTCGAAATCCATTCTTTTCAAAGATAGCTATGTGTTCTATAACCGTCTGTTCATTCCCTGGCGCCAAGGATAGTTTCTGAGGAACAGCTAAAGGCTGACAATCAATCGAGGTGGTTGCTTGGAGCGTCTCGAAATTAAACTTCTCATCGGCGGCATGCTGGTCTACGATGAACAGATCATTACGAAGTCGGACGACAATGAAGCCTTTATTAAACTGGCCAATAATCTCCATTTTCTTAAACATGTCCTTAGATATTTCCCGAATAAGTTCGGATTCTGCAGAATTATTTTCTTTGGGATTGATGCGAGCTCTAAAGCGACAGTCACCTTTTACGGTCTGAGTGGGTGCTTCCCTGAGATCTTCCTGGCGAATAGCTGCCTGGAAATCTTGACGTAGCTCATCTATTGTCCAGCTAAGTTTGCATATGCCAACACGCCTTTTGGAAACGTCATCAACAAAAGTGTTGTCATTTCCATTAAAGTCATTTGCATGACCATCCTCGTTGCTTATTGTCGGGTCAGCCATAGCAGGTTTGTTATCACTAAGACTATTATCAATCCGCACCGGTGCTTGCTTCTCTGGTGGACTATCGTTTAAAATAGGCTCACTATCGCTTATAGAAGAATTGACCTCTGTGTGGCTTCCAATGCGCATTTCAATTATATTACGATGGGATGCTGAATTTTGGCTCTTGTCTACATGACGACTTTGCCTCGAAGTCACAGGCCTCTTCTCAGTAGAATCTATATCTGAATCAGATGTGCTGTTGGCGTCCGTATCCATAACATTACCTGCGATAAAAGGGGCCTGATCGTTTTTCGATAGATCTACTTGATCTCGCTCAGTCGACTTAATATACTGTACCTTACAGTTCTGCTGAACACCTTTCAAGAAAGCGTCAAGACGTCTTGCTCGTTCTTCAAGTATAAAATTCGGATCGGCTTCTTGTTCCTTTCCCAGTGACCTTGTGAACCCAAACGATGACAAAGGCCTACAGCCAGACTCACCTGTTGACCTCTTCGGCCGGCCTGATGCAGCGGAAAATTGCGCGTCTTGGCTCTTTCTCTTTGACGATAAATTTACGAATTCAAAACGGCCTTTAATGTTGATTTTAGCCGAGGACGATGCACAAGCAGCATCTCTTATGTTCCCGACGATGCCAGTCGATGTATCGCGTGTGCCTAAACTGTCTCTTTTCTCAAAACCACTAGAGACAAATCTTGACCGGAAGTCTTTGACTTCAACCTGGTGATTTCCCTTACCGTCGGTTCTAACATCGGAAATATCTTCGTCTCCATCAATCAAGCCTGTTATGATTGAGTTGTCTTGAATGCTCGTGTTTAGTGATTTAAAAGAACAATCGGGCGTGTTGTCAACAAAGCTAGAACGAAGCATCGATATCTGAGATGGGATTCCCTCAATCGAGTTGACCGAATACTGTGTGGCTTGCTTATCAAACATGGCTGCAAGGGACGCCTTGATCATTGCCAGCATCACATTTTCGCGGTGAAGAAGCAGAGTACGTTTATCTGGTGTTAGGTTTACATCGACCAGAGCTTGTGGGGTAAGAACGTTCAACATAATAAAGGGCTGTTGCGTAATGTTGTATTGGTGATACACCTGATTCACAAGTTTAGTTAGTTTAGCATGATCACAAGGTCGTGAATTGACAAAAAAAAACTGCCGATCAGCTGTTGAACGTCCCTTGCCGTGCATGCAACTTGATATAAACCCCTCAATACAAACTTCTTCAAAATACTCGATGCCTACTTTCGTAAGCCGAAATTCTTCAAGAATTTTGACATCAAGTGGCAATGACACTGGCTCATACTCGACCAACTTCGATGCTTCTTTGTATCCAAACACGTCCACTATATTGTCTTTATATGTTATATGTGCTCGTTTCTTGAGAACCTCATTTCTTCGGCCTTTATCATCAAAATTTACAACCGAAAGAGACACCCCCCGCGCAATAAGAGCATAGCCAGATATAAAATGCACCATTTTGGTGAATTCTTTTTTCAAAGCTGTCATGAACTGCTTATGACGCACTGGCAGTGATGAGAAAATGTTCTCAACACATATAGTTGAACCGGTTTCACGAGCGCACGGTTTGCTTTCTTCCAGAACACCCTCATTGTTATATCTTAATGAAGCACCCACTTCCTTGGAAGTATGCTTCGTTACTACTGAAACCTGTCCTAGAGCACACAGCGAGCTGAGAGCTTCCCCGCGAAACCCGAAAGTTGCAATGCTTTCGAGGTCAGAAAACTTCCGAAGCTTGGACGTGAAGTGCTTGAGGCACAGTGAATCGTAGTTTTCTGGTAATATACCTTCGCCATTATCTTGAACCTGTAATAGAGAAGTACAGTTTCCTTAAAATGCATTATAAAGTTAACCTAGTAAATGATGTGTTGCCTTAATCGAATATGTATATTGAAAAAGGTCGGTAAATTGTCAATAGATAAAAAGGTTAATTGGGAACGCGTAACATTTTGTTTGAAGCTGTGAATTACATACACGTGCAATCAGAACGCTTTTTCTTTATTATGTACTTCTAGTCTTTTGCTTCGTATCGAAATGCAACGAAATATGTCTTGAATTGTTTACAGGATCACAGGCAATTTCGATAAAGTTCAGTGGGAAAAAAGACCATGTTAAATTTTGCCTGGGCGCGTCGTAAGGCGCCATACAGTATGGCCATAGTTTTAAATGCCTTATAAGCGAACCTCGATTGATTTTGAACCAAACTCCCTGGTTCGAACGATAACTTCCTTGGCGCCCGCGTCAAGCGCGTTTTCAACCAACTCCTTTACTGCTACTGCTAAGCTGATGACCACCTAGAAGCCGAAGTCGAATAATAATATGGCTAAATTTAGCACACAGTGATCTTTTCGTACTATTAATTTAAATTTGTATCCATGCGAATACAAAACATAACAATACAGACCTAGCCAAAACGGACTTATTTAAACGGAATTATTGTTCCAGATCCTATCTATTTGAGCAGAAAAAGGGCATTGGATGGTACAGCACTGTATGACTCATATCGCTTCCGTTTTGCATCTATGCACGACAGCAAAAGGATTCGTGCCGTACTCGCAGATTTATTAAGGAGATCTTTATCAGAAGTGTCCGGGACAGAATAATGCAGAATAACAAACGTTCCTTATTTACCTGTCCTGAACAAATACGATGAACAGACCACGAGTCGAGCTTTGAAATGACAATCCCTGGCGGCTTCCTACCAGCTTCATTTTTTGTGCTTTTAGAGTTCTGTTCTTTTTTAGCCTCAGAGATCCCCACTCCTTTATCGTCGTCCATAATATTCTAATACTAAATTTTTTCCTCCTGAAATTACTTCTACTGCAAAAACATGTTATGAATATGCAGGTTTTAAATGAAAACATTCAACCAAGTGATATAGCCGTATTTATTGCTAAAGACCTAATACAATTTTTAGATTGTGCTGTTTATATTATTACCTATATTAAGCTCATATAAGATGCAATAGTAGCGAAAATATTATCTTATTATTATTAATAAATAACACTGGAATTTTAAATATCAGGTTTCAGCTTACACTTAGCACCATTGATATTTACATAACAACGCAGTCACATATATTATGGATTTAACGATTTCTCTCGTACATAACAGTTACCCAGCACAAAACGGATAACTATTTTAACCCTACAAATTAATTTGCTTCCCCTAAAATTAATAGCATGGAACGGGTGTGCTGTGCATGTAAGTATTATTTATATTTATAGACAACATAGTAAACAGCACAAGCATCGTGAAAGCAATCTTATGAAAACAAAATTCTACCGTTCAAGAATATTTGAAGTTGAACAGCTCCGTCCCAGGTTGCAGTTACAGACAATGTGCTTAGAAAGAGTTTTTTGGTGTAATCGATGACTCTTTAAACAGTGAATTTGCTTGCGTAGGTAACGTTGTGAGTCGGACGGTAGCTTAGTGAGTAACCAAAACGAAAAAAAAAAAAAAGCAATTTCAAATTCAAACGAATTTTTTATCTACTTCATCGAAAACACATATGCAGTTAATGGAAACGTCAATGATCAAAACGCTTGCTTGAAAGTCAAATTTGTTTGAATTTCGAACGGTAGAAGTCTGCACTAAGACGCTGCGAAATTCTCAACAATAGATTTAGCACTGTTGACGTAATTATAGTGTGACTTGTTAACAGTTCATCATAGCGGATACAGACGAACAGACGCTATTATAGCTGTAAAAAATAAACGAACTTTTATGTACCATACAATTAAATGTCATGATAGAGAACCGTTTCAGGTAACCTTCGAATTCGGAAAGCGAATAGGCGCGCCAAACACACCTCAACAGCTCACAACACAGTGATCGTGACGACAGTGATCTTTGCTTTTGATTTGTTCGTTATAAGCGGCAAGGATAAATCGCGCGCTGGGTAACACATGTCAACGGGTTATTATTAAGTTCGAGCTGTTGCAACGAGACAATCGTTGAAGCGTGAATGCATTCTCATTTTTTTTGTTTCGATTTTAAAGCTTTGCCTTTTAATTCAAATCTTCTCGTCAGTTCTAAGCGTTTCGTGAAAAAAATAACAATTTAGCTATATTGGGCTGCATCAGAAGTTTATACGAAGTAACATGTAGGGAAGTTCATTAGATACCTCGTTGTTAAGACAATCGAGATAGTTGCAATCATTGCACGCAATACGGTAAATAATTGAATATGCGTAAGTAATTCAGTCTATTTTTTTAAAGTGCGTTTTGTGAAAATTTTAGTATCAAAGTGCAGTGCGCAATGCTAACAATTCCGAAATTAAAGCCAGCAACTTTACGCATTTCATATATGCATGACTTGATAGTATTAAACCAACTTGTGTAAACAAGCGAAGGGCGAGTAACTTGAGCTACCCTAGAACCCAACGAAGGTTATGTGAATAAATGGCATAAGTTACAAATACTCTAATTTACTACGTTTTTTTTGTAAACATAACGGAAACTTTCAAAGTTACAAAATGAGCTCGAGTTGGGAAGAAATAAAGAATGAGTGAACTTACACACAAAATAAATACGTTATATAGGTAACCACAAGCAAATATCATGTTGGGTTTCGTAACGTGTCTAAACGTATTAGCTTTCCTACACGTTAAGAAGTTACAAAAACGGCTTCTTCTGCTTATTTTTTATCTTAATTTAGCAAGTATCCATATTATATAATTCAAAACTTGTACGGTGCAGTGTCTTTCACAAAAGTACTGATGTGGTCTCGTTAGTACATAGGACAGACGAGTTAGTATCGGGTAATAGTCCACCGAGATCATACTTCAGATATTGTTTTCTAAATTGATGAAAGGATTTTATTATACAATATACTCGAGTATCGACACTGTCGGGGGTACTCGCAATTCACTAACGCAAAACACTAAAAGATCTTATGGAAGTCAAGGGAAGTACATTATCCTTAAAGTGAAGACAGGTATTTCCATGTTAACGTATTAACATACCGAAGTTTCAAACGCTTAAAGTGGCCTAGGCCTAGAACGAGATGGAGATGTTTCATTTTCTACCGGAACGAGCCTGCCGCCAAAAATTACGTGCAATTATTATTGTTGTAGTTAGGCGAAGCATAAGGTCTAATCAGTCGATTAATCAATATTGTAGGCATGCACGCTAATTATAAATTAAATAGGTTTTAATTTTACAAAAGTTGTAAGGGGTAGAAAAAACGAAAAATTACGTGAAGATGCAATTTCTTGGTTAACTTTCCTTGAAAGAGTTTTTCCTAAATGTTAAAACAAAATTTACACACAAACCTTCGTTTATCCTTTATAGAAGGCCTAAGGATTAATAATAAACTTCCCAATTTCAAGCGAAAGTGTTCTCATGCTACTTGAGTTCGATAATACTAACAGTAATCACTTCGAGTTGCACTCATTGCACGATCCGAAAAATTGTAAGAAAAGAATGCATAATACAAATTTACGCTCAAGCGATATGAAATTTTTAGGAAATTTTTCCAGTTTTTGATATATGTTTAAAGATTGCGATATTTATTTAAAGTCTAGCCGAGGTTACATATTTAACGGGTAAACAAAGGCCAGATGTCAAAATAAAGGCTGTTTTGAAGAAACGTAACGAAGTATTTAGTAGAGGTAAATATATGTATTACTACCGCTTTTTGGTGAAACATTGTACAGGCTAATGAATGCATTTAAAGTAAGTTTTTTGGCGAGGCGGCAAACGCCAATATGAATGAATCCGTAATTCAAAATAGAACGAAGTGGATAATGCGTGAGTTGACTGGTAATGTATTTGCGATGCCATTCAAGTGGCATTCCTCTACATAAAGGCTTCACAAAGCCAGAAATGATCGAACCTTTTTAAAAAGTTTAAAAAAAAACATTTTAAAAATAGTTTTTGCCCTTTCCACGCCGTTTACGACAGCGGACAGCCGCATATAAAAAAATTGCATAAAATTTTGTGATAACACATTAATTAGATAAAATTGCAACAGCTTAATAAGTTGAGTTTATCAGAGGTAACTTTCAAATACTTTTTGAGCGTACTTATAATATTCTAATCACTATTTGTTAATATCTTACGTAATTCATGTGTTATCGCGCAACATGATGCGAATTTTTACCCACATTTGACTACTGGCAATCGCATAGCGTTTCCAACACAGCGGGCTGATTTTAAGGGCCTTAGGTGGAATCTTCTTGTTGGCCTCGTAAATAAGATGTAGCAACACCGTTTCTTGAAATGATCATTGGCGTTAGCCATCCACCATCCAGCCATGTTTATTTGATATCTGCTAACTTCATATTGAGAAATGTGAATGCTTCTCATCGGTGAGCTCTTTTACTGGTGGCATTTACTAATGATTAATCATCAACCCTATTTTTTTTAATGACTGCGAACACCTGGCATTCGTGCGGGTCCACTAACGTCCCTGTCCCTGACTGTCTAAATCTACACTCCCGCTTATAAAATACGGCGGAGTTCGCAGCTAGATTTCCGTGTTTACGCAATTAGGTAAAAATGGAACCACCCAATTTTCTATATCTGACTTTTTGGTATCTAAATTTTTGCAGGAGAGAAAGAGGCCAACTTATGTTCATTATTCAGAATATATCAGGTTCACTGTCGAGGCTGACGTGAAAGCAAGGTAATTTTTCTCAATCTTAAATAGACGTGATTTATTTATATAATCGAATAGGATATTACTAATGCGTAGCTTTGATTTAAGCAGCCCTGAACAATTCCATGCCTTTCCCCTTAGCTGTGTTTCGCATCTTGATCAAGAAAAACGCCGTATAAGTTGATTACAGTTATTGACTTCTTTACGTTATCATTAATGATATGCTCAATAGACGATACGCTCAACAGACTTTCGGATGAACTCAATGAACTTTCGGATCGGTGCATCTCTTTACCATGTTATTACTTCTATTACATTTGAATCCGTCTACTTCACAGTAGTTTTTTGCGTAATCTAAAGGGTGGTGATTATATGTGAATTACGAAAACCTTATGCACATCGACAATATTGTATGGGATTAGCCCAATTTTATTTTGTTCGACGACAAAAGCCTGAAGTTTCACGCATAGCTAGTGTAGTATGATTTATTCATGCTTTTAAGGCTGTTTGGTGTATTTTGGTACGCCAATCACACGATAGTTAAAATATTTCACCTCTGATTCCAAGACTAAATATGTGAATCCATTTGTAAGACCCGTAACCGCGTACTCCTACCCTGTATTCTGAAAACTAAAAGCTATACACTATGTGAAGAAAGGGGACGTCGTTAATTCGACTGCTCGATCCATATCGGTAAGTACCTTAGCTACTGCCACACGACTTAACGTGGACCAATAGTACCGATAGTTAGTGAAATCGCATTACCACGTCAAAGGCTGCGATGGAAGGATGCATTCATACGGAGAAACACGTAAATGTTTAGGCTACTTCCAAACACGACGAAGCTAATGCGTTGTGAAGTGTACTCATTCTGTGAAAAGCGCTGGTACAATCCCTTGTTGTCTCTGCTAAAGTTGTTTCGTTGCTATCAAAGGTCGACGTATTGGGCACGGACAAATAATAGAATCGTATTTAGTTCGGAGCATCGGCGAGCTGTTGGAGAGGCTAGGGCCATTCCGCTCTTCCGCTGACTAAAGCTTCTCCGTCCGATACAGTTTTAGTTAAAAATTGCTTTAGGCGGGTAACCCCTATTTACGAACGAAACGTATCTAAGCCGCCATCACGTGCCATGAAGTTTACCGAAATATTAATTGCTATGTTAAACATAGCTAGATAAGTGCTTTATCTGACGGACAGAATTTATAAGTGTAGATCGGATCCGAGGGATTTGGCTGATAGGGCGCCTGCTCTGAATTATGTGGCGCAATGCTTTATGTATTTATTTTTAGGTAAATGTTAAGTATACTATTTCCGTATTTCTCGGAAACTATCTGGCTGTACTAGTGTAGTAATCATAGTTTAAGTAAATCATATTCATTTGAATTCTACAATCTTGATTATGATGTGTGCCAAGCCGCCGCCGCCGCCGCCGCCGCTGTCGCTGCTACAGACGAAATATTCATCAACAAAAATCGGCAGAGAACGCCATTTTCCTATGGACCGGAAACAGGTAATTATTCGCACCGAAATATCTCACAGAAACATGTACTTCCGAAGTACGAAGCATACGATAGTATTGTCTTGTATCATAGACATATTATGCTTCGCAGGAATTTCTTGCACCGTCTTTTGGAAAGGCTTATAAAGACTGCGTTGGTGCTTGTTTGCTTGGAATAGTCCACATCGAGGACGTCATTGGTGCAGTAGCTAAAGATATAAAGAGTATCCTAACACTTCAGTTTCTCGCAGATCGCAAGAGCGGGGCCTGCTGTGTGATATCAGCTGACGTGTTCTGCATTAAAGCCGGCATTCTCTGTTGAACACCTATGAACAAGGTCAAGATCTCAAGGATGCAGACCACATAAAGATTGAATACTAATTTTGAACCGATATTTTTTGAGGAGATGCACTCATTTAAGTAAAGGTCTACGAAGGTTCTGCATATGTGCAAACCAGGCCAATTACGAGCGAACGATTTATAAGAGCAGAAACCTCATGGTGCGGATTCTGGGTACTACGTGTCTTCCAATTTTCTTTATCTGTTAGTGGTTCTTGTCACAGACGGATGTTTTCAAATAAGATTTTGTAGACAAAACTGGATTCGTGTATTGTTTGAATAGTACAATTTTTATAATATATATAATATAATTTTATACCGATTTATATAAAAATTTTCCCGAAGCGGAGGAATCCTGAGACAGTCACTTGAGCTAAGTAAAAACTTGAAGTTACCATATAATTTCAAGCTCTGCGATTCGTAATATAGCCTTGATATATTTTGAGTATTTGGTAAACTGTCATTTGTTTTAGTCTGAAACAAGTAACAGTTTAAATAAATAAAACATATCATTACATTTGAATATGCAAAAATGTGCCCAGCGGCAATATAACCTGATCGTATCATCTGGATAATAAACTGTCTGTCGCTAGCTTAGATATTAAGAGCATTCGTCACGCATTGATACTGAGGGCATTATTTGGGACATGGCGATAAGCTTTACGAACAGTTTTAAAACTTCTCTTGCGAAATAAATTGACTCAACACGACGATGATGATGATCTTTACGGTACAGTTATTTAAATACAAGCCATTTATAACTGCTGCCTACTGTCATCTTAAATAGAAGATTACCCTACCTTGGTCCTTTTGACCCACTCTAGTGAATGGTTTTGGTACAGAAGCATTTCCTTTTAACATTTTTCAACATATAATTGAGGATGAAATCATAATCCTCGAGACCGTTTCCGAAGATCCATATCCACCACTGCGAAAAAAATTTGTGGCAAATTTGACTGACGAAAAGGGATAGTCCGAGTCAGGTGTTCCCACTGTCACTCAACTAATACCCCACCAAATTCAAAACCTTTATAGCGGACGCTTATCGTATTTTATTTACATACAGTAGAGATGCACATAAAGTTTGCCCTTATAGGCATCGCTGTAAACACACCGTCCATTATGTAAGGTCGATAATGGATCAAACTTCCGCTTGGTACACTTCCTGAAAGCTGCGCCTATATCACGATTAAACGGTTCAGCCTAACTACGAAGTTTTATTGTAAGCATGAAAGCACAAGGTATCGCGTTTTTCATTGCGTAACGAATGTTTGGCGGTTGAACTCGACAATAACTTTCGGGATACGAATATCGTATATCAAAATGATTAATCTATAAAATATAGCCATCATAACCGAATAATAATTGATACAGTCTTATATTTTAATATCGGGCTAATGTATATTTTATAATATATTATATATAAAATAATATATTTTAATATATACATATTAAAAAATTTAATATGCTGTAGTTGTATACACCATTGTTGACCTTTAAAGTATTTTATTATTTTGTTTCGTAAGAGACTTCGTAAGTTCCGCATAAAAATCATAACTCGTATCAACCGTTTGTATTTCGTTTTAAACACATACTCAATACCGGCTGTAGCTCTTTTGACCGTCAAATAAAGTTGGTCCGCTTCGCGCGGAGGTTGTGTTCTGCTGTTGTAGCTATAGCTGTTGTACTGCGAACCTCTCCCGTTGCTGGGGAAGCATAAATAATATAAACAATTATTTATAAAGCTTCTGAAGTTTTATAAATAATGCAATAATAGTATTGTAAAAAAATATTTAACTCTTCATATTAGGCAGATGGTGTAAACTTCCCATTAGCAGGTACAGCATCCAGTTTTAGAGAGAATTAACTAGAAACTTTCACATGAAATGTTACAACGACTAGCTGGTCCTAATTTCCGGCAAGGCCGCTGCGTTTACGCACAATGCATTGTCTCTTGTAGTTATCACCATTAGTTAGCGAAAACTGCCTATAGTCAACCAGTAGACGAGTATACCGCTATTGGGTCAACAGGCAAGTCCGCCCCCATTTTGACAAACCAGGCCATCCCGCCAATTTTTTTCTTACTGTCGAATACCATAATCTCGACGCAGAGATTATGATAAATAGCGATCCACAATGCTGTTTGTCGATTGTGCGGGCAAGTAAAACGAATGCCTCACATACGTCTGCATTGCATGCCCAATATCCAAGCAGACCATTTGTTCATATGGCTGTCTTCGCCTTTGAATGGGTTAACCTAGGACATAAGTTGGTAAAAATAGGTGCTGATTCAGAGAGCATTTTTCTTTTTTATGGCATATCGGCTAATTTTGGCGCTAGCAGGGCGGTTATTTATTGAGGGTCCTGACCTGCTGGCCAATTGGCGAAAGAAACTTCATCACAGAGTAAAAACACACTGTACGATTATGCTTCGCGAATTTAGAGCCCTTACCGCAAAAAGTGACATAAACATCAAATGCTCGATAATCGGTCATTTGATGCTCGTCCTTATCAAATACGCTCAGTTTTGTTTTGGCAGCGTCGACCTTGTTGAAGGCTGGTTAAAACTTGTCTTTTTTCAACTTTTCTACTGATTAAGTAAATTTATTTTGAGCCGGGCAATTCACGTTAGTTCAGAACTAGCATACCCGTGAAATCACAATTTTATGTGTAATAATACGTAAGGTGTAAGCCTTTAATTTATATTATTATATATCGATTTTCGGTACCCGAATGAGAACGTGCCATTTACGTCTTCAGCTTTTACTATCATTATTTAGCTTTAGCTGGCTTTGCTGTAAACAATATAAAAACGGCTTCTTAACTCTGAATGCTCGAAAGCTTATACCTTTTCTAATATTAGCTGTTTGAGATGTTTTCTGAAAGTTAATGAAGATTGATGTTTGTTACAATCTTTCATTCGAACCAGACTCAGTTTCTTCAGCAATTATCTTCTCGGTTTATCCATTTTTTGTAAAGCTATGGTGGAATTCTGCACGATTTTGCACATTCTTTAGTTACAGTCAACTTCGATTGGTGAGAATAAGCTAATCAAGGTTAAGCCTCACTTCTCTATAAAGAAAAAAGGTGTCTGCAGCGACCATTATCAAATTGAGGTTACGAGGCGAAGTTTACATGAAATAATTAACAACTCAAAGATACGACCAGTTTTACTTTTGCTTGATGTTACGTTCACGGCTTCACTGAAAATTGTACCAGATTTTAAAGTTTTTTCTTGCATATATAAAAAAAAATACGGGTTTTTAACTAATAGAACGTATTCCAGGAAAACTTTATGTTCAGTAAGCTTTTTTGTCCGTGTTAACAAAGACGCCCTTTATGGATAGTGGTTAGTTATGATTGACATTCGTTTCTCGAGCCAAATCGTTCAAGGGCCTTTGTAGAAAATATTCATCCGTGTTTTTTGCACGCCTTCTCAGTAGATACAGACAGTCAGAATAACCTTTGTACTTAATCACGTTCAGTAAATAGAAATCTGGCGAATTCAAACGTACATTACTGCTAGGTGGCCTTAGATCTTTATTTTTGGTCATGAAATACAAGCTAAGAAATAAATTAAAGAATACAGCATTATTAAGAGCAGAGCAGTGTAACTGGTAATATCGGTAACAGCCAACCCACTTCTTGATCGTAGTGGAACCAGCTCGTTCATAGAAATTCTATTAATACGATATTAGCGAAAATCGATAAAGCACTAATACCTGTCTATCAGGGCCGCATCGGACCTTATGTGGACGACGGCCCAATTTTATCGGGTTGATTGCAGTCAAATTTACAAAAGGGAGAGGTAGTAGCAGTGATTAAAACGACCACTTCGTACTCACTAATAAGTCAATTTTACATTACGCTAGTGTGAAGCTATTCGGATTGCATTGGAGTTCTATAGGTTCGTATGAAGTAAGGCCTGTAATTTTCACCTGCAAAGCAATTATCACATTATTACAGGTATCTGTATGCATGAGTGGTAAGGAATTAGCGAGAGTAGAGGGCGCTTCATTTCTGAAAAGAATCGTACAGAGTATCCGAACGGTTATCTTTCGATAGCAAATTGCAGGATGTTGATATGAGCGATAAAACTGCAACAAGAAGAGGCACTTCTCACGCCAAAGCAAGGCCTGATTTATATTATGGGTTCAGACTAATATATTAATTACCTGGAGAAATGTGCTAACCATCATTCGAGTGCATTTTATTTCATTTTCAAAATGCAAACGTATTTCTGGAGACGTACGCTAAGCAAACATAGATTGTTGTGACAACAGTACATAAGAATGGTCTGATATAGGGTTACAGCACGCCACAAAGTTATAATATGGCAAAAAGAATTTCTCCTGCAATCACAACTCTTAAAACGGAAATATTGTTTTCACAATAAAACAATACTTAAACTGCTGTACTTCCTTAACTTACCGACAAAGTTTTTTGAATACCGATTTTTTGGAATAGTTTTTAAATTTAAAAACGATAATTAGGATAACGTTGTTTTTTTTTCGAGTTTAAACAGACAGCGCTCAACTGATTGAAACGGAATCAAATAATTGAAGCCCGGAAGGCCATACTGAAGCAGGATATTGGCTAAAAAGCGTGGCATTATTTCACTTGAAACTGATACGTTACGTGTCGATAATATATTGGCAATAATTTTTAAACTGCTAGCAAACAATGTGACATAGTTCGTGGCACCGCCTCTTGCACCGATGGCTGCCACCACTCTTAATCGAGACGGAACTTGTTGCTACATATTAGAGACTTAGCAGTCACGGAGACCATTTGTTTTTTCCTGTCCTTCTTGTGCCCGTCATTTGTCGACTTCCCAGGTGTTCTCCGCAGTATTGAAATCTTAGCAGGCCAGCAGCTATCCATAGTACATGAAATTCATTGTCAGTGGGTAGCCTGGACATATTCTCTCCGAGCTCCGTGACAAGGCGGACCATCGTGCAAGAAAGCGCGTAACCTCCGTACCTGAAACAGTATGTCGCTCTTAATAATTCAGCATGGTACAGCTGCTTTAGTATTCCCTGTGCAAAACGTATTACCGTAGTGCCTCTGCCAGAAATCATCAGTTTTTGGTGGTTGCTTTGAGTTTCGCCACAACACAATAGGGTAAGTAGATAAAGCCACTTCCATAAACCACACCTCGTGAAATACTTTGCTTTCATGTTACGCGACTGGCATTGAGGATTGAAACTGTTTTATGTCGACCTGATTAAACACCTAATTGTCCACACTGACTTTTTTCAATCTCTGAGCCCCTGAAGAATCAACGTAATACGTTAGAACGCGCCATTAATATGCTTATTTCCAGGACAAAAAAAGCACAGCCTATATTATAAAGTATTCTGGGCCGAGCAGCTTTAACAAGCTTCCTCGTTTTTGAGTTAAACAATAATAAGGTTCAATAATATATATAATCAATAAAATATATAATAAGCTGTGAAATGTTCACTGTTTACCATAGCTAATAAAGCGATGACGTTAATTTTCCAGCGATGCTTGTTTGGTCACGATTTCGGAAATGTAAGGGCCGATATCGACTAAAAATGTTTTCTCTGAATATTCTCTATTTAGCAGGTTTTAAATGAAAAGGTCGCTAAAGAACATTATGTAGGTATTTTTTAACCGCAAAAAAAATTGTATTTTTCGGGACATTGAAAAATAATCAGATTTCAATGTGAAAATATACTCTTAGCTTAGTGGGGACATATCTTTATATACGCGATAAGGCAGATGTCGGCCATACCGCTTGCTAAAAATGTGTAGTCTAACTAACTACCATAACCCTCACTTGTTTCGTTGAAGTTCGCGTCGATTGATTGCGCACTAGCTGAACACTGTTGTTGCGTAGGTCTCTCAGAGAGACAAATAGAATAAAGGCTCTACGCAAACCCGTTTTATAATCAAATCGTTGCAGTGAATCGTATTAGCATGGTTGTGAACTTTTGCCGGTCATACCTGCGGTAGCAGTAAATCTTTGAGTTTGACGCTTTAAGCAAAAATCGCTATTGCAACAAGCAAAGATTTCTTTAGATGTACTCAAAGTTCGGACGAACAGTAATCTAAAAGCATCAGCTTTACTAAGGTTTTAACCATACATCGGTTGAGCTGCGAAACGAACAACAAGATAGCTTTAGTCAATTAAAAGACTGTCAAAAGATAAAAAAAACAGCTCTGGATTAAGGTAATCACACATCATCCTAATAACTTAAGTGGTATAAGGGTGCATAGTATCACTCGCTTGTCACTTGGCATACAAAAATACATTGTATGAGCCCAAAAGTTCTTTCTAAGTACAGGTTATAGTAAGTTCGAGGTAAATGTGGACTCACCAGGCAGCTGCGGGCTACGGCTGTCACAGCTTCCGCAACAAATAGAAATATTTAGAGCACAGTATATGGCCATCAGTTTTTCCGTTATTGAAAAATTTTAGTCCCCTTTGATTGCACGTCAGACTTAATTTTATATCGAGATTTAATATTCTTTTTTCTCGTATGTACTTCTCTATGCTAAATGCCGAAATACCCGATACGAGGACATCAGGGCAATATTATAGTAACATTATAGGACGCTAGATCCAGAAGTGTTTTGCAGCTCAGAGACATGCCTTCTTTGGCGCAGCTTTCCTAATTAATTTAGGCGCTTTATGATGAGTTAGGCGCAACTTTATAATATGAACACTGCTATGAAGATATCAGTCGTCAGCTACATTAACTAGTCCTTTACTTAACTACGATCAAATTGAACTCCTTGAGGCGGGCGTTTCGAAAATATGTTCTTAAACTCGTGATATAGTTTAACCTTATTGCTCTCGGCCGCGCAGGATACTCTGTGCATACGTTATCAAACTTAGGCAACTTCACAATAAATTGGCGTGGTGCTGAAAAAAATTCCGTTCTCAATAATAATAATGTTCTGCAAGTACGAATAATGGTTAAAAATTAGAAACAACTTGGTGCATCTGCATATTTGTTAAGTTGTTATCTTACAAAAATCATACAAACAACGTTGTATATATATATATACCATTTATGGTCTAAGCAAACAATGATAAAAACCTATGCGATATAGAAAATTTACTGTGGCCGTGTTTGAGGTCCCCTGCCATACCTCATACATTAGAAGCAATGCTACCGTCAATCGAAAAGTTTGTTTGTTTCATCTATGTTAGAATACGAAAAATCTCTTAAACATGACCTAGTCAACGCTATGTCTTCGAAACGCGAGTCATCTATCATTTGCAAACATCTATTAAATTATCCGTTATCCACGTGACTACTCTTTCGTACGTATACGAACGGATCAGCTATGGTTTGTTCTTGAAGACGAGGGTCCTTCTCGATGTTGAATAATCAGTATTTTGTTCTTTTTCGGTTCGATTGATTTGTTAGGTACAGTAAACATTAGTCTTTTTTTATCTATTCGATTTTTTCACCTTTGTTCAAAAGCTAAATAGTTCAGAGTTTGGAAGACATGACACGAGTCTTCGTAGCAACGTCTCTGGTTTTATTTCAACTGTAGACGCTCAGGACTTCCAGCAATAAAATTACCTCTATTGTTGCATCGATGCTCCGTTAACTTTGCCCCGTAATTCAACCAATCCTCGATTTAAAGTGCAGTACCCAATAAAGTAGCTAATAAATTTAGAGGCGAATGTTAACAATCAATCAACACCCGAGCGTTTGTATATTTCAATGGTTGGCCATTTTGTTTGCGATAAATACACTTGACAACCGGTAATATGACGCATGTATTAAGCGTTTCTTTAGAATCTCGCAAATAAGAGAACGAAGCTCTTGCTTCCATATTCTCTGTATGTTTAGATGAACTCGTACGCAGCGCTAAATAAAGAAGAAGCCATTGACGGGTAGAACTGAAGAGAGCAAACAGCTATGGTAAACGAGGTGATGACTCCTGATAGATCAGAGCTCAGTATTCCATTGTACGTGCCAACGTGTATTCAATCCATTGTGTGTAGTGTTTTTATTACAAAGGGGTACGTAAAATTGATTGAGGATACAAATTGAAGGATTACAGTGAAAACAAAATACGTGTTGCTGAAGAAAAGCATTGAATTTTCGTGACCACGAAAACTCTACAGGTTCCTTCCGTGGGATAATTGTATCATTTACATAGTACAGTAAAGCGGCTCATTTTTTGTGAAGTGAAACCGAGTGAATTACCTAAATGCTGAAGTTGTCGTCATCAAGGTATAAAGACTCGACGTCGACGGCGTATCAGAGGGACTACTCCTCGACGTACGTTGACTTCAAGGATTTCTCCGGTGAAATAGATATCGTACAAGTTAAACACGACCCACTGTACGCCACGATAAAAAAGAAAACAGGTTTGCTTTTTGTCTAGTTGACAGAAAGTAGAATTTACACTGTAACACGTATATGTACTACCATAGAAAATGGCAGCTCTTTAGTATTTATTTATATAACTATATATTTATAAATATAGAGGTATTTATTTATCTTATTGATTGTTAAATAATCTTCAGTTTGCTTCGCCCTAATATAATTCTTCTCTTCAAGCCTACACTTCGGTTTAAGCAGTCTTACAAGTTCATTATCCAGACGTCTAGAAAACTATGGTCAATTGTATAAACAAATTTCGCCTTTGCCTTAAAACGAATGCCTTAAAATAACTCAGGTTTAGCAGACGCCGTCTATGAAAACCGATTTGTTATTAAGATGATACGCTTACTGAGTTTGCTTCGTCAAACATTTAAAATTTTTCTTTATTTATTCTATAGTTCGATTTGTTTTTAAAGAGACTGCGTTTTCGAAAAACAGTTACCAGGGTGTTCCGCGTATCCTTGCGCCGTTCGTGATGAACGAACTAAAGCACAAACCTCGTATCATTCAAAAACACGAGCTGATGTACTGTGACGACGCCGCATTACATTCTGAAAATGGTTCAACCTATTCTCCATGGTCAGACGTTGTGAGGTCAAGAGGAATAATGAATCTACCCATCACAAGTATATAAATGCATAATAAACGTACGTGCTCGATTTTGACCGTATCGGTAGGGGCCTGTGTTTCCTTCGTTCATAGGGTCGCATTTATCCATACACGTATAGACAATAATATCCAAATCGCGCATAGCGAGCAAAATAGCGTGCTAGCTCTCGTAGAATACAATCTTACTATCGTAATGCTGCTCAACCTCTGGAAATGCATTAGGATAATTCAAACCTAAAGGAAGGGTTGGGTCCAAAAAAAACTTGGTTGCAACATTAAAGACTGAGAAGACCACTGAACCATCAGACATCAGTGATGACCGTTCGTCGATGGTTACTACATTAGGGTTCGCAGGTGGTTGACGCTACTGAACAGATTGTTACGCATAAAAGTAGCGCGACCCCTTCCCCCTCGAAAAAGTATTCGTAGAACTGTGGTTTTCGTTTAGTATCAATTGGTCCTCAAGGAAAATAGTTTCTATCCGACAGCATTTAATTATTCTAGATTCTTTATAAGTAACTGATTTTTTTTTATATATAAATAACGTTTTGATTGATTGTTCCTTGAAACGATTTCTCTTAAAATGAGTGCAGGCTTAAATTTTCACTACAAGTTGATCTTAAGTTTCGATAAAAAATTGCACAAGACGTATTTTGTGCGTGCAAAAGAGCAATATTACGTAATACTAACAGAATTTTTTATTGCTGTCAATGTCTGTCCGTTTTCCTTCGTGCAGGGCCGATTGATGAGGACACCAGTGGCGACGTGGTAGCCTCAAAGTTAACATGAAAAAATCTACCTGTTCACAGGACGGTCAAAAACACAGGTTCACAAACAAATGACAGTTTTTTCAATCCAACACAATCCGTTAGGCTGCAGCACGCCGCCGACGACGAGGTAGTCGCGTTATGTAAATGCAAGAAAGCAGAAAAGTTGAATTTAATATGCTTGTGCGTTTCCAGTGAGTATGACACTGCTAATAATTACGTCTAATATATACAAGTACACGTGTCGCGCATACGTTTATAAGATTTTGACTAGAAACGAGTAAATACGTTTTTTAACGTGCACCTTAAGCACTGGTCTAACGGATCTTCAAAATCGTCAGCGACAGCTCATATTAATAATCGTCAAAAAGCATTTTGATCTGCGACTACTGGAATGTGCAGGAAAAACAATTCCTAAGATTACATATGAGAAAAAAACAGTTGTTGCTCTAAAAAGAGTGATTTCAGATATGTAAGTTAAGCCACCGAGATCTGCTAAGTGATTTGGAAATTATTAAACGCTCAGGGTCCACGTAATAAATAAACTAAATTCATGTTTGTTGGTAAGGGCAAGAAGTCTATTCTTGAAACATGAACTAATAAATGTAAGCTGACTTAACTCCAAGTCTAAGTTCCCTTAAACAGCCTATCTAATGCGCTTTTTAATAGACAAATCTTTAATTACTGATATAATGACTCATTGAATAAGTAATTTTGTATGAAGAGTGATCATCTTAGAGTTTCATTTCCTTTATCGGAGCCTCATATATCATTAGATTCATATTAATAGGGAATGGGATAAAACAAGGTCTACGACTGAAGCAGATGTTCAAATCTAAATGTCAACAGTTATTCTAAAAAGCACGCGAAGTATATTTTTAGTATTATTATTAATTGTTGTTTTATCGGTATTACTGATTATTGAGAAATAATTTCTATTGAGTGTATTTATGCTGTGACGGCTACGGCCTCGTACCAGAGTTTTTCAACGTCAATTCTCCAAGTGGGGACTTTCACAATTTGTTCACTGTTGTAGTTGACTCTCAATGTTCGTGCGTTCATTGACGTGTAGTTCCTTAGCGATCTTGAGAGAGAGAGAGAGAGAGAGAGAGATCTAGTTGACGATTATCGGCCATAGTCTTCATTTCATCGATGGGTCTGTACCGCAATCAATAGCTTGGTCCTTCACGGCACTTCCAGGTAAAGATTACATTGAAATCATGAAATTGCACATACGTAACTGAGTGTCGTATATCTGAATCACCTGTCAAGCAGTCACAAATTGGGAAACGCTTGTAGGTTACAGCATAGTTAGTCAGATCAGACCATCTGTTGAGAGAAGAACAAACTGTCGTGCAGCATATAGACAAGACAGCGTCCCAAAACTTTGCAGACACGCTTAGTCGGTCATGCCTTTGTCGGGCTTCTTATAGAGACAAGGCTACTAATACTGTGACTCCTGCTATGACCATATGTAAAAACCGTGTCTATTATCTATGTTTGAGGAAATAAATGAAAGTATGTATAAGGCATACTAACGGGCTCGTAAGAGCCCAGTTGATTTGGTACGGACTTTTTACAGGCGGGTCGTGTACAAGCATTTATGAGATAGTAAATCCGTATAAGTAACAAATAGGTTTAATGACTCACTTGAAAATTGAAGACGAAGACACAGCGCTAACATGTTCCTACATGGCGAACTTTAGCCATGAAAAACAATAGAAATTGATAAGAGATAATCGAACAGGCTGATAAAACCAGCAGGGGTTTAGGAGAAAGCTCAAATTAGGATTTACGCCCATTGCTGCCATCAGCTACTAGTGAAAGGTAGTTGCAAATTTCAAGGTATGCATTTTTATTATTGCAGAAGTATATACCGAAAGAAGACGCACGCTAGTGAGACAGTGGCGGAACCACTACGCCTATGACTATTTTGATAATCGGATAGAGACAGTTGTTATAAAGTACTATACTTTGCCGGGTTGTTCTATCATTATTATTACCATCACTACTATTATTCAATAAATATCAGGAAGCGGTATGAATAAGATAGGTTGTAAGTCAGCGATGAACTGTCAAAGATTGCCCAATGCAACGGTTGGAAAAAGGGCAGTCTTGTAGTGTGTATATGCTTGATACCCCATAGATTTCTACACAATACATACATGTTTATGTTGTCTGTATTTGATTAGTTTCAATTTGTCGTATTGGCCATACGTACGAAGTTTGTTTTTCTTTTCACAGTTGTTAATTAATTAGTTAATTATTGAAAAGTTAAAACATGGATTTAACGTGTGTTACTCGCGGTGGCCAACGCCATTGCCATGTTCCTTTTAGGCGTGCTGCTGATTATTATGAGTGTTGCGACAACGATGCTGATTAGTCAGTTTCCAAAGTACGCTTTCCAGTTGTCCTTAATCTGCACTTATGGACTCATCGTCACGACCTACTGTACCTTTTTAACGGTTTTAATCTTCCAATTCTGCCTAAGAGACGTATGTATCTACGGCCTTATCTCTATATGTCCGCTTGTCAAGCGTCTCTCGGCGTCATTAACATACTCAATATGCTTTTTAACTGTTGGGAACACCAACCTCTTTCCTAGCAACAATAGCACACATAAGTATGAATGATTCGTGTCCTATCTTTATTGGTCTTGTAATCGCATCGTTCGTTTCACTGATTCTACGTGGTCTTTAATTCAATCGCTTCGCCCGTTCCCATGGGTTATGTTTCTCTATACGCTTCTCGGCTATATGTGCCTCCTTTTGCTTCGTCCTTCGTCTATTGATCGATCCTGTATCACTCAGTTACTTCTACTGCGGTCTCCATTGACCCGTATGTTTGATTGTTTGTTTGTGTAATTAAATAATATTGACAACTTGGCTTACTTTCTGCTCACAAACACTGACTTAAGAGCAATATGTAGGTACGCACTTTCGATTTAAGCTTGGGCCACTCGGTTCGCAGATGAACAAGGATGCGCCGAAGTCTTCCCGCGGGAGCACAAATCGCGGTGCCACTACGCCGATCTTGGTGGATGCCTACCCCTGCGACGGAGTCGAGGGAGTAACGTCAACAACGGCACACAGTTCAAACAACAACGTACAAACAGCAGCAAAGCTTTAGCCTTCGCAAATGAACTCTTCAGCAAGCAACAATCAAGATATAAGTGTCCAAAATGGATATATGGAAATATACGGCTATGTTTAATAATTAATAAACATTGCCACATTGAATAGAAAGCGTGTAAACACTTTCTTTTATACGTAGATATAGAGCGAATAAATTATATATGTATATATAATCTAGAATATATCTTGTATTTACGGAAGTGATTAGAGTTTAATATTTTACTAGACGTTCAACACTCGGCCGCACACTCTGCATATCTATCCAACAGGCGTTCTCAGCTAATTTTTAAGAGTGATTTTTGTACACCCAGAGCGGCTCTACTTACCGGCTGCTAAGACGACACCCATTAGCGCGTACCTTCAACCAGTGCGATCCAATTGCGAACTCCGTTCGGATGGGAGCAAAACAGACGGGCTTTAAGCCTCGCGGGTGTGAACATCATGTTACCATTTGCCCATATGCCGGAGACAACTTAGAAACGCTTGGATACGCTCTGTACAGTTTTTCATTTGCCCGGAACGCCACCACATGATCGCAACTTTAGTCTGTACTAGCATGATTTGCACCAGCGTCGTACCACCTTCTTTTAATACAGAAGCCCTTTGGTGAGTGCGAACCCCGGGACATCTTGTCCTGGACAAAGTTCAACGGCGGTCTTATATTGCGCAACTAGCATAGAGCTGGGCCTAATAGAAATACGTAGACAATTCTAAGCAGGCACCTATGCGTCTGACCTTCGTTGCTGCCTCCAGCTTCGTAATCCATTACCCAAGCCTCGAGTAACGAAAAAATAATAGATTTGGCGGCAACGAAACTCCCGCGACTTCCCAAACTCTTCGCTACAGCCCTTAGCCTCACAGTATGGCCGACCTTTTCCTTTATTCTTTTAAGTAGTCCCTTTGCTTAGACGATTCGCCTTGCCTCTCCCGCCACCAATCGTGTCGACCACGTACTGGTACCGGCAAAAATACCATTTATCCGCTTTAGACCTTGTTTTTTTATAGTAGCAATAGCAACGGGAATACTCAGCATCAAATATATTATTGCTACGCGAGGTAACGTACACACATATATTTATATCATATTAAATGTATTTTCGTCGAGCTAATATGGTTTACCCTAATTTTTTTTAACATTTCTTATTTGCATGTGCCGAACGTTGCCGCTTTACGGTTGGTCGCGCGACCTTCAAAATATAGTCTGATAACGGACGGCATACGCAAATTGGGTAACCAACAGGTCGACCGATGACGGGTCTACTTCCTTCCCATGGGCTAGGTCGAAAGCAAGGTTGCTGTTTCCGTCGTGCCGCCAGCAGCTGTGCTACATCTGAAAAAAAATATTAACGGAACAATTTTTCATAACGAGAGTAGGACAACTCTGCAAATCAGCAGCGCCGTTACAGAAATAAAGAAAGTAAGGAATAACCGGTGCGATATTCAGCTTTAACGTCGAATCTTTAATACAACTACCAATAGGGTTACCAGAAAAAGGCAAGGATCAGTGCAAGAAAGTCAAGGAAAAACAGGCAGCTGGGGTGCCGGTGAAGGCCAAGTCTTTGTTTTCCACTCCACAGCTCAACACCCGCACAATAACTGGTTATAGTAAACGAAGGAATTAGCTACAGGGCTAAAACTTTTCCTTAAAGTTCAAATTTCTTTAATGCCTTAGCGCATCTTCACCAAAAAATGTTAGCAAATAAATTGTAATGATCGAATGTATATATCGAGTTAAATTTTGTCATTAGTACCTCATACGGAAGACAGTCTAACAAAGTCGGAGTATAAATATTGCCAAACATTTATTTCAGCCTTCTCCTGTAAAGTCACGAAAGCCAGACTGTGGTTGAATCAGTAACTACAATTAACTAAATAAATACCCTTGTCCATGAAATGTAGCTATTAGAAAAAAATTGAAACAAATGAGACACAAGAAGGCACTTATTGGTACAGTAAATTACGGTAATGGTAAATTATTAATAATTTATTAGGATTTTATGATGAATTCACACCAAGCATCAAACAGGGTGTTTATTAATGAAGTTGTTACTACGAAAACCGAGCTCACTTAGTTAAATGCCATCGTTGTATGCCATCGACGTGGGAGGTCCACCACACAACAGCCCCTAGTGGGGCTGCTGCTTTAAGCTCTACCAGCGACACATAAATCCCACGTTATTTACAGCATGAAATTTGTAAAAACAATGTTTTCCATTTTTGCTTAACAACAGCGAGGTACAAGAGCAAACTAATAGATCGATTTGGATTGATCCTGTTTATCGATTATTGTTTCAACCTTAGGTTATTTTAAAATACTATCACGTGCCACACATCTATGAAATGCTCAGGTAGAGGTTATTTTTTGAGTTGGGCATATACAAAATGCCTTATGCATGTGATACCCTTAACTTAATTATGCGCAGGCCGGGTATAACAGAAAATCAGTAAGGATACTGGAAATTCATCGTTCCTCAAATCTGTACTAGAAAAACATCGTTGATTGTTGATAACGGCTACCTCACCGCTTTGAATGTTGTAACTTCAGTACTGTTACTCTTTATTAAGAAAAAATATAAAACCTTATCAGCTGCGTCAGACATGAACCTGCCTATTAACACTTAAGTTGAGTTTAACTATGGATCAACTTGGCAATGTGCAGTTTTTTCGGAATATGATAACACATGTAATAAACGTTGAGTTTCACTTACTTCACACGCTAAAATAAACATCGCTTTCTTTAAGTAGAAATTATTTTGAGTGAGAGAAAGAAATATACAACAAGTGTCTATGAACAACGTTCAAAATAACACACCTAATAGCCACACCTATCAATACTAGCAAAGATTACCAGACCGGATAACGTTGCAAATAGGAACCAAAACACCAAGTAGATTTTTCGTATTGTTAGCATACATTACTCATTTGTGTTTGTTGTGCGGTCCCGACCCGTTTGTCAGCCATACATCTTTAACAAACTTTTCCATATATTAGTTCTACCTCAAAAGATGAGCCTTCCAACCATATTAAAATAATTTGATCGCCGTCATTAAAAATTTATCAAACAACTATAAATGTGCTGATAGTGTGAATGGACGGCGATGGGTTACTAGTCACAAATGTTCAGTGCCACCATAAATATTGGCCCGCGTTTCGGATATTCTTATGTCCCTGCAAAACAGTAGGCCACATGCATAGAATCCAATAGTGTACGTGTTTATTCTAATGTGAGCAGTTTGTTGAATGATAAAAAAAAATGTTAAATAAGTTACAGTAATTTATTCACGACTGCCTAATTAAGCAGGGGTTAAATCGATGATGCCCCGATCAAATATTTGCTTCCTTGATATAGCGAGTCACCTAAGGCCTTTTTGTCCTTTGTTGCACAACGCATGTGATAGCATCTGCACAGTCGAAATCTGCGCAATGCAATAGAGTAATGGCTAATGGACTCGTTCCGGTAGGCCATCGTAAGGATCAATGATGCCGTATTGACAAGAGAGGAGGTGGATCAAGGGGCCGGAAATCAGAAGCTAATCCACTCACCACCCGTAGACAATATACATAAGAGTTGCGGGTTCCCGCAGGCTGTTACTACGGCAGGTCTTGCACAGAACACGTGAAGATTAGCTAGTAACGAGTTACAAACGTGATAGGGTGCAAAAAAAGGGTTATCATCGTGTTATATTTTGATCTTAGCCATTGATCGGCCAAACACAAAGGCTGAAACAACTAGAGCAATTGTCCTAATGTGATTTGAAGCTCAGATTAGCTGGTTTGCGCCGGCTTTATGAACAGAGGACTGAAAGTGCGGATAGGATTCAAAAAGGTTCAGATCAAGAAACCGTTGTGCCTGGATTTGCCATTGTTTAGAGTGGCTATTAGAATAAGGATTGCCCTTGTCGATAGAAACAAGCGATAGCGCCGGCGGAATTATACTAACAAAATATTATCCTCGGAAGTAACTGCGCGTTAGTTTCTATAACAGGCCAAATGAAAATGTTAAGGATAATCATACCAGCCCTCTTCTACACCGCTTCGAATAGTAGGTGCAAGTGACAGTATGTTCGTATTTTTAGAAAACGCATGATCCATTCAATGATATAATAACTATTCCAGTTTTTTTCCGTAGGGATGAATAAAGAATGATTGAACTTTACAATTAGCGGAGATCTCAATCGAGCTTTTAATCTACGTTCGACTATTTTACAGAATTATATTATATGTAGATGGTCTTTATACGAAATCATTCCAAGAACCAATTTTTTAACTAGCATAAGCGTGTATCTTGCGTCCGAGCGATGCTATCACGAGTTATTCGACGGGGATGAAGTGCATAACATAGCCCTCAGGGGCAATGGCTGAGGCAAACGGGGCGACGTAGCTGCGCCGAGAACGCTGCCGAGTGAAATAAACTTAGACAATAGCCAAGGTTATAGTAGATATAAAAACCACGTATTCGTCTCACCAAATTTACTTGTTTGTGTAGCGCATCATCCCATATTCAACATCGACAAACACTTAAAACTCAAAGTTAGGTATTTGCTTGTTCCTTTTTTGCTGAACACTACCTATCTAATTTAAATTCTAATCTAATTTAAAAAAAAAGATCAAAGCTGCTGAATCTAAATCAGAATGTAGTTTTTTGTAACCGCTCGGTTAATTTACGTTACCTCGTTTGTTACGTGGCAGTTATTCATTAGCTACATTATTGAACGTCTCCTATTATCTTACTGCAGTTGTTTCGTACCTAACTTTTCAGTAATTACTTGATAAATTTAGTTTCTATATTCGATACTCATCTCTTTATCCAGATATTTATACACACTTTCCATGTAGGATGCGTCATCATCTCGAAATGGGGTCGCGTATGCCATAACAGGCCCAGGAGTGCAGTCCCAAATATTTTGTTGTACTTTCGAAATCTAGGCAGTGTTGTTCGTAGTAAACGCGTCTTTTAGTCGGTCGCTTTGTAGGAACTTTATGGCGCTCTCATCCAAATAGGCAAGCATGCCTCTTCTGTTTTCCTGACACCAAATCGATACTACTCGTATAAATGTTCGACGTTGCGCAGGCTCCATCTGCATATCTGAGCACTTCCGGTCTACAAACGTCTCCACAAGCAAATGGGCATGTAGCAAGAACGACATCAGCCAGATCAGTTTATAGCGGTCCTGCAATCGTCATCATCATCATCTTGTTGTTGCGATTTTTCGTAGCCTGGAGCACTGATATGCCTTCTATGGACGCGGTCAAATGCTTTTACTATATGGACAAAACACCACGCATACGAAAATATAGTAGATTTTGCAGTGCGTCCTTGTATGATAGATCGGTACTGATACGTAGTAATTTGAAGCGACAGAATATTTACCTGCTCGTCATAACGGTACCTGTTGAAGACATGTTGAAATAATGGCTAGCAGATTTTATATTGATGATGGTGCGCAGCCTGTGGATCATTGCATCGGTGTCTGCAGATAAAACCGAACGTTAAGCTTCACTATTAATAGAAATGTAACGGCCCTCTTCGATATCCCAGACACCAGTTCGGCAACTGGCGACGTCCTTTACTGAACTATTTTATCTTGTGACTTTTTCCGTGCGACCCTCTTGGTTGGACGATACGAAGGTATCCATATTTGTTAAATATATCCGAGATGGTGTTTCTGGGAACATGCTGTGGTTTGACGTCAAAGCTACACTGAATCGTTTTTTTCAACATTTTTTCATGTATGTATGTATGTATGTATATATCGTGAAGAGATCTGCATGCGAAAATGCGAATACAGAAGAGAAATACGTTTCAACATGAAACAGACTTTGCCCGATATGCCATCTTCGTCACAGTGTTTTATAGTCACCTATATTGCAAACATCCTTATCTATAAAACAAAAAAAAAAATTAGGAAATTGGTTATCGATAGCTAAGCTTATGACAAAGATATGGAATAATCCCGTCAGTTAAACTCTAAGAAAAGCATCGTATTATGCAAACGCTATTATAGAACCTGAAAAATAGGGATTATACCGTTGATTACACATTGTTACAGTTTTGCAGAGTCAGTATTTGTTCTATGCATCGTCAAACGTTGTGGCCTCATTAAGAAAGTGCTATCATCTACGAATAGTGAAGGTAACGTTCTATATAAGCAAAAATCCAGTATAAGCATGATGTACCGAATCAGCGATGCATGATTTAGCACCATTAATCATATATCTTAGTTCTATGGAAGGCATACGTTAATCTTCTGTCCATTGTTGTCCTTCGTTTGCCCAGGCACTAGACGTGTCACGCGGCAGTCCATAGCTCTTGAAGCGGCTTGATCAAACAGTTCCGCAAAACCTGCTTTCGAATACGCTCAGTGATTCATACAAAGGCCTTCGTTGACCTTCAATCGATAATCTGATTACATATAGGTAGAACAATAATGGCAACATGACGCTCGGCACTGCCGATCAGCTAGGAAGTGTAGTTGCGTTTGTCTCTATATGGAACTTAATATTTACATATTAATCACGCTCAAACGGGCAGCATAGGGAAGTAGCTTTTTGAAGTAAGATCAAAGTCGGTTCCGGATGCAGTTTCAGGCACACTGAACCCAAGGCTAATTGGGTGAGAGTTATGCGGCAGTGAAGTCTGGTCTTCGCAATGCATGAGCCTTTGAGATTCTAGAAATCTAGAAAGATTCTAGATTCTAGAAAGTTAGAGATAGCTGTAGCGACAACACTGCTGCCTACTATATTTCCGCGACAGAAAGGCGTCTGATTTTATTCTAAAACGACGTATAACTGTTTCGTACCAAAAAACTTGAAGGCTTTTAAAGAAACAACGATTTCAAACACAAATAACGTGTGCTAATAAAGACACCCATGTGACAATGAAAGTCGTCAATAGTATGATGATTTAAAATGCTATTTCAGTTCAGTCGTCAAGTGCTCAAGCAACTTTAAATGAAGGCGCCGTTCAGCTACAGGTAAGTAAGGCCTCGTGCCTAAATGAAGAACTGAAGTTCAGGTGACTGTTTTCTTTAAAGACATTTGTTTTAATTATTACCGAACCATTGATTATGTAGATTCATTTTACCTGAAAATGAATTATGCCTTTTAACCCCTTTCAGTTAGCCTTATTTTCATCTTATAAGTATCTCTTCTTCTCTTTGGTTTCATCTTGTCGATGTCCTAACACTATGGAAGCAAGTAAACCTAGACATGACATTTTCAGGAATATCAATGATTTCCAGCGGTGCCATTGAGTGATGCCATTAGCAATACGCAATATGAGCATGAGAAAAAATACGTCCACGTTCTTTCGTAAGGGTCTTGACACCGTGTCAACAACATCTCAGCGCTAGTGCTAATGAACCCGTCACTCGCCCTAGTAGTAGCTAAGCGATATTTCATCCTTGAGTGGCTGTCAGTTACACCGTTTTAGCTCCCAAGGTCACAAAAACGAAGTGAACGGTATGGCCACTTGAGCTTTTTCCGCTGGCTGAATAAGTTTTATATCTGGGTAATACAATAACACCAGTAGTTAGCGGTTGTGATCGTTGAGATTAGGGATTTTACGCTGATGTTCGTGCAGTGGATCATTATAGGATATTTAATCATAATAGGAATATTCAATAGAAACAGCCAAAGTACCAATGGACAATGTTTTTGACTGGCTCGGATAAATTCTGCGCTCGGCGGACGTTATGATGATGATGATGATGATTAGATTTTTATTTCGCGTCATTTTCTTTTTTCTGGATTGCGATGCTCATGCCGCCGAAAAGAAATCCTCTTAGTAAACATCGGCAAGCTGACTAGAGAAAATAACCGTTCAAACTACGATGATAATTTAAATAACGATATAATTCAATTCATGACTATCTGTTTTGTTACGTACCTTTGTTAAAACAGGTCAATGTAGGGTGCGGGCAAGTTTTCCAGGTATTCTTTGCTGTGATATGTTTTACAGTATAAAAGAGGGAGTCTTTTATGTTTAGCGTTCAGATTCCTTAGTAGATAAAAATACAGTTGATTTTTTATGCGCGATCAGCACGATCCTTGACATTGAGCAAGGGCTCATACGTATATGAAGTAGGTATGCATTTAGACAGACAGACAGACAAATAGACGAGTTATATATGTTCTGTAAGAGAAATTTTATCAGGGATATTAGTAGACTAACAGCCGACGCAACTGCTTAGCAAGTCTGCAGTTATAATTGACTTAATCGTCGGCTATCAATTAAACAATCGCATGATTAGAGTCCCCAACGCTAAACCGGCATCAACATTGGTTCACGGAAACCGTAACGACAGTGGAGTTTTTAATAATATGACTCGATTCTTTTTGTCGGCTTTCAATACTGATATCAAGACATGGCCTACCTCTTACGATAGGCCATTGGATTGACTTCCATTGAATTGAAAAGGTAAACAGAAGAAAAGATGAATCTGTTTTGTCTTGCCCCAATAGTTGCGGGCAAACCCTACAAGTCTGCCGTGTGGGTTACCGATCATCTGTCGACGACAACAACAGCTGCGACAACCGCAGCACCCGGTTGGTCACCCTTCGTATATTCCAATAGCGACTACAACAAACTTTGGCATATATAGCCCCGAAACGTTATGTGCACAAGGTCCAGACCTCATGCAAGGTTATCCTGTTTATCCACAGCAGGTAAGGAATAAGATGCTAAGTCTGTTGCTAAGGGATAAACACGATAATACGTGGGAAGTAACAGAATAACACTTTACCAAGAACTGCTTTCAAGGTTGCAAACGGCGTCTCCGTCAAATGACTGTCGCTTATGTTGCGCTTTCGTATTTTCGACATTATGTCGGCAAAAATTCTCTAAATTCGCACGTTCCCCGTTTGCCTTTGATATATTACAGTATCGTCGACAAGTACAATTAATAGATTTACTTTATTTTCGGGCTCGATCTCAAACATTCGTAGGGTCTGCATGCTTCTCGAGTGTCGTATATTTTGTATGAAAAATGTGTGAAAAAAAAGGAAAAGTATAAAAAATTTCATCTCACTCGTCGTTACTGGTAGTGCACGTGTGGAAACGTGTTTGAACGCGGAAGTATTGCATTTACCCGATTCGTTGGGGTACATATATATTTTTTGAAATAAATTTTGATTCCCAGTTAACCATCATGTATGTATTTTCCACAGGGAAGTCTGTTCGGAGTTGGTTCAAGCGCCATAGATAGTGATCCCTGCTCAGTGACATGTGAAAACCAGAAGGAGACTTGGATGGTAGCCAAACCATCTGGGACTCCATGTCGTCACCCGAACGATCCAACGGGTGAAAGGTTAATACATAGTAAACTTATTACTGAATTTCGCTGAACAACCTTGGTAACTCTATTAGGTAAATGCGAAACTTCTTCATTTTCTATCAAACACCAAATGATTAATTATAATAGTATAATTACGTTTATGATCTTACAATGACGACACATAGCATTTTAATCGCGTAAATTTATGCACTTTTTCGTAAATATTTGAATTAGCCGCTTCTATGTTCGTATTGTTGCATCGTTCTTCGTGGCTACTGATGTTTCTTCGTGGCCACGATGCGTCCAGTCTTCGTCTCGTCGAGATTACCAATGTTTACGTGTATGTGCGCGCCCTATTTCATACAGCCGACCTTGGCTTTGGGCGCTAGTTAACTGACAAGTTATATTAAAGGGCCAGTAAAGTTAGGGAACACCAGCCTAGTTGCAGACCGTTTGAAAACATGCATGTCACAATGACAATGAATAAGAAAGAACAATAGTGCGATGGGAAACATTATAATCATTTCCATTCTGCGTATAAATCCCACGCCCCTGCTGGACGCCTACGTTTGTCCACAGTATATATATATATAGATATGTATATATATCAAAAAAAGTACCGACCGTTTCTAGCCAAAATTCAACCAAACGCTTTTTAAATCATAATACAATATTACTTGATTAAATATTGCCTTTTCGTTTTTCTGATCAAGCCGAAGTTCCACAAGTGTCGAAATCGTAGCTTTCAGAGAGAAAAATTTTGACAAGTGATTTTTCTAGCGTTCCATTGAGATCAAGTTAACGGCATCGTTAAGGGAGTTCTGCAGAGATCAACACAGATGATAGGCAAGATCCGCGCTATGCGGCTAATGTAGTGAAGTTTTCTATCGAAGTTCTACCAATTTTTGCCGGGTAGCTAAAGACGTATTGCGTTGCCATAGCTCTGGCCTATATTTGTCAATGGGTTGTTTACACTACTGCCAGTACAAGTCCGAATCAATTGAGCTCCAGTAGCTCATAGTGCGCGATTATCTTCCGATTCCACCAAACATGTAACATCATCTCCTTTTTAGTGTTAATTTGGATTTTCCCCTCAGATTGCAGAGCACATTGTTTTGTTGCTTCTTTGCACGTTACTATCGTATGTGGTTTATTTTTCATTAGCCATAAGCAGCCAATGGACAAAATGGCTCGATCTATGTATCTGTAGAGTTTCGCATCCGTTAGTTCGTGTGACATCCCTAGGTCTAGTTCCTTGTAAACATGAAAAGTACTCACATGTTCATCTCAATAGTTTCATAAACTTTTCCCGTAATCAATTGGCCACTATAAAGTGCGTATCGTACGTGGAACTTTCTAAAACCGAATTACCTTTGGGCCATTTCTTGCTGTAGCGCACTTTGACTATATACGACACAATTTCTTTATGAGCCTAAGCAGCATTTGTATCTTCATTATAATAAAATTATTCAATATAATGATTTTTTTTCTTCACTAATCTTCAAAGCGATTTATCTTTAGTTTGAATGAAGACATTGCAACAACTTTAGTACGTCTATAAGTGTTCAATCTCAGCTCTTCAACGACACCAACGCCGATCCCCGTATTACCTGAGATATGTAGCCTTGAAGAAAAAAGCTTGCTAGTAATAAAGCAGCATAGGAGCAGTAAAAAATTGTACTTTAGAAAATCTGTGATTATTAATTGATGATTATACGACGTATGTAAATATGTTTGTTCCAGATACTGCGTGCACCAGGTCTGCGTCATTTATAACGCATCCTTGAATAAGTACTGTCGTGAAGCTCTGAACCTTAATAGCAATTCGCCTAATTATATGGCCTTGGTGAGCATTTGCAGAAACTCTAATCGATACGGTCCTCAGTGCAGACGAAACATTGTCATTATTCTCCTATCAGAATCTTAACGGGTTTTCACACATTTTCACAAAAACAGCTTTTCGGGTGTATTGCTTAAGCCAAGTACACGACACAGACATTGCTTGTGAGTCAGTGCTGCTAAAATCACTAGCAAACAATTCACTTTTGCGGCGTCTCCAAGGTGCATTATGCTTCCGAGTACCTTCATCCTTTCCTTTCGAGAAATCTGAGATATTCCTCTGACATCGATGGTTAACACTTCAGATAACTTCACAAGACCATACTTGTTCTTCGAACCCTATTGAACAGCAATAGCCAAACATTAAAGGCGGACATTTGTTATAGTTAAGATACTATATAGCACTTCTATTCAGTCTAGCTATAAGTTGAGCAGCTGTCTCCTCAAATCACTACTGTGTTATTATCCATTCGTTCTATTCTATTCGTACGAATAGCGATACAGGCGATACTAATTATCATATACAATTCGTAGCGATAATATCGGATATGACTTTCCTATTTCACCTATTGGCGTCTTTGTTCTTCTAACGGCTACTGCTGTTGACCGCAGATGCCGTACGGATGTACAATATCTTGCTTAGATAAGTCGATTCCGTTTGTCGTTCAGGTGCAGCTTAATAATGGAATGGCCTGCCAAGTTCATGTAAGTTGAAGAATATGTGCTTGCTATGAAAATTATTTTTCCCATACATCGTTCATCACAAATACCACATCCCGTTGTGTATTCATGGAATCCAAAGGACGGTACTATTCAGGTTAGCACTGCAAACAAATAAATTACATATGTAGCTTTCAAGCTTTACCAGAAATTACTACCCTGAACGTCTCCGTCTATCATTCCGAGTTTCGATTTCCTTTTCTACAGCCATCTGCTAATGCTGTAGCATAACTTCTTTATGGACGTTTGCGTTAGGTCCCTGGTGGCAGACGAGCCAACGGCTACTGCGTAAACGGCGCCTGCTCGACGCTAACCCATCGAGTTGGCGATCCTCTAAATCCTCGGCCGGGCGCCTTTCCAGAGGGAAGACAAACGCAAGCAGGACCTACTGGAGTGGGGTATCCTACTCCAATAGTACAAGGATACCCTTATACAGGCGGCTCGGAATACCCAGGCTATGAAATTGGCGACCCCCTCGGGCATATAAGTTTACCTGGAAGACGGTGATGTGCGACACCGATTGTATAAACAACACCAACAGCGGAGAGCCAATAACAAAGGTTTGACAGAAACATTATCCAGCTACAGTTATAACGTCGAATAACTCTGACAGTGTAGATTTTACTTATATGTTTTGCGAGCCATATTGACCAAATCTAATAAACTAATTAGAAGTAAAGAATGCTAAAGATTGAGCTGGAACTTCTAGGAGATCGCCCAGCCTCTATTATCATTTCAGCGAATGCAAGTTCACGCTATCACTGCGTGTACTTTTTGTAGTAGAATAGAATAGGTTTTTCTATAGCACATATTCCACGCATCATAAATGTGTGTTTTATATGATGTTGTTTTTAACACTTTGCAATATCTGACAAATTTATGTAAGGTACAATTCTTCTACCTATATACCCCAAGGGCGCTACAAATGTGTGTCATGTACAGCCCAATCTAGATAGCTTGTGGGTGTCGACTTGAGCAGCAACATGGCTAGTATTCGCAAAACGAAACAGCGAAAAATTCGAACGTTCTTTAAATGAAATGCATAAATAACGATGCCCTTGGCTGTATGGAAAGGAAGATACCCATGCCATTTACAAGATACGAATAGAACCTATATTTTGCCATAGGCAACGGTAAGCCTGTTGATATAGTCGTCCTCTAAGTTGATTCCTGTCTTTACTACACAGCTAAAACGCTCCATTTAAATATATGTCATATGCCGTTTTTGACGCTTCCTGCTAGACGAACCATTATGGCTGCGTGAACACAGCATCCACCGATCCCTTACGGCTATCCAGTCGATCGAAGCATCTCGCTGGCGTAATGTTCCAATTTCACTAGACACGCTACAAACTGATGGCAAGGATGCCAAGTTGATTACAGAAATATTCATATTTTTTTAAATCCATTCTCCATTTTTTGAGGCTTCGTGATGTATGAAGATGTAGTGATGGAAATTCTTTTCAGAGAACAACCGCTGCACACGGTTTTCGAGGAAGTATCGACAGAAGTAGCACAATTTCAAACAGAAAATGAATCCATGATGAAGCATGTCCTACGCGCCATACCTGAAAAAAGAAGTGGCTCCGATGACTCGTTCACATTGAAATGATAGCTGAGAGTGCTGTAATAAGAAAAGCAAAAAATTACGGAGCCTTATTCGAGCTACTCTTGTCTAATATGTTTGAATCAACCCGTATATCCCCTTCACAGTGGACGCGACTAAACCCTATATGTATGACAATGCCAGACCACTTGATAGTAAAGGGGTCTTACGATTTATTGGTAACTTAATTCGGACCCGCCTAACTAGCTGACGGTTCTATGAATTGATTTAAGCCTAGTATAATATAGCTATTAGACCAACAATATATATCGTACTAAATACATCAGATTCCCTGTGTATATATATATATATAAAATACCTTATACAATTGAATACTTGCAACATAAAACAGTGAGTCCTTTCAGAATTAGGGTATGGAAAGCGTCTTTTTACTGCCTTTAATTCTGACAATCTCTTTAACAAACTGCATCTTAGTGACATCTTTTAACTTTAACAGCGCGTCGTTAGGTGGCGTGCTTGCCCGCTAACTTAAGAGACACGTTGAAGCTCGAGATCAATTCGGGCGTGTACTAGCCTCGTTTCATGGTCGAAGCTGGCTATCAAGATGGAATATCTCGCATAAAGATGAAACGCATTTGTAAGTTTCGGTAAGATCAGGCTATTTACTATAACCCTGTTTGCAACAAGTTTGCTGGGAGAAACCGTACAGCCGTATACGATAGCTTTCATTGACAGTAACTAATCGCTACGTTAACGATAATTTGAGCGTAGAATTTTCAAATCTTTTACAACATATCTATCTTCATCTCTTTCAGGCCATATAACGACCACTGAAGAGACACATGGTTGATTTGTAAATGCTTGCCTTATTTCAATGAAAAAAAATACGCTTATCAATAGTATTGTCGAAAAAATCAATGTTTATCATAAATAGTATAATATATATACCTAATTTTAATATGGGTATTTGATATGCTATATATAACATAACACATTACCCGCTGACCATTACAGGCGGTGCTTGTTCGGCTTCTTTAATACTGCTTAGTTCCATTGTAATGGTTCTTGTGTTCATAGAATGAATTCTATATAACTAAAACGTTTCCAACCTGAGTTAGCTTCTCTGATCTACTCGACTGATGCGCATGTCCAGCTTTTAGTTCACTGCTAATTCACCGTTTGCAATATCATCTTTCTGAAGCGCGGCTCATCCACAAGCGGGTGTTTTTTACCCGTATGTCCTATTGCCACAACAGTCAATCATATCACAATAAGTTCACACCAGTTGCTAGAGAGTGCTTGATGCAAACTCCTAACTTCTCATCGACTGATCAAGTTATTTCATATTCGCAAACACGCTATTTACTCGATCAACACTTTGGCTGACGTGGTTTGTCGCCTCGTCGACAAGCTCCGCAAACTTAACTACTCTAAGACATCTAATCGCTCGCTCGATCGATTAATTCAGGCCCACTGATATGGCTATTTACTAGCGTGATGGCCTCTAGATTAAAGAGTTTTCCAGTGGCGTTCTTTATCGATCCCAACGTTATATTATATTCCTGCTCAGCTATTGCTTTATTCGTGTCGTCTGATATTACATACATTGGCGCCTTTTACCCATGTAAACAATATCGTCGTGTATCAGATCGTAGAGCTTACCTTAATAAGGAATAGGCCCACCCCATGAACGGTTCTTCTACGCGACGCCGTTCGTAAATAGAAAGATCCTGCGTGTTTCTGCGTGCGTCAGCTTAAGATATACAGCGATCCCACAACGGCTGCCATCAGTAATGGCAAGCCTGAGATGAAAACGATAACGACTGCAGTTGCTATAAAGCAATATCGAATAGTTGGACCGCCATTATAGCGTCCCGCAACGTTGCTGGGCACATTTCTGCTTTGGACTTCTATAGCCTTCTTACTTCGGATCCCTTCAGCCTATCCTCAACCTATGTAGCCGTTAGCCATCGTGAGCGTGGATATGGACGTTCCCTTAAGAAAACCTGCGGCTACTAGGCATTTAGTTATTCAGGAATGAATTTCTTAATATCTATTATACGAATTGAGCAATGCTATTGTAGACATTGACTCCAGGTTGTAAAAACTGTTGTTTGCTGGGATCTGCCGCGGTAATTGGAGACGTGTTGCGACCATTCAGTCTTGTGGTCTTTTACGTTAAGGGCGTTGGTATATCTAATCGAGTTTCTAATAACCTTCCTTTTAGTCGACAGCCGGGATGGCATCAATAATCAATGTGTCCCAACTTTGCCAGATGACAGCAAAACGATAGAAATAAGTAGCAATAATATATTTTTTTTTTGTTCCACGCAGTTCGTGTAAATAGCGAATGAATACGAATATAATTTTGAAAATCGTTCATCTAACGACCCGACAGATTTGCTGGAAATGCTCAGACAAGTCTAGTCAAGCTCTTCCCGATAACTCTTAAGAGAAAACGTATACCGAAAGGTAATAATGAAGACTTATATTTACAGACAGGTAGCCGAAGATTAATCACCTCACACAGGTCCGCCGGACAAGTAGAACGGTGATGCCAGCGTACGGCCTCTGGGCTGGAAATAACGCTGATGTCGATCAGTTTATTTTGCGAACGGAATTGGTCAGTCAGTCAGTCACGTGTGTACTATTTTCTGCCTAATACATGGATATCGTATCAAAACAGATATTGCAATATAAACTTAAGCACCGGTCACGTATAGCAGCAGGTCAAGACGTTTTCACAAGCTCGCATCAACCGGCATATCTTAGTGTTTAGTTGAATTATTAATGTAGAAGGAACGTAGCAGTTGGTTAATTAAATAATAGTATTTTTTAGTTTAGAACTAGTGCTCTCTACCGCATGAAATGATGGGATCTACTGCTTCGCAGAGCTTGCTTAGTTGCCAGGAAATTATCGCTCGTTTCCTTACTTTTTACTTACGTTCCTTGCTTTTTATCGTCCTTCAGAAGCGCAACAAAATTTCAAATACTCTAGAGAAAAATTCAGCTGTACAATTCCCTATTCTTGCCTCGCCACATGAAGCCTTCTAGCTCATTTGTCTCCAATGTAAGATAAAGCTGATCTCTCTACGAGATTTTTACATCATATACGTTATCATCCTGACGTATATAACGCACTATCAAGCGTACGAAGACTACACGGAGTACCCAGTCTTATACAGATATAGCCTAGCGATAGCCGTGTTTTGGTAATAAAATCAAGAATTGTCATTACCGTCATTGAATGTTTGTTACAGGGGTGTTTATTGTTTGTGCTCACTGTTCCCAGGAACTATTTTATCAGCGTGGCACATCTCTAGCACAGTGCCTTATTATGGTAGTAATTTGCCACTTCAAAATGGTAGGTAATTCAGACAAACAATTAGATTCTAAAACACTTAAAAGGGATAGTAAAAACCAGTTAACAAAACTGGTTTACACTAATGCTCACTATTTATTCTGTACACAGTGCTGCCAAGTAACAAATTTAAGAGGTTATAGGCCTAGTAAACCTATCATTGTTGTACAACAAATGATATTGTATATACTACGAAATTAAACTTAACATTATTAAGATTCATGTCGATATCGCATTGCTGATAACATTGGACTTACTAATCGCGACAAGTGTCTATGTGCACCCAAGCACACACACACACACACACACACACACAGACACACTTCATTATGTTGTTAACGCTACTCAACGTTGCGTGGTTCGATCTAAATGCTAGTCAAAATTTCTACTATTATCCTGTTCTATCAGTGTGATGATTTGTTGCCGTTTCAATAATTCCTATCCGTTGCTTCGATTACTCGGACTCTCGAATTCAATAAAAAACTCTATGGCTATGTTTCAGTTAACCAGTGTCACTCGGAACGATTGGCCTGACACCGTCCAGGGGAAACCGTAAAGCAAATATTTTCCCTGAAACCCTCTCCGCCCATATTGTAAGCTAGCGTTATCTCCACCAGAAAAAAAAATCTGCATCGATCTTGATGATTCGTTCAGCGTTCGCACAAAGTTGTAGTGTAGAAACGTTATGCTGTTCTTGTCCCTCTTACCGAACTAACACTCAACCAGCAACGGTAAACGCGGCTGTTCTATTTAGATTACGGAACGAGCAGACGGCTGCACCGTTCACACCAAAATCGATTCATGCAAAAAAATACGCTCGACTAATTTACGAGTAATACAACACTTAGTTCTGCGATAATCAGTCACTCGAATTAGTCACCAAATTATAGCTATCCTGTTCAACGTAACGTTAGCTCATTATGTAGAATAAAGGACTATATGACCCTCATATACTCGATGACGATGCCCTGCTAAGGCAAGTCTGCGAGCTTCGCTTCACACAGCTGTAGTGTGAGGGCGCTGTTATGCAGGACAGCCTTTTCGTCTAGAAGGGCAACGCTGCGTGAACTGGACGTTAAAAATTAATCAGTAGAGTCTATAAAAAAAAAAAAACGCATGTGTCATTCAAACTATATATGAATGAGTACACTACCGTATTCAGCAGATGCTATATGCGCTTTTTAAAAAAATATTCTCGAAAAAATCGCCGTACTGGTTTATTTCAATCATCTGTGTTAGGAACTCTAATTTCGTAGTACTGTTTCGGGTCATCAATCCCATCAAATATTTCAGGGACAAGCCAGACCGCTTCCGCTATATTCAAGCGTAGACTGTAGCTAACCTAGGAATTTTTAAGGTTGTACTGTGATTTTTACAATAACTCGAGTTGACTAATGCTTGTGAAGTGTTCTGTGAGACGGAGTAGCCACCTTTCAGAACGAACGCTGAAGCCAATAATACCCGATAATTCAAAGGCGGTCACTGTATAGGGTATACAAAGAGAAGACACTCGTTTAAATTAGATAGGAAATAAGTTGACGAGTGTCGGTTTGGGAAAGTGTAGCAGACGGATATGTTAAAGAGAAGTAGGGGTTTGTCGTTTAGACAAGCTGTTATTTGGAATCTCTTTTCCGCGCTATTTACTTGTTGTGTTTTTCATTTTTGTAAAAGATTTTAGCTTCATATTATAGTTATGTTGCTTTCTTAACAAAGTTAAATTGAGTCGAAACGCTGGAAGCAACATACAGTTTTTCTCAACATTTTGCGAAACATTCTGCTAGCGGTGTTTGCTAATGGCTTATACTACCAATACGACACTTGCAATTACTCAGATGTTTGTGAAATTAGTTTAACTGTAGGCTACCGGGACAAATATGGGCTTATACAGTTCAAATCGATCTCTCACCAGTACTTCCAGGGATAGGCTGTAACAAACGATATAGTTCCGTATAAAAGTGGACGAGTGCATAACTCGGTTTATCGCGTCTGGCCCGATTGATCTCCGAACGAATGTCTAAGTAACCTTTCGCGGACAACATGGTAAGTGACATTGTTGCTTAAATGTTTTGTATCCATTATGTGTATACGTCTGGCGATACCTCGCCCGGCTCGAGTGTCAATCGGACAAAGTTTTCAGATTTGGAAAATTTCTCTTCTTTAGCACGACATTTCCTTTCTACCTATCCCAACCGGAGCTGGCAAAAATGACCGATCCCGATCCGAAAAAAGCATATGTTCAGTTGTAAAGGTCGATGACAACCTATTTATCACGTTTAAATATGTGAATTTATAAAGCGATTTTGCAAACGATCAAATTGACGGCTAGTCGTAGATAGATTGATATTGAGGAAGTGTCTTTCATCTCCTAACAATTTGCTAAATAATTTGCCATTACAAATAATTACTATTATTAACCGAACGTTTGTTGTAACGTCTGCTGGAGGGCTGTTAACGCTTATCTAATGCTAGCGCTGTGATATCGCTTGAATTCGTTCGTAGAGTGCCCGAATTCTCATCATCGTTTCGATCCTGGCCGGTTGCATTGGAAGTATGTTAAATGCCAGCGTAAATTATTATAATAGTAAGGTAATGACTGACGTCGTTGTGTGCAACACCAATATGCACTTTATCCATTGTGAGATATACTACTATTTGAGGAAACGTGCCAGTATTTCTGTAAACAACTATACTGTACCATCAGTAATTGGCAGGAACGCATTAAACAACGCCGAAAATAACATCTATGCAAGTTTATGTTTTTTCGTTTGATTTTGTTTGGTATAAAACACTGCCATTAATTGCTAGTTTTTCCTTCAACGGGAACGCTTGACTATAGCCCAAAACCTGAAATCATTTATCGATGTGTCTGATGTGAAGGCCGATCCGTTATCATTTAAGCTAAACAATAATTAACTTTCTAAGTTAGTTTCTTTCATCAAACTTACAATCATCATGTATCTCACATGCGTTCAATTACTACTTAATGTTTTTTGTTATTTGGCATTCATAGGTACGTGTTACTGTTACGATATATATATATATATATATATATATATATATAGTTAAAACAGCTAATTACATTATGAAGAATCTAACATCAATACCTCTATCATATACGCATTCGAGCTCGATCTGTAATGTACACTTTTTTCTTTCTGGAACATCAAAGCATGCCATAGCCGAGTCAACACGCGCCGTCTTCGAGAAACAAATAGAACCTCTTACTTTTATAAAAATCGTTAACCTTGTCTACGAAATTGCTGAGTGCATATACAATCGTGTTGTAAAATTTTTTGGAACAAAAGAATATGGCGGGTTGTAGGAGTATGCAAAAAAAGAGGTCGACTAACCCGGACATGAAGATATCACGTAGCTGTAAGAAGCTCTCCTAGAGCCGATCTTACGTTTGCGACAAGGCCAGAAGCCGTATGTGGCGCAGAAGGGAAACAACGGCAACAACACAATGGTAGCCATCATCGCGACTCCGGCAAATCACTGAACGTGGATGTTTCTATTCAACATCTATACACTAAATAAACCGAGTTCTCAGCTCCACAGTCTAAAATAAGATGGTTCATAGATCAATAAAAAAATACTTAGTTAATTATGCTCTGTTGACTATAGCTCATGTGATTATCTAGAATAAGACAGTACGGTCTTTTATATATATATATGAGAATGTTCGTCGCTTGTTTTGCACTGTAGGTAATTAAAGATCAATAGAAATTCATACATGGTGACATAAAATTATAGAATCAATAATTCTTTTCGAAATCTCACCCGTCGCTATACAGCTTTCCAAAGGCAAAATAGTTAGCCTATATTGTCTCCTACAATATGATTCCCTGAAAAATTTTCGCCAGATCGACATTCTTACTCAAGTTTCATGACTGTTTTCAAAAGATACGAAAATCCTGAGGATATCCTTTAGGTTTTAGGGAGGTTAGACAACCTTAGTTAAAGCAGTAAAGGAAGACAATGCTTACATCTGTTAATGTAGATAAAAATGGCTGTTTATTATATCGTCATCATTTCTTTTTCTTACATGACCTTTTACTATCGTGGGGTTAGTAAAGTACGTACAAGAAGATTTTTTTCTTCTCGACAGCTTTTTTCGTGGGAAGTAACATATTAGCAAGCTTCACTCTAATAATTGCCATAATTATTATTCCTTTATAATTGTAACCTGTATTGACATGTGACGCAAACGATTCTTGAGGTGCCTAATGGCTTGTAGCGGTAGAGTTTATTCCATGTTACTTTGGAAAAAACTTTTTCCTATTTCTCAAACTAATACACTAAACAGCTCGAAATTATGACGTCGCCCGTTCATTCCAGTTATAAATATTTTAGTGAAAGTTGCTCTGAAAACTCAGCAAAACAGTTCACTGGGTCAGAGCTGCGGTGGATCGGATACCAACTCGCCTGCTTAAGGTCCTTGGTCCGAACTACAACAGAAACTCTCGAAATTTTTAAACGTATCAAGTTTTTGTTTCCAGTTAAGTATGCAGATACATATGACTAGACATAGTGTTATTATTGCACTCTCTACCCAAAAGGTATAATTTAAACTGGCCTTCACATCACGAGACAGTAACCTGTTGCAGACATCTTGCCTGTAAGGTATCAAATCTGTGTGTACAAAGCCTAGAAGTTTGAAACTATACAGATAAGATCTTGTGTTCAGCCATAATTGTCTTCAGCCCACAATTATATCATCGGGATTTTGACACATTTTGTTTCAGACACTTTTCATTAAAATCGTCTGCGAAACAGCCACCGGTAGGCAGTGTCGGCCGTCAATCGAGAAAGTAAAGTTGTCAAATCGTCATTTGTTGATGAACAGAGAGAATTTTCATTCAAAATATCATTGTGAAATTTCTTCTACGTATTTAAACTTACTGAAGACAAATGCTGTTTATGGTATTCTTTGTCGTAAGATTGAAGATAAGATTGAACCTATGTGTTTCTGTTACTATGCGGCAAGCAAGGACCAAAACTTCACTCGATGTGCATTTCCTCTAATTTGACATGACCTTTGTGTACATTTAGACGATAATATTGCCCTCGCCTTTTATCTCATATGCACTGTGAGTCTTAGGTTGCTCATCCTTTTATATATATATATATATATGTATATATTTACACATAGTTCATCGTATTTGGCACACGGCGAACCTCATGACTGAGGACCTCACCCGCCTTCGCTCGATCCATGGGGCCTCATGTCATTATCTTTATAGCAAGCAAGAGCTACATAGGCTATATACCATATCTGTATTTTCAATGTATAACCCATCACCGAACATAACAAATCCGGAGCAAGCAACGTCAGTTCTGATGATTATTACTAGTTGTTTGCGTAAAATAATGATTATGTACTTAGTTGAAATGTAATTTTGAGTTCGAGTACTTGCATAATAAAATATCTCCATCGGTTCTAAAACATGTTGCTTGAAAAATTCTCCAAGTGGTAATTATTACTATCGGATTCCCTTTTAAAATGACTATTGGGCTTCAAAACTGTACACAAAGATGAGCGACATTGCAAAAAATAATTTACTAATCTAAGTTTTTTCTTTGATGATTTGGCGTCCAAATACTATATGGTTCTTATGGACACTTTGTTTCACATTAAGTTGTGATTTTTCTAGAATGTTGCGATAGCATTAACCGTTACCCCTATTCAGGTGACCACACATTCAGTCTCTCGTGTTTTCCTGTCATATTTGTGTCTATGTCTAGTTGCTATGTACAAATCGACCCAAATTTTATTTCAATACTTGATAAATATCTCTCCTTGAGAGGTCTATATCGTACCACTTTTTCTAGAAACAACTAACACCCTTTCTGAGGTAAGATACGTGATGGAATTCAGATAGCCCCAGCATGTTGAAAGGTGCGTCGATCAGCCCCCCAGAATCTGTGGCCCCGTTTTGCAGTCTCTATCAGAATGAACTCGCACTATTCACTTCTGTACATATACCTTCTACCATTTGTATAGACTTTCAAGACTCCTTATTGTCAATCCTGTCACTTGTCGTCCATCAACTAACTCCCTCAACTTTATCTTTTCTCAGATAAGTCAGGCAATCGATTCGTTGTCAAACACGAATCGCAACTCATCATCTGTGGCCTTTGTAAGCCGACAGTCAATATTTGCATAATGTCTGTCGGTGTTTAAACTTATACCACTCCATTAGTTATACCTCTTATTCGTTAAAAGTGTAAGAACATTGTTGGTTGAGCTGCATCATACCGTAGTTGAAATAATCCTAACACATGAATATCATCACGGAATCGCCGCCATTCTGGTGTATGCAAGAAGCCGCCCCTCGTCGGTGCGTGCCGGCGTTGTCTTCAGAAAAAAGAAAGATTTTTCGGTATTCTATTATTTAGAGTGCCATTTACAGATGAATCTTCACATTAGATTACCCCATTGTAGGCAAAGAAATCAGTGCTATAAGCTGCTAAGTAAACGAGCCTCAGTGATTTTCCAGATTGTCAGCTCCAGGAAAAAAAGCTGAGTTTTTAGCTTTTATTGTTCGATATTAGACCAGTTGCGAGGAATTGGACACATGGAAAAAGGTAGCAGAACGAAGAGCAGCTTCTTGGCGGCCAAACCGCAATCAGTTCACCAGTTAGGGATAATTAGGGCTGGAAGACCCACACAATAAATTCTCGCTTTGTTCCAGACTACAACCATTTGTCCGTTTGTTCAATTGTGCTGATTTAAGTTGATTTTTTCGTCAAATTTCATTGTTTGGGTTGGACCGTCTTCTTAGAATGTGCACATTTCTTTTACCAAACCGACAGTACATTTAGTAATCTGTTTTATTGTCTCCTCTGAGGATCTTTTGTATGCATGGGACGCTTTCGAAACATTAAAAGAGAAAGAGAAAGAGAATCCACCGTGACGATCTTTCGAATTGACCAGCCCTTACAACTAATTAAAAGCTGCTTAACATAACACAACTAAAACATCTCCTTTCTTCATTGTTCCGAGCCCTCGCCATCGATACCGTCAGTCCGCAGGGCGTCTGATGCTCGTCCAAGAGCAACCAGCTATCGAGCAAGCACCGGCATTAACAAGGCTTGATTTTCTCTTTGCGCTTCGTCATTTTGATCATCCTTCGTGCTCGCCGACCACGCCGTTCTTCCTTTGACACGAGGCCTGCTGGCATACATGACGCCGAGGTTCCAGGTTCAACGTGATCCTCGCCGTTGCGTACAAGGCACGAGGTTGACTGGCGATTGGGTGAGTCAAAAGGGTTGAGGGTTTGGCCAGCGGCATTTGATGCTGATCGCAAAAGCTGGCCGCCGCAGGTCGACGTAACGGTTTCGCCATTGACGACTGACGATTGCTTCTGATGCTGTGCTCCAAGTGGATACTTTAAATAAAGATTACACAAGTAATTGCTACTTCCTACGGTGTGCAGCTCATACTAGACAGGCGGAATGATGTGCATGTCCTGCTGATTAGATGGACTATAGCGCTGTTTCGTTGTTAGCGCATCCTCGACTTTGGCTAGTGATTTTTTGGCTCGCAAAACCGTTAGACGAGACCGGGGCTCGTGACCCCACAGCTCGCGGATGACGCTGGCTAAATTCTGCATTGTCTGTAAAATCCAAATCAAGGAAAATCATCGCGTTAGTTGCATATAGGTATCTTGAGCGCAATAGGTATGAAGGCTTTGGGTCTCAATTACTACGAAGGACCATTAACTATGGTCGGTTTGTAAAATCCATCTGTAATAATTATTCACTGTCTATAGTTACGCCCCACCTCGTTCGGTAGATATTGCAGCCAATAATTACGTTACCGACTAGTTGAATACAGTAACTAGAAATGAGATGCTCTGTTTCTCTACTCAGTAATATTAATATCCGAATTGATGAATAAGATCATGAAGATGAAAGATGGATATGAATAAGATCAAGCCTGTACCATTAGCACTTAGAATTCAGCAAAATTGTTTATATATACATACGCTTAGACGCTTGGGACAACTGAAATAATTTGAAAACAAATGTAAGTTAAATATGATACCAGTGCCATTATCATTAGTATTATTAATTAATAACGTGACACAAAATTACCTCGCATTTGTTCCACGCATCAGGTATACGCGGCCGATCACCGGAGATGCATACGACTTTACGCATTTCATCAAAAGTGGGGTCAGCCGGTACGCTGTCGTGATACGGTATACGGTACGGCTCAGGCTTTTCGACGCCAGGTAGTGTGATTCGCGACGCGATCTCCCACAAGACGAGGCCGAAGGAGTACATGTCGGCGCGAAGGTATGAATTGAAATTACTTGTAGTCAGCGTCTCATCTAGAACTTCTGGCGCCATGTAACGCTTTGTTCCGACGCGAACATTTTGCCCGCCGATATCGATCTGGTTCGCATGCATGTCGGCGCGAACTGCAAGGCCAAAATCAGCAATACAGCAAGTGCCGTCGCGCTTAACTAGAATATTTTTAGATTTGATGTCACGATGAGCAATGGCCGGTTTCGCCTGCTTGCCAAGAATCGGCGTGTGCAAATAGAACAGGCCGCTGCATGCAGTGAACGCCATTTCGACGGCTTGCTCCTCGTCAAGACAGTTGATCGTTAGGTAGTCGTACAGAGAGCCATTTTCATGATAATTCGTAATTAGTAAAAGTTGGGTGACTCCACGATGGCCCCGGATGTCGGCGGCAATGAAACCGAGTATATGATCGTGTCGAAGAAGCGTCGTTTGATAGATCTCCGTCTCACGGCACCATGAAGCCTCTTCCGTTGAATTGAACACCTTACAGGCAACGTACTCCCCCTTCCACGAGGCACGGAACACTTCTCCGTAACGACCTTTGCCAATCGAGCAATTCAACTCGATCTGACGCGCGATCGTACGCTGGACCATCTTCGGTAGGCCGGAACCACTGCCACTAGTGATACTGCACTCGATTAACTCCTGTAGCGATTTTGATCCGTTGCTTAAAAAATGCTCGTTCTCCGTAGACGACGATTCCAGCCTTTTACGACGCAGCCGATAGAACAGGTACACTATGCTGGCGACCATGCTACACATTGTTAAAGCAAGCACGAAGATTACCAAATGCGTGTAATCGGTATACAAGTCTTCCTCTAAATGATCCTCTTCATGACGGAACACATCGATTTTCAAATCTCGGTTACACAGATCTGCACCCTTGCAGCACTCAATGTTCATCGGAACCTAAAAAAGCACATAACCACAGATAGTCAAACAAAGTGAACGCTTAGATAGAGATCCTGCTTCGCTTAGCTAGCTAAATGTGTCCAGCATTCTCGAGGGGTTATATATAACAACTATTTGGGTGTACGAGCAACACGATCATTTCGAGATTATGTGCCTCTTCCATAGCTTATATATGTCTTCTGAGAAGCTTTTTTCGTTGTGGGGCAGTTTCAAATAAATTTAGACACTACAAGAAGAACGCATACCTTGTGTTTCGTCAAATGGCCCTTACAGGTGAGTATAGCCGCTTGGTCGGCAAGGCAGCCATAACTCTTCTGTATCTCCATTTTTTTAGTAAGTCCATTGTATACCTCCTCTACATGATGGTAGCACATGGCTTCCGGGTGATCGATCGTGCATGTGTTATTGGCTAAATGTTCCGGACACTCGCCCAGGCAGTAACATTCAATGGCCCATGAACCTGGAATTATGAAGATAAACCACAAATTAACTATTTGAAAATGTATCTACATTGTAGAATTAGAGGGCTTATGGTATGATATGACAATCAATCGTGAAATCTGTGCGATATATTTAGATTTAGTTCCGTCTGATCGCATTACACGGAAACAGCTTGTACATAAGGTACAAACGCTAAGAGCCTGGTTCGTTGCAGTAATAACATTGTCAGTTGTGTAGCCTATAATGCACGCTGTCATTTGTAACACTGACACAAGCCTTCAGACCTGATGTGGGCCAGTGTTTAGGCTGAAAATAATTACATGTTTTTCATCAAAGCAGATATCGCTTAGCAATAAGATACGCTAAATTTTATCATAGCTTAAGGAAAACGAAACCACCGACACTTGCCATGATACAATAATGGTTTCCATAACGAAATGTATAACGAGAATATCAACAAAATATCACAACAATACTATGCCGAGCAGTCTATTTAAAGTAAATGCAAGGTGTATCAGCTTTAACCCCCCAATTTTGAAAAATCGCCGTGCAGCATAGCCGATTACACGTGTTTACGTAGATAACAATGAACTTATCTTGAAGTCAAGATATGCGACGGAAAACGCAAAACGTCTGATTATTAAAAAGGTATATATATATATATATATATATACTATGTTATTATTTGTTACATACATGAAATATATCAAGTAAGTCTCACTCTCCTCCTGATAAACACGCATCTTATTACCTGGGTTACAGATTTTGCTCGCTCTACGCAGTCGTCCTATTACCTACAGACGCTAAGTCTAAAAGTTGTATCAATGCATAGCTATGCATTGTAAAGATTGGGTCGGCCGACATTATGAATAAATATATATAATTGCTTTTGCTATTGGAACCCAAGTCGCAACGCGAGGGTGACTACATGAAGCAATTTAATGGCAATAGAACTATATACGTTAGGTTTCTGTGCAAAGAGAAGAAATCAAAGCAGAGTACAGAAATCACACCTCTATGCTATGCCATGACGATTTGGTGCTTTTCATTTAAAGAGTTCGTATGGCAGCTAGATGGAAGTACAATATGTTATCTTATTTTTATTCCGCCAATTTTTCTCGAATTTGCCTTTAGGCATTTGTATCGTCTTCGTTGTGCAGCACTAACCTGATTGCCGGCCAATCAGAAGGACACAGAGGTAATCTAGGCTTGAATCTGAGCGTCGTTGAGCTGACACGCTTTGATCTCGGAGTAAATATCCGTTTACAAAAAGGACGATAAATGTAATTGTAGCCCATTTTTCTGCTGAGTCCCTTCATATTGCCCATTTTGAGTTTTCCTTACACTGGTAGATCCTAGAAGCAATTCTAAAAGGCGGTACCTAGGCTTATCAATATAAAGGTCGTTATGTCACCCCACTAGCACAGCGTAGTTTTGATTCGTGTTCGAGAAGCGACTCAAGCGTACCGTATGCTGCCATACGTACATAATCAGATCGGATCATATCCGTATACGAGGTAAGACACAAATGCCTCTTGACGTTCAGAAAGTCATATATACTGAATTGTCGAAAAAGTGCTGATTGCGATTTATAATGCACGATTCCTTTTTAATTCTACCAAACGTAGAGTGTGACTTCCTTTGACGCAAGTCAGTGCAGCAGATTATAGATATTTTTTCAGTTGCACATTATTGTCTATATATAATCTATTTTTCATGAGCTGTGATCAACCACTTAATAAATTGTTCTATTTTATTTCTGTAGAATTTCACAGACGGAAATGCATTCAAATAAATCGTTTTGTATCGATTTGTGTGATACCAAATATCGGCTTTTTTTTTTTTTTGTAGCCAGCCTTCTTCAAATGGTCTCAAGCTGTTTTGTTGAGAATATTTAGCTGTTTGACGATATTTCATAGCTATTTGTATGTCGGTCTTACGTAACTTTGAAAATAAATTCATCAATTTTTTTTCTATATTCGGTCGGCAAAAAACATCTCCTACATCGAATTTTTCTGCGTCAAAGCCATCTGCGGGCTATTTCGTCTAATAACGCGTCTTGATCATAAACAATGCAAATTTGTTTGTGAACCTATGCCTTTATTGTTATGAAATTTTCACATGTAGCGTTTTCCATGAATTTTACTCATATTTAAGATGTTCTATATTAAGTTTGATTAAAGGCATTCTAATAATTTTGCAGATCTACTACTGCCATATGTCAGCTTGGTCATTCAAAAGCTGAGATTTGCCAATAGTATATCTGTAAAATCTGCAAAAATGCCGATCCTATACGATTTATATTACCTGAGATATTTGACTTTGAAGCTAACCAGTTAGAAAAACAGCCAATACCGTTTTCTACAACCCAATATGTGAATTTGTGTATAATCAATACTTATCGCGCGACTCTTCCTTTATGGCTACTATGACACCTAGCCAAACACATTCATCAGTGGCGTCTGTTCTAAGCGTAATCACAAGAGTTATTTTTTTGGAAATGGATAACATAAAGAGCTTTAACATTAACAGTAAGTGCTATTGCCTCGATGAACGTGGATGCTGGCTCAGGCAGCGTTCCTGATACACACTCATAACTGCAGCAGCCCGCGTTTTATAATTTATTCCAATTCCAATTTTATAATTTATTCCAACGGAATTTTCAGTTCGTCGTCTATTCTCGCGAAACACCCTTCTTACTAATGATTCTTGTTGTTATCTGATATTCTTATAAATGACGTTTCTCAGCTTTCGATACAGGTGGGCATTTAACATGAACAATTTGACAATGGGAGTTGATCAATCGCACAACTCTTCTGTTTCAGATCGTAAAAGTGGAATAATCTACCAGAATCAACAATAGCCTGAAGATTGTTACCAAAGTATTTTCTTTCTTTCAATTGATATACTGAACGGATCTAAAACAGAACTTGTCGTCGTCGTCCACCCAGCTCACTCAAATACCCAGCTCAAACCTGTTTCGGATAATTCTTTTTGTCAGCGTTTGTTTTAAGAGAAATTAAATTTTTTAAGGTATGTTTAAGGCAAGAGTTGCAGTTGCGTGTCTGTTTCGTCTCCTCAATGCCTCTGTGTTCGTTTATCTGTCTCTAGAAATACCTATCGTACTCGTATTGCGGCTTTTTTAGTGCAGTTTAGAATGGAACTTGTAAGAAGATCATCTAAAAGCTCTAATTATTCAAAATGATACTATTTGAGTTATGCTTGTCCCTCATCGATTAAGCTCGGCTTGGAAACGCTTGGAAACTTCGAATATCCAGCACAAAATCTTCGGTGTCTACGGTATATAAGGTACCGAGTAGTAATTAATGTTTGAAAAGCTACGAATTAAAACCTAGTTGCAGGGATTTTAAACCTCATACGCAGTATAAACGTTAGATGAAATAAAACACAAAGCTTAGTTATCTGTAGAGATAAAACTGTGTTTTTGAGGCATAGCCCAAAAGAAGCGACTGCAATAGCGCGGAAGTGCCTTTCATTACCAATTAAAGGCCCTAGGAAGCTCGCTGAATTTGAAATTAAAGCTAAGGACTATTTTTTAAAACTGATCTTCTAGCTAATGCTAAATCAAATACGCTCAGGAAGAGAAGATGCCAAGAGAATGCCCCTTGCGTGGCCGTGTATTTCACAACATATAAAGTGCATATTTTTCAATGCGATATATTTATATAAATATATCGCATTTATTTAATATACGAAGATATATAAATAATAAGGCGTGTCTAAATCAGCAATGGCTATGGGGGGCACTTATATGAAAGAAAAAAAAAGTGCCAAGATGCCACACAATTTCGAAAACAAAGATCCACTATTTTTATATCGAAGAGAGAAGAAAGCTCGAGCAACAAATATACTTGCTTACCTATCTATATCTTAGTTCTACTCCTCTGAGTAAATTTTTAGTGTCATTCACCATGGGTCATTTGCCCTCGATCATGGTCCCCGCGCGATCACCAGCTGTGATTTGAATCTAATCTGATGCTGAAAGTTAGTGATTTTCAGGTTCATTTTCTCCTGTATAGCCCTTACCATTCTTGGTCCGCTCTTCACTTTTCTTATGTGCCAAACAACCTTACAACCGGCTCACAGCATGAGACGGGGCCCCTTAAAATACGTTTTTTTAAACCACACATACACACAGCCAATGTTGTGCCCCTTGTGACGTAGATAAGCTAAGGCATCCAATTGTTGGAACTGCTTAACGTTTTGTTGCTATGCTTATCTATTGTCGATATACTGACTGTAGGTGGTGAGCTCATACGGACATCAGTTCCGTTTAATGAGCGATCCAGCAGAAAATCGACTGCGGCACAATATCACTAACATATTGCTTTCCTATACAAGCTCAGTTACACGCCGCCATTTAACTCATTGAAAATCTAAGTAATAAGAACAAAAACAAACTCTTTATTATGACATATGCATATCCCCATCGAATAATTTGACACACAGTCATACAAGGATCCTAGTTCACTCATGAATGTCACACATGCTCGCAAAAGGACCCGACCATGAAACTAATATATATATATATATATATATATGTGTGTGTGTGTGTGTTATTTTATAGCTTTATAAGAAAACACGTTCGTAAAATAAAAGTGATGTCACAGCAAAGGTGCCCCGTTTCGCCGTGTATGCATCAACCGCCACTATTATACAATAAGTTATTGGTAAGAGCACATCGGGTGACCTTAACCAACCACGAATATTCCTGCCTCACAATGCAATACCGATTTATTTTGATTCCGTTTATATCGAATATTGATTGAATAGCTCAGTTGAATAGGCGGATTTCAAAGAGTCCTATTCTATCCCTGTCACTTATAGGACACTATAATGTGTTTATACTCGTAATCTAATGTGTACAGTGCATTGGTCTATGGGATCTACTTTACAAAAGTTATTGATGATCCCATTTGTTATTACAGATTCAATCAGCGTGTGATAATGCCATGATCATGACAATGTATGTGTACCATATTTTGCATAAAATTCAAGCCACAAAAATTTTCTTCATCTACCCGTTCTTATTCAGGCCACATCAACATTTTTCTAATCATTTTATTTATCATCTTTCGAACACAGTTATATTTGTCGTGTTTTACCTCCGCTATTCTAAACGTTAGACATTACCTCCTGCCAGCACGAAACAAACTGCTTGTTTCCGCCCAAATCTGGGCCCAGACCACGTGTCACTGGGTCTACCAGGCAAACATGTTACCTATTAAACTATTACGAAGAGTTTCAATTATAATTGACAACGGCTTTCAATTAATGTTAAATGTCGTACTTTTTTTTACTAAGAAGATGAAAAGCCTATATTTTGCTTACACGCCGTCACATTTCCATCTATATATGTACTTGTAATAATCACCCAGGTGTCTGCCGCTCGTCGTAATAACCATATATCGCCGCGTTACTCTACGAGACGCTTCATTTGATCTACGATTGAGTTCGTCAAGCACTTCAATTTTCTCTCTCTCCTCAAAAAGTCTCTCTCTCCCTCTATATATA